TTCAAGAAAAACTCTGCATTTGCAATACCAAAGGAAGTGTTATATTTACCATATCTCCGGAATTGCAACATCGTGTTTGTAATCCCGACAATTTATATGCAACATTTTGTTGAAAGATTCCTCAGTATTTGTTGTGGTGAACATAATAAATATTGTCTGTCAAGAGGCAAATTGTATGTTGACCAAATATGAAAAATAAAGTTATACATGTTTAAATCACCCTTTTTATACGCCCACATTTTCATGTGGACGTACATGTATATTGTCGTCGCCCTGTCCGTCCGTCCGTCCGTCCACGCGGACGTCCGTCCACAATTTGTTTGTGGACTGTCTATACATGCCACAATTTTTATCCGATTTTGAGGAAACTTGAAATAAGGTCTATCACCCAAAGATCTCGGTTCCTTTCGATATTGGCATGTATCGGACCATAACTGCGTGGATTATGGCCCCTGATTGTACGAAAAATCACGTTTTTAGCATGTGGACAAACTAGAGGTCACAATTTTGATCGGATTTTGATGAAACTGGAAATGCATGTTTATAACCTGCAGATCTTGGTTCCTTTCTATATTCGAGCATATCGGATCGTAACTTCCTCAATATGACCCCTGATTGTACGAAAAATCCCGTTTTTAGCTTGTGGTCCCCCTAGAGGTCACAATTTTTATCTGATTTAATGAAACTTGATGAAACTTTTGATGAAACTTGGAATGTATGTTTATATCCCAAAGATCTTGGTTTCTTTCGATATTCGCGCATATCAGATCGTATCTTCCTGAATTATGGCCCCTGATTTTACGAAAAATCGCGTTTTTAGCTTGTGGTCCCTATAGAGGTCACAATTTTTATCCGAGTTACACCCTAATGATGGCTGAGTTTGAATTTCTTGAAAACCGGACCAAAACTGTCGGACAAAATGGCCGCCCCTTGTACGCCAATGGTGTTAACATCTGGTATATCAAGATTTAACTTGTGGTCCCTATAGAGGTCACAATTCTTATCCGAGTTACAAAAAAAAAACTTTTAGTACATCACCGTTACACCCTAATGATGGCTGAGTTTGAATTTCTTGAAAACCGGACCAAAACTATCGGACAAAATGGCCGCCCCTTGTACGCAAATGGTGTTAACATCTGGTATATCAAGATTTAACTTGTGTTCCCTATAGAGGTCACAATTCTTATCCGAGTTACAAAAAAAAAACCTTTTAGTACATCACCGTTACACCCTAATGATGGCTGAGTTTGAATTTCTTGAAAACCGGACCAAAACTATCGGACAAAATGGCCGCCCCTTGTACGCAAATAGTGTTAACATCTGGTATATCAAGATTGTGATCCTCCTAGAGGTCACAATTTCGATCCGATTTTAATGAAACTTGAAATGCATGTTTATAAGCCAAAGTTCTTGGTTCCTGCTGATATTCGTGCATATCGGATCGTAACTTCCTGAATTATGGCCCTTGATTGTACGAAAAATTGCGTTTTGAGCTTGTGGTCCCTGTAGAGGTCACAATTTTTATCCGATTTAAAAAACCGTGTGAATATATTACAGTTATACACTAATGATGGTTGAGTTTGAATTTCATGAAAATCAGAAAAAAAAACTGAATATCGTGAAAATTGGACAAAAATTGTACGCAAATAGTGTAAAATTATGGTATATCAAGGTTGTGGGCCCTCTAGAAGTCACAGTTTTCATCAGATTTGGATGAAACTTTAAATATATGTTTTTATCATAAAGATCTTGGTTCCTTTTGATAATCACACATATCCGAACGTAACGTCCTGGATTATGGCCCCTGATTGGTCGAAAAATCGCATTTTTAGCTTGTGGATTCTCTAGAGGTAACAATTTTTTTCGATTTTAATAACCGTTTAGATATATCACCTTACCACCATAATGAAGGTTGAATTGGAATTTCGGGAAAATCGAAATGAAACTAACCGACAAAATGGCCGTTCTTTGCACGCAAATTGTTTATAAGTATGTAATACAATGATTATGGACTCTCTAGAGTTCAGAATTTTTATCCGATTTTGATAAAACTTAAAACATATCTTTTATTCCATAAGTCCCTTTTGATATTTGCGCATTTCAGACCATAACTTTCTGGATTATGGCCCCTGATTGTTAAAAAATTGTTTTTGTTTTTAGCTTGTTCTCTACCCATCTCTTGCAAAATGTGAGCGTATACCTCTTTCCTTTTACAAATTTAGGCCACAACGTTTTCTGCAGTATGGGGAAGTGCTGCATTTAGGGCCAATCTGTTGAGAAGAATTAAAATGGGATTTAACGTCCTAGTTTTGGGGGTTTTTTTTGCACCGACCGGGATTATTAAGCCAGGTATACATCATGCAGTGTGATATGATTTAAATTTTGACCAGACAGCGGCCCTGCGGAATACTCTTATTTCAAATTCCAACGTGTACACGGACACCCCGCCCCCCTCCTAAACTATTCACAAGGGGGAAAAACACCGGAAAATCATATCATGATCACCTTTGTCAGTCAACACTGGGTTGGACATTGAGCCACCATGGCTCCTCTGATGGAAAGAAATAATGTGTAGCCGAATTTTTTTCTGTAACACTATTAGTTATGATAATTAAGACATAATACAAGAGTTACTCCCCGTCTCAAAGGCCAACAGATCAGGTACGACCTGGACATGAATTAATGGGGTTTAATGTCCTAGTGTGAGCACCAATCTGAAAATAAATTCTGCTGTGATGGCTATTCTGATGAAAAATTCTGCTGTGGTCGATAATCTAACATAATTCCTGTTGTATGGATAATCTAGAGAAAAATGCTTCTGTTGGGACACAGTCTATAGAAAGTCCTGCTATGAGGACCAATCTGGAAATAAATTCTGCTGTAGTGGCTGTGCTGACGAAAAATTCTGCTGTAATGGCTTTTCAGACGAAAAATTCTGCTTTAAACTATAGTCTAACAAAAATATCTACTCTGATGAATAATGTAAAGAAAAATTCTGCTCTGATGAATAATCTAACCACAATTCCTGATATGATGGATAATCTAAAGAAAAACCTTGCTGTTGGGAGCAATCTATAGAAAATCCTGCTGTGAGAACGGAGCTGAAAACAAATTCTGCTGCCATGGCGATTGTGACGAAAAAATTCTGCTGTGATCGCTATTGTGACGAAAATATTCTGCTGTGATGTATAATCTAACGAAAATTCCTGCTCTGTTGAATAATCTAACCACAATTCCTCCTGTTGGGACCAATCGATAGAAAATTCTGCTGCGATGGCTATTTTGACCAAAAACTCTGCTGTGATGGCTATTCTACTGAATAATTCTGCTGTGATGGTTAATCTAACGAAATTCCTGATATAATTGATATTCTAAAAGAAAAATCCTGCTGTTGGCGCCAATCTATAGAAAATCCTGCTGTGAGAACCAAGCTGAAAACAAATTCTGCTGTCATGGCTATTGTGACGAAAAATTCTGCTGTGGTGGATAATCTAACGAAAATTCCTGCTCAGCTGAATAATCTAACCACAATTCTTGCTTTTGGGACCAATCGATAGCAAATTCTACAGTGAGGACCAGCCTGAAAAGAAATTCTGCTGTGGTGGCAGTGGCGGCGCCAGGGGGGGGGGCATTCCACCCCCCCCCACCCCCCCCCCCCCCCATTAATCTGGTCTGCCCTCTGTTTGCCCCCCCCCCCCCCCCAATAATTTTAGAAAATAAAAAAAAAGGATTTGCGATACGTTTCGGTAATCAATACTTCTACGGTGAATAAATCCCACATCCCCACTCAGTCATAAACTTGCATGTTGTTAAGCATTTCCGACAGTCTATTTTTCAAAATTTTCTTGGCGAGGTCCCCAATGGACTCGCTACTTTGGCGCTCACAAGGGGAATTCGTTGAGGTTCGCAAGTCCGTTCGTTTGACATTTTGTTCTCTAGTCGGATAAACTAGTGATCAGGCGACGAACGGTATCTGAGCAGATCGAGATCTATTTATCTCGACGATCTTTGCCTGACAGAATACTGTAAGACAGCATTTCCGGCAGTCTATTTTTCAAAATTTTCTGGGGGAGAACTCCCTACTTTGACGCTCGTGAGTGGGCTTCGTCATAGGCGTAGGAGCTCAAAGTATTTCAGGGGGGCATAAGAGAAACTTGCCCGAAATCAATACCGTTTTTTCGGGCATACCTATCATAAGAAAGCTTCGGGCATATTTTCTGGCATGCAGTGGACAAGAAAAAGACGAGAAAATACTTTTCGGGCAGTGTGGATCTCATAGAAATAAGTTAGTTATATTTTTTCTCTAAACGTTAATAGAAAAAAAAGGTCGTCGAATTTTTCATTGCCCGAAAATAAATTTTTTGGGCAAATGCCCCCCCCCCCCCCTCCGGCTCCTACGCCTATGGGCTTCGTCGTGATTCGCAAGTCCGTTCGTTTGACACTTTACCTCATCGATCAGTGCCTGAAATACTGCCAGGCTGCATTTCCGGCAACCTGTTTTTCAAAATTTTCTGGGGGAGGCCCCCTACCTCTAGTTAAAGCTCGTGCCTTTGCCCCCTTAACCTTGGACTTTGCCCCAGCTTTGCCCCTCCAATCATCGACGGCTGGCGCCGCCACTGTGTGGTGGCTATTTTGACGAAAAATTCTGCTGTGAGAACCAAGCTATAAACAAATTCTGCTGTCATGGCTACGAAAAATTCTGTTGTGATGGCTATTCTGACGAAAAATTCTGCTGTTAGGACCAATCTATAAAAAATGTTGCTGTTGTGGCTATTCTGATGAAATATTCTGCAATGATGACTATTCTATTCTGCTGTGATGGCTATTGTGACGAAAATATTCCGCTGTGGTGGACAATCTAACGAAAATCCATGCTCTGCTGAATAATCTAGCCACAATTCTGCTGTGATAGCTATTCTGACGAAAAAGTTTGCTTTAGTGGTTATTCTGCGGAATAATTCTGCTGTGATGGATAGTTCCTGATGATGAATAATCTAATGAAAAATCTTGCTCTGGTGAGTAATCTAACCACAATTCCTGCTGTTGGAACCAATCTGAAAACAAATTCTGCTGTGATGGCTATTCTCACGAAAAACTCTGCTGGGCTAAACATTCATACATCAGATAAACTACTTTTAAAGGCCAAACCTGTTCAACTTGTCTCTTATGGTTGGGGCTTTTAGATTTCAAGCGCCTCTTTTATGGAATAATCTTCCATTTAGTATAAGATCGTGTACATCTCTATATTCTTTTTTTTAAAAAAAAACCCCAGCTTAACACGTTTATCTAAACAGGCTTTAACTAACACTGTATACAATTGTTAATACCATATGTCTATAATGTTGCTGGTTGGTTTGTTTTTTTTTGTTTTTTTTTATATGATTAAATTGTCACTTTGTAAAGTGCCCCTTATGAAAGGACGCGCTATAATAAATATGCTGTAATAATAATGATAAATATGCTGTAATCTATAGAAAATCTTACTGCTGGGACCAATCTATAGAACATCTTGCTGTGAGGGCCAATCTGAACCAATATAAATCAGTCCTGCTTTGGGGTGGGGGGGGGGCAATCTATAGAGAATAATGGTGTGGGCACCAATCTTAAGAAAAATCTTGCTGTGAAAGCCAAACTAAACAAAACTCTCGATGACATGGTTAATCTAAAGAAAACTCCTGTTGTGGGGGCTAATCAGATTTAAAATGCTGCTGTGAGGGCGCAATCTATATGAAATATTATTATAAAAATATACATAGACGGGACCATGCAATCCTAACAAAATCGTGCTGTGGGCGCTAATCTACAGAAAAATTCCGCTGGGGGGTAATCTGAGCAAAATCCCTGCCGTGAGGGATAACCTAAAGCAAATCCTGCTGCTGTGGCCGGTAAAAAAAATCCTGCTGTGACACCAATCTGAATAAAAAAATCTTGTCCTGGGGCCAATCTAAATAAAAAGAAATCCTGCTGTGGGAGCCAATCTAAGATATAAAAATGATGTGTGTGTTGGGGAGGGGCGGATATAGAAAAGTTAAAACATTGAATGTTTATTTATTTCTTTCGTCACTTTTTGTATGGGGTTGGGGGGATTAATGGCGTTATGGGTGTTCAAATTATTTCCCTTGATATTTCCAAGGTGAAGGCTGGCAGCTGTCAATCATCCTGCACTGGTGACTACGAAAGATTGTTCACCTCAAGGGGCTCAAGGAGACATCACTGAAGTAAACATTCACGGCTACTTTTTGACAGCAACAATTGAATAAATTATTATACATTTGAAATAGGCTTAGACGTCTCAACTGTTTCTAAATATGGTATGATTAATAATAAACGGTAAGTTCATAATATCACATAGAGAGATAGATAACAAACCTTAATCTCTCAACCCTCCGTAAAGCACATCAGTATATCTCAGCGTTTTCAGTCACGTTCACGTAGCTAAGAGAGATAGCTGCTCTTCCACGGCAGTACACTAGAGCTGGAGGAGTGGAAAGAGGCTGAAATTAGAGGCGTAGTTTATGGTTCTTGGACTGTACCCTTTAATGGGGCTACATCCCTAATATTTGGGACCTAGAAATTGACACAAATGCCAATGGATCGCAAGTGGCAACTCATATAATATTAATAATGAATAATGTAATATGAATGTATACTGTAATTTCTACTAGGCCGAATCATTTATGTTCCGCGAAATACCTACGCCAGAAGTCTAAATCGATTGGCAATCTCTAGCGTCTGGTTATTCCAGTCTACACCGATAGTATTTATTGTGCATGCTCTTCAGATACGAATATTGGTTCACCGTTTGACATGTCTTGTGAAATATGTTTAGCCTCGTCCTTCGAGTGTGTTGTTACAAATGGCGCTGAAACGCAGTATGGTAGGCCTACATGATTCGTGTACCAATGTAAAATGTTTATTTTGTCTTAAATATTGGATATCAAAAGCCCATCTTTACCCTGTAAGATTAATACACATCAATGTAGATTTAAATTGACAAATAATTCACGTTTTCGATGTCAACGACTTTGGATGATATTAAACCCACCATTTTAATTGAGAAGGCTGCATCCCTATTTCTAGATCGGAGGCTCAGCCTTGACATTGTATTCTACGCAAAATTTTACTCTAGAAAAGTTGGGTCTGTTTTTGTGCCCATTTGATGGACACCCCCCCGCGCTGAGCCTCCAGACTATTCCAAGCCACATACATTCACACCGATCGAAACCAAGAGGTGACGGACCAGCTAGAGCTTGACAAGTTGAATTAAAGTTGGTTAAGCACTTACCACAAAATATCAAATTGTCAATGGGTTAATCCATTCCATGCTAAATTATACTCAAACAAATTATTTAACATTTAATTAGGAACACAAAATCAAAATATCAAATATGGTAAATAATCTTCCTTAATAAAATTAAATTCAATCAGATTAAGGTTCAGTGAAAATTATAAAAGGGTTTAAAGAAAAAACATCCTATACCAAAACGGCCAGGGTTTTAAAAAAATCCTACGAAATGAAATGGAGTTTAACGTCCCAACTGGATAATGAAGATGGGCATATGCTATACAGTGTGCAATGAAGGAAATTTGCCTGGACAGCAGTGCCACGGCCTACTCTTATATCAAATTCAAACTGCCAAGAGATTTTTTTACGTGCACGCCAATGTGTACACAAGACCTTGGTTTTCCATTTCATCAGGACGACTATACGTTGTCCCTTGCCAGGCCCTCTGTCCTGCACCTCTGACAAGTGGGTACCACACCGGAAAATCCTGATGAACTTTTTCTGCAAACGTAGAGATCGATCCTCCAGGCTATCAAACCAACGTCTTATTCACTGAGCCACAATGGCTACCTATATTTTTAAGTGCTTTAGTTCCGGAGTGAGAGTTTTTCATTTGGTTATACACACAGTCTCAGTAACTGTTTATTATGACTTCAGTAAGTGAAGAAAGAGTAACAGGTTTACAAACATGTGCAACGTTTCATATGAAGCCATATTTTAGGTTCTTATGTGCATGACATTATTTTATGAAATTTATAATTTTTTGCAGCCTGTAGTTATGTTGGGCAGAAGATCAGTAGAATTTGTGGTAGTTCATCAAGTAGCAAGAATAACAAGGATTTAGATCGCATACCAAAAGATCAACAAGCTTGTATATTTGGCAACAATACTGGTAAAGGTAAGAAAAATGAAAGAACTGAAAGTCATTGAGGGATTGCAAAATATTGTTTTCTGAATTAAATGTTAAACATGCATTATGCAAGAACTAAATCTTCCTGTTGCAGGTCTTTGTTTAGGCCTGAAATTATTAATTAGACATTAATTAACTTACCAAGACCATAATCAACTATCAATCCCGTCGGATGCCTGCAACATTTAGTAGATTTAAATTTGTTTTGTGGTGGATGCGGTTACTGTAAAAATGGATATCAAGACTTTGTTTATTAATTATCGTATCAACGGTAGTGGCTCAGAAATAATTTGACTGAAATTTTCAGCATATTCTCTTTTCATTATATATTTTTTAACTACTATAGCAAGAACTGTCAGCTCTTTATCAAATTGTACCTAATGCTACTTTCAATAATCATGGATTAATGCGAAATGCGATTGCCTTCTCTAACCACTGTGCACGATGACTGACCTTTTTAAGGTTATGCCCATTAAATTCTACTTGTGACGTCACAGCATGATTCATATGGTGTCCATAACATGTGCATTGTTTACATCGGACTTAGTAATACAAACTGGTCTGGGCAAATTTGGGACTTTTTACTCATTCAACACCTCTGCATACTATGTACCCATTCACACTAAAATTTTATCCAGATATACTTCAATACTTCAAACACCTTTATTTTTTTGATACGCCCACATTGTCATGTGGACATATTGTTACATAATGTGAGTGACAGTGATAGGTAAAAGATTAGAAACATCATATGACAGCTTGTGTGATACAATCTCCGATGCCAGCCCAACAGCTGGCATATCTGTAGTGGTCAAGTTAGATAATACATTGACTGCTAAGTGCGTTTACTACAATGTGTTCAGTTGTCACACATTAATGAATGTACCATTTTAATATAAATTGAGTTAGGTTTTTGGATATAGACAGACGAGCTTTGGTTGCTCACCAGAGAAGGGTTTCTCATATATTTAGTATACCATTGTATATGTTAGAATAATATGTTGAATCCAGATCATCTTTTATTTCTGTTAACCCAAACTATGTTATAGTATATTGTTAGGGTGACCCATGCACTCTACAGAAATACAGCCCACTGCTGCTGGTTCGAGACTACCACTGAAGCGTGCACATTCGCCGTGTCGAGACCAACTTTCTGACAGTATGATACTATAAATAGCCATGGCACGTGCAATTGTCTACAAATCTATCAACTATTACAGCCGTAAAAAATTTATTGATGACGGTTTTGAATAGCAGTAAAATTAAGCTTCTTGGTTATTACAGCAGATTTAGAAATTACGTTTGTTTCATTTTTTAAATCGCTTTATCATTAACTGTACCGTTAAGAGCGGCATCTTTTGGTTTAGTACAAATAATATCTCTGAAACACTCAGGTTAGACAGGAACATGATACTAGCAGTAGTTTCATTTTACTTTTACAAGCTTCTTAAAACAATTGTTGAGCTAGCTAATGTGCTTATTTCTAAATTCAATTTCTTGTTCTAGCTTTCTGTTATGTTTCGTAAAAAAGTAGTCTTGATTATCCCGACCTGTCAATCAGACGTAGAATGGTCGATAGACTGGTTAAGCGAGACTAATTTCAAAACAAGGACACGTAACCTATCTTTTACTCAAAAGTGTCTGGATGTTATGGACGACACTTGGAACCAGTTTTCAGTCTATTATTTATAGATGATTAATGGTCATAGCTTATTAAGTACAACATGAACGTTTATTTAGTGACTATAATTGTGTGAAACTGATTTGAGGCTTGGCAGATATATAAATATTGTGGCGTAATTGTCGAGATATTTGGAGATATTTATTTATGGTGGGTCCCCCTAATATTGTCATCGCCCCCATCTAGAGGTCACAATTTTGATTTGATTTTGATGAAACTTGAAATACATTTTTCTAACCAAAAGATCTTGGTTCCTTGCGATATTCGCGCATATTGGATCGTAACTTCCTGAATTATGGCCCTTGATTGTACGAAAAATCGTGTTTTGAGCTTGTGGTCCCTATAGATATAGAGGTCACAATTTTTATCCAATTTAAAAAAAAAACGTGTGAATATATCACAGTTATACACTAATGATGGTTGAGTTCGAATTTCGTGAAAATCGGGACAAAAATTGTACGCAAATAAGTGTAAAAAATATGGTATATCAAGGTTGTGGACCCTCTAGAGGCCACAGTTTTTATCCGATTTTGATGAAACTTTAAATATATGCTTTTATCATAAAGATCTTTTGATAATCACACATATCCGAACGTAACTTCCTGGATTATGGCCCCAGAATGCTCGAAAAATTGCATTTTTAGCTTGTGGTTTCTCTAGAGGTCACAATTTTTTTTCCGTTTTTAAAAACCGTTTATATAATATCACCATTACACCATAATGAAGGTTGAATTGGAATTTCGGGAAAATCGAAATGAAACTGCCCGACAAAATGGCTGCTCTTTGTACGCACATTGTGTAAAAGTATGTAATACAAAGGTTATGGACCCTCTAGAGGTCACAATTTTTATCCAATTTTGATGGAACTTGAATCATATCTTTATAATCCAAAAATCTCAGTCCCTTTTGATATTTGTGCATTTCAGACCATAACTTTCTGGATTATGGCCCCTGATTGTACAAAAAATTGTTTTTGTTTTTAGTTTGTTCTCTGTCCATCTCTTGCAAAATGTGGGTGTAGCCTGCCTGGCAGCCGCTAGTTCTTAATAATGTAAACAATTGTTTTAGAGTTTAATTTACAGAACAAAAAAAACAACAACATTCAATTCTAATTAACTCGGTCGATGTCATCCCTATCAGTGATATTGGCGGCCAAGTGAATATTTACTGCTAATCGATTTGAGATGGACTATGTAATGGTTGTTCTAATCTGTTTTTCAGCAACTACTAATGGACAATCCTACGATGATCAACAGCCTAAACACGACACAGGTGCAAGTTATTTATTTAGATCTGATGGCGGAGGAACGAAACAATCATAAAAAAAAAACTACCTCATTAGAAAGAGTTTAAGTGACAACCTCTCAGATATTCTAACATTAATCAACAAATACAATTCTGTTTATTTGATTAGGCCATGCAAAAAAAAAATATTCTAGTTCCCAGACAGTCCTTCCTAAAAAATTTGATGTGGAATGGAAGTTTTTGTTCTTGCGTTTTTATTTTGTCAAAGGATCACTACCCGTACTGGGCTAAATGACTCCTCATAAATATCACATTTCAAGGCACTACATTTATCTCATCATGTTGTTGATACCCAGTATCATTTATGATTGTCAATAACATATTTGATAATTGAGCCTATGGTACATTTCTGGATTCTTTCCAAAATATTTATAGAGTTACTTCCTGTGACCCAAGGATTATCTGGGAACCAGAATATTTTTTTATATAGCCTTATATGATCATTTATAAACTGACATCATTTCATTCAAGGTGTTTGTCCAGGTAAGATGAACTGTATACCTGGCTGTATCAAAATTTGTATCTCTTCTCAAAACTGAATTATAGATATTCTGAAATATTGAAACTCTTTCAGGCCTCGTGACAGATGTTGGCAAGTATAGAGTCAGGCCCTTCAATAACCAAACAGTTAAGGGAAATCTTGCTCGGTGACAGTGCAAAATTTTCCTCAAATAAACAGGACTTAAAGATCCTGAGGCCTGGGAGGTTCTGATATTTCGTATTAAACTCAAATAAACTTACATCAAAATTATAAAACATTCCATTCTTTGAAAACATGAAATTTGTCCCAGGAACATCTTTCAAGAAGCTGTCATTTTAACCCCTGATTTATTATTTTTCTTATATATTTCTAATATTTTTATAATGTTTATAACAAGTCTTTATATAAGCGTATGATTTATCTATTATAAACAAGCTCCTTAATAGATATTGATGGTTTGTTATGTAGAAGGCTTATTATGAATTAAATAAAATATCTGAGAATAGTACTTGATTGTCTATTTCATAATAAAGTTTACAGGCGATTACTGTCGCATCATCATCATATTTTGGTTGTTTTGAAACTAACATGGTAAACTTTTATTTGCCCACATTTATGTAGATGTATATTGTCTTCACAATTGGACAGCTGTCTAGTCTTTCGGATGAGACGAAAAACCGAGGTCCTGTGTATACATTGGAATGCACGTAAAATATCCCTTGGCAGTTGGAATTCGATATAAGAGCAGGCGATAGTGCCGCTGCCCGGGCAAAATTTCCCTCATGGCACACTGTATGGCATATGCCCGTCTTCATTAGCCCAGTATAGGAGCAGAACAGTATGACGTTAAACCCCATTTCATTTCATTTCATTTCTTCACAATTGTGCCCATAAGTCTGTCCAACTTGTCTTGGGAATTCTCTGCACACTACAGTGTTAGTAGTTGTTTGCAAATTTTCAAGGATTATTTATTTAGTGGTAACACAATACAGGACAAAGTCCTTGATAGAATGTATTAAAACTCAGTGGGATTGTTCATTAGGAGGAAATCTTGTGAATGTGATACAGAAAAAAGTTAGAGGGTTATTTATAAGGGTATTGGGAGGAATTTAGATTTATTACCGACGACTTTGCTGCTTGTATGCGTATACAGGGCCTTTAAACCTCTATGTTATTTTCTGAGGATGCGTGTGCAATGCTAGAGAGAGAAGTTTCACAGACAGAACCTATTTGCATAATTCTAATCAAATTCCACATGCCTACCAATTTGTGCACAGAACCTTGGATTTTTACCACATCAAAACAAATAGACACATGTCCCGTCTCATGTGACCTTTCACATGTGGATACAGGCTTGAAAAAAAAACTGTGTACATGGTTTTTGAAAGTCTGAGCTAAATAGTTGACTTTGAACATATGAGGTGACTTGAGAAATGACCAAAATATTATTGGAATGTAGCTGTCAAGAAGATAGTTTTGCATACAATGATAATTGGATTTTAATATCAACTTCCAATTCAATCATCACATGACCAATAAACCTATCTATATGACAACATAAATACGATAATATATACCACTTGAAAACTTAGTAGCACATTGTAAATAATTCAGAAGGAAATTTAATATTAAAATTTAATAATAAAACAACAATAATCATTATATATAAACATAAACAAACAATAAGCAGGTATCTGTATATATCTTTAACAAACTCAATGACAGAAGCTAATAGCTATAAACTAGATATATTAATGAGCAGCATCCATGTACTGGTATTCATAAATAATATAAATATGCACATCTAAACCTCACAATAGTAATACAAAGTAGTAATCAGAGGGTGGTCCAATGACAAACTAAGACTTTCAAAAGGATGTAGCCAGTGATATATGTGGATGTTACACATAATCTGGTGGGTTAGTCTTATTTACAGTTACTAGATGTATTGAACAAGATACAAAGTAGATTCTGTTCTTATGTTAAAGGTGTGTAACTCACCCCCTAGCCTTTTTCAAATATTGTTAACAGATTCTGACTGGCATTGCAAGTATAATAATAGCTCTATATTCTATTTCGACCGGGCATTATATTAGAACTACATAATATTCAATAAAAAAAAAATAAATAAAAACCTAAGTTTAATAAGTGTGTTATTCCACACATTTCTGCACAACAAGCCAAAATGTTTTCGACTTCCTCGCTCCTACACCCTTGTATATTATTCAATATCATATTTTTTTTTATTCCTGATTTGCAATATACATGTACTTAAATATTAGTTTTGTTCCTATGTTTTGACTTTTTTTAATAGCTCAATATAAGTTTGTATCTAGACTATAATATACAGTCCATATTTATTCTTCATTAAGCTTTCATATTACATATGAAAGCTTATTGTTTCTGTTAAGATTATTATTGTTATTTTTTTTTTGTGTTTTGTCCACAAATCGGATTTCTCAGAATCTAACCATAGGATCGTTCTGAAACTTTTACCTATCCCCCCAGAAATGGGTGGTGGCTGTTGATTAAATATATTTTCAAAACGTTTTACGAATCCGAAATCACCGAATTTTACGAAGGAATGCATTTGACCTACAATGCTGTAACTCTGTGACTATTTGACCTATTTTACTAATTCTTTTTTCTTTGAGTATCTTGAAACATTTACTTTAAATCTGCAATTTCGGATTTTGGCATTTCGAAAATTCGTCGCTGTCATTTCGAACCGGAAGTTATTACCAATTTGACAACTTCTTTAATAGTTGTGCGATTTTCATGAAATTTAGAATTTTAGTAGATCTTGCCAATGCGACTTCAATGATGTCCTTGGAAAATTTCTAAATTATCTCCCCTTGGTGAAATTAAGGATCAAAGTTTTCAAAAAATTCGACGAAATATAGGTCAGATTGCCTTGAAATTTTTTTTCTGTACTAGCTAAGACAGTACTGATGAGTACACAAAATATGGAGTTTGTCGAGCAAACCGGAAGTGCCACCATCTCAAAATGTGAAAAGTCCATACGGCTTTTGCAATATTTTACTTAAAGACATAAGAGTTACATTTTCTGAATGCTTGAAGGAAAGCCTAAAAATCTATCGGTTTAGAATTTTGATTTAGGTCAACTGATGGACGCCATTTTGAAATGAAAATGAAAATTAGTGAAAAATCCACATTTATGGGCTTGAAAACATACACAATTGGTCGTGGCTTAGAGAATCTGTCTCCTATTACCGAAATTAATACATTTGAGGATAGCCTGGATCATGGTCAAATGTTTGGTATTTGAATATTTCAAAAATTCGAATTTCTCCTTTGATGTTTTCCGTGCCGACAAGGTTGTTTTCGAGTTTAGCTGGTTTTGATTTCGCGCATGCGCTACACAGGAACCAACGGTACCATGAGTACTAAATTCCGGCGAGCAACTTTTCACGTTGGTACCTAGGCACCCTGAAAATTTCAAGGTGATACCTGCATTCGTTCAAGTCGTTTGTTCTTGTCACCTGCCTTTCGTCGTTTTTTTTTCTAAGTCAATTTACGGCTTCCATGAGGGGAAAAAAGTGGAATTTCGCCGTGACACCGGCACCGATTGTCCGAAAACCATGAAATTTGGACACAATACGCCCATTACCACCCCGGACTCTGTGCTTTACCCCCATTTTGATCCCATTAAAAAAAAAGAGTTTTAGCAAAAAAACGATTTTCGGAATTTAATATTGGTTTTAACCCTGTAATACCCAGACATGATATATTATTATAATCCCTATGAAATATTTTAATTATTTACTGCGATAATATGAATTATCACTTATTCCCCGTTAAATAAATATCGGTCACCTGGTGCCGCTGTACAACTTAAAGACACTGGCCTCAAGTCAATTTACGGAGAGAGAGAGAGAGAGAAATGGGGTTTAACGTCCACTCGACACAAACTAGGTCATTTCGGGACCAACATATGGTTTAATTTTATTTCAATAATTCGCTTGCGCGTAGGGGTCTTTAGCAGTGGGAGGAAACCGGAGGACCCGGAGAAAACCCACAAGGTTGGACAGGCGACCCTACTCCTTGCGTCAATTTACGGCTTCCATGAGGGGAAAAAAGTGGAATTTCGCCGTGACACCGGCACCGATTGTCCGAAAACCATGAAATTAGGACACAATACGCCCATTACCACCCCTGACTCTGTGCTTTACCCCCATTTTGATCACATTAAAAAGAAAAGAGTTTTAGCAAAAAAACGATTTTCGGAATTTAATATTGGTTTTAATTAATTTTGAAATTGGAAATGCAAAGAGATTTTATCACCTCTTCCGTATGTGATAGGTATTGGTACTATACACATTATCCTTAAAAGACAATTTTTTAAACTGACTGTAAGATGCATCGACACTAGAAACCGAAATCGCCTATTTTGACCTATTTTGACTGCTGGGGTATCTTTCCGTACGTGACAAGGAGTAGGTCGCCCGTCCAACCTGTGTATTTTTTCAGGATCACCCGGTTTCCCCCCACTGCTAGACCCCTACGCGCAAGCGAATTATTGAAATAAAATTGAACCATACGTTAGTCCCGAAATGACCTAGTTTGTGTCGAGTGGTCGATCAACCCCATTTCGCTCTCTCAATTTTAGCACTCCTAACTCTAAAACTAAATGCAAGGAACGGGCCTATTTACAGAGGTCACAATTTTAACCTACATGCACACCTACATGATATACATATTATTATAATCCCTATGGGATATTTTAATTATTTACTGTTATAATATGAATTATCACTTATTCCCCGTTAAATAAATATCAGTCACCGGGTGCAGCTGTACAACTTCAAGGACCTTGGCCTCAAGTGCATGGGACCAACTCTACATTTTCTGAAATATCAATAAAAGCCCTGGAATGATTTCATTTAAAAAAAATAATCAGAAAGTAAATCTAGTTTTATTTATATGCTATTTGTTGCCAGAAAATATATTTTGTTACGAGTCTAATTCAAATTTAAAAATAAACAATGGGTCTGAGGCATATTTTATTGATATATAGAAATTAATGCAGTGTTCTCATTATGTGATAAAAGAGTGCCAGAAATGTCTCGAAATTCAGCCATTTGTGTATTTAGTATATCAAGTATATGCGTGTATTACAAAGCTCTGATTTGTGTGATTTGTGTACACCCCGCTCCCCCCCCCTCCTCGTGTCACTATCATGTACATATCAATTCTGCTGCCAACCCACCCACGCGAACATGACTAAATTATGAAACATTGTCTAGTCGTTTGTATGTTACGACAAAACGAGGCCAGCGTGGCTCATTTGCTGCAGAACGGAAGGCCTAGCAAGGATTAGTGTCTAGTCGATTGGATGGTACGAAAACCCGAGGTCAAAGTGGTTCCCCGTTGGCAGTGGTGAAGTATGGGAGGCCTAGCAAGGATCTGTGTCTAGTCGTTTCGATGGGACGAAAAACGCCCGTCCCCTCGTCCATGGTACAAGGATTAGTGCCTAGTCGCTTGGATGGTATGCAAAACAGAGGTCCCCGTTCTCTCCCTTTGTCTGTGGTTCTTGACCGAAGGCCCGACAACTAACTTTGCGTGCAGTTTTTTTAGGTAGGACGAAAAATCGAAATCCTGTGTGCATATTGGCGTGCACGAAAAATAACCCTTTGCATTTGGAATTTTATGCACCCACCCCACCCTCGAACAACGCTTAACATAACATTTTGTTTTCACTACCTACATTGTAAAATTTGTTTGATTTCAGATGACTTAGCCCCGGTGTTTCACAGTGAAAGATTTTGATGAAACTTGACATGCATGTTTATAACCCAAAGATATGGTTCCTTTCGATATTTGCGCATATCGAATCGTAACTTCATGAATTATGGTCCCTGATTGTAAGAAAAATCACTTTATATTTCGCGTGTTCTCTATTTATCTCTCGGAAATGGAATATGGAAATACACAAGCTAGCTAGTGTATTACAGGTTGGTGGTGGTGGGGATGAGGTCTTCTATTTGCAATGATTTTTTGACTACAAAATATACGCTCTAACTCATTACTCAAACTACAGCAAAAAAAAAGCGGAACGGAAACCCGATTTTATATATTCTTACAATAGCAACGCACTTCGGGATTAACTTAGAAATGGTTCCACTACTGATGTCTTCCGCCTTACTCCTGCCACAGTAGTGGCTTGTCCTACGGAGTTCCTTTCCGCAAGTTTTTTTTAGTCAAATGACTACAAAAAGGTTACTGGCCTATGTATAGCTCCCTTAATTTACACATAAACTGACCTAAAACTGCACTGCACATATAATAAACCAATTCCCATTGAAATAAAGGTGAAGCCGTACCGCATAATTATATGATTTGATGAAACCCAACTGCTACCTGAAGTTTCTCGCCTATCGAAGTTATAATATCCGCCCGTGTCATGGCGGCTCGCACATTATAAGAATCATTGCTTTGAAAATGTAGAACGCATTAACACAAAGAAAAACTGATGGGTAACTAGTTTAGTGGTCCAGTCTTCACTATAATTTGTGATAGAATTACTTATTTAAAAAAAACTGAATGATGTAAAAATAAAAATGGTTGGAGTGCCCAAGTTTAGATTTGTCGTTGATTTCATAAAGATGTTAGGATATAGAACGTTAAATACTGTGTGATTCAACATGGCGGCCGAGGGGTTTAATATGATATAAGTACGAAATACATGTACATGTAGTACCAAATGGTTTATATGTATGAGAGTCAAGGTTTGGACTAAATGTCTTGGGGAAGTGGGGGGCGACTAGCATGTGCCTCTCTTTAGTGGACCGATGTGAGATTGCCCATTGTATTAACTGGACGGGTAGGCCTATTCACCTTCAGTTATGTGTCAAAGTCAAATAAGCGGCTTCGTATCAACACGGTCGGCTCTGGGCCGGTTTAATTCTACGTATCTCTAGTAGCTGAGAGAAAAAAGATTTTTTAGCCCAGAGAATATCTTCCGTCAGAGTGGTTGTTGATTCATAGATTCTAATAACCCCTTTTGAAGTTTATATGAAAGCTTTGATATCTGCTATGCAGATCTAGTTTTAATTTATTTCCATTTGTAAGTTCTCACTTTATCATACCAAAGTAGAGAGAGAGAGAAATGGGGTTTAACATCCAATCAACACAAACTAGGTTATTTTGGGACTAACACATGGTTCAGTTTTATTTCTATAATTCGCTTGCGCGTAGGGGTCTTTAGCAGTGGGAGGAAACCGGAGGACCCAGAGAAAACCCACAAGGTTGGACAGGCGACCCTACTCCTTGTCACGTACAACCGGGGATTCGAAACCACGCCAGTTGACTCAATGACAGACCTTATGATACAGCACACACGTGCTAACCATTCGGCCATCCAACCCCCCTCATCTCATACCAAAGGAAGGATTGGATATTTTGCAAAGTGGTAGGATTTACTGTAAAGTTTTGGTTGAAATGATGTCATTGGTTGATTTTGTACTACCAGGTACTGGCAAAAGGCCTGCTTGCGTTGCTATTGCAATTTGTAAAAGTTTTGATGGACATGTATCCATACACTTTTAATTATCAATGCTATACAAACAAAGGCTCATCTTATTTCCAACATATCACAATACTTGGGTCACTTTCAATTTTTTCATCCAGTGCTTCGTTGCTAATACCTAAAATATAGATTAAGATATGTAAGCTTTACAGTGACCAGTCATCAAAAAAAACTTCACTCATGTTAGTTCTGTAATCCGGGAAAAGAAGAAAAGTTCAAAAATTCATCACCAAAATCTGTCTCAAGTACATCTGTCTTTTCCACAACAGACTTTCAAAATGAGATTGAAAATAAGATTCATCTCTTTAAATCAATTGAAGAGACAGAAAGGACTATGGTTATAGATCATGTTTTTGGTTTGATCAATCCTGATTGCTTTAGTCCGTTTTTCACCAGTTACATTACATTTGCATTAGACTTACTAAAATGTAAATTTCATGCTTGGATTCAAAATAGACCAAAACCTACTGATTTTGCAGCAAATTTCATCAAAACTATGGCAGCCATCACACAAATGATATGGTATATCTTTTGACACAGGTTCAATCACACTGGTGGGTAATTTGATTGGATATTTATGAAGGCGTCTGATGTAACCTTTCATCAGGCCATATTGAATTAATTTCCTGAAAAATAGAAAACATTCATACAAAGTTAAGCATACAGTTGCCTAATTAATTATAATGGTGACAAGAAATTATGAATTTACTACCCAAAAGTGAAATTAGTTCAACTAACCACTTAAGAAATCCTGTTGTACTTAACCAAAATGCAAATGTCTGCCTCAATTTATAATGCAGACTAATGAAGACAAATATGTAATGTGCTATGTGTGAAATTTTGCCCATAGAGCCGTGTTCCTACGTACCCTTCTTCGAAATCCAATTGCCAGGACCTCAGTTTTTCATACCACCCAAACGACTAGACACTTTTTGTTACCCGGCCCTCTGTCCCTTAACACTGACAATCCAGAATGGAACTTCTCAGCCAACACCTGTAGTGAGCCAGCCCCTTACTCCTGAGCCACTGTGACAACCAAAAGCTACCATAGTTACTTACCGTTCGTCTATCTGAAGACTGTGTGGATTATATCTAGAACATAAATCTTTTACAGTTGTTCCTGCCGTTAAATTACAATACATCTGGAATATATCTCGAAAATTAGGTGGACGATGTTCTACAAATACACAAAGCATACAGTCATACATCAATGTTGCATCCATCTAAAACTATGAGAGAGATAGTTAATGTCAACATAAACTATGCTATATGGTGACTAACATGCTCCAATTATTTTCAATAATTTGATTGTGCGTAGGGATCTTAGTAGTAGGCGGACCCAGAGGAAACTCATGAGGTTACACAGGAGACTCTATTGCTTATCATAATATGTACATGTGGACGTATATTGTCGTCGCTCCTGACCGTCCGTCCATTCAGAATTTGTTTTTGGACACTCTACAGATCACAATTTTTATTCTATTTTGACGAAACTTAAAATACAGGTCTATCTCTCAAAGATCTTGGTTCCTTTCGTGATATTGGCATATATTGGACCATAACTTCATGGATTATCGCCCCCGATTGTACAAAAAATCACGATTTTGATGAAACTTGAAATGCATGTTTATAACCCAAAGATCTTGGTTTCTTTCGATACTTGCCCATATCGGATCGTAGCCAATTTAAAAAACGTTTGAATATATCACCGTTACACCCAAATGGTGGTTGAGATCGAATTTTGTGAAAATCAGACCCAAACTGCCAGACAAAATGGCCGCCCTTCATACGCATATATCTTGGTTCCTTTCGATATTCACGCATATCGGATAGTAAATTGCTAAATTATGGCCTTTGATTGTATGAAAAATCATGTTTTTAGCTTGTGATCTCTCTAGAGGTAACAATTTTTATCCGATTTAAAAAAACGTTTGAATATATCACCGTTACACCCTAATGATAGTTAAGTTTAAATTTTTAAGAAGATCGGACAAAAACTGCCAGACAAAATGGCCAATCCTTGTACGCAAATAGTGTAAATATACGATATATCAAGGTTGTGGACCCTCCAGAGGCCACAATTTTGCACCGATTTTGATGAAACTTAAAATACATGTTTATAACACAAAGATCTTGGTTCCTTTTGATATTCGCGCATATCGAATTGCAACTTCCTGAAATATGGCCCTTGACTGTACGAAAAATGGTGGGGGTTTTTAGCTTGTGGTCCCTCTAGAGGTAACAATTTTTATCCGATTTAAAAAAACGTTTGTATATATCACCGTTACAGCCTAATGATAGTTGAGTTTGAATTTCGTGAAAGTCGGACCAAAACTGAGTTATGACCCTCGATTGTACGAAAAATTGCGTTTTTAGCTGGTGGTCCCTCTAGAGGTCACAATTTTTATCCGATTGACATAAATGTTTGAATATATCACTGTTACACCCTAATGACGGCTGAGTTCGAATTTCATTAAAATGAGACCAGAACTGCCAACAAAATTGCTGCTCCTCATACGCAAATAGTGTAAATATATGGTATATCAAGGTTGTGGACCCTCTAGAAGTCACAATCTTGATCTGATTTTGATGAAACTTGAAATATATCTTTATAACCCAAAGATCATGGTTCCTGTTGATATCCGTGCATATCGAATCTTAACTTCCTGAATTATGGCCCTTAATTGTACGAAAAATTGCTTTTTGTTTAGCTTGTTCTTTATCCATCTCTTGCAAAATGTGGGCGTATCCTGCCTGGCAGCTGCTGGTAATATTATAATGTATGCCCACAGGTTGTACCATAACCAAGTTAATTTCTTCCAGAATACTTGATACGTTCTTAAATCTGATTCTGTAAATGACAAGTACCTTTTCTAGCTATAAAGAATATACATTCTGCCTGTAGATCTGGATCATTAGCTAATTGTTGTAGTTCTGGTGTTACTGTATAAACATTAGAATATTGAAATATAGAGATGCCTTGTATAACTTGATAATGTATTAAATTCTGTAGACATGCCTTTACTCTATTTACTTCTATATCAGCCTCTGCAGCTATTTTAGCTACATGCGAGAAGCCATCTACATAATGAAGAATCTGAAACAAATTATAATTGATATAATATATACTCTTCAAAAAAAGAAATGCACAGCATATTTTTCATCATTTTTATATTTGAACGGGTTCGTTGTTTCCATAAATCTAACTTGTTTATAATGTCATTATGTAAGGATAAAAGAAATTCATTATTGGTTTTAAATGTAGGGTCACTAATTGTGACTGGTCATACTTTTTGCCGAAATTTGTTTCCGCTTGATTGCACCAAGACACATGAATTGAACAACTTTGCGAGCTTTTCGCATGAAACCCAAATCTAAGGCCTTTAAAATCCTAGGGTTCTCGGTTTCTAAATCAGTTGCACATGTAAATACTCAACGAGCCAAGTGATGCCACATCTGAACGAAGACCAATGCAACTACGCTATCGGTCGATTACAAACAGGTGAATACCAGAAAGGTGTAGCCAGGCTGCTGAATGTTTCCCAGAGTACCATCTCTTGCCTTTGGGAAAGATACCGACAGCAAAGTTTAACACGTGACCACCCAAGCTCAGGCCAAACAAGAATGATCCCACCTGCCCTGGATCGTCACATCCGGTTACGTTATTTGTGGAAACGGTTCACAACAGCGACCTCTACTGCAGCAGCAATTCCTGGACAGCGTAGGATCTCAGTCCAGGCAGCCCATAGGCGCCTACGTGAAACCATATTACGAGCCAGATGTCCAGTTAGCACTGTTGTTTTGAAATAAGCTGACACCCGTCAAATCCGACTTCAATGGTAGAGCGAAGGTATACCGACAACAAAATGTCACTATGCATTTCTTTTTTGAAGAGTATATTTACAACTATTCCATTTTAAATTACTTGGGTGTTCGAATGCTACATCTTACAGATCCAACAAAAACCAAAAGTCTTTAATGAGACAAACCTACAGACTTTAATGAGATAAACAGACAGACTTTAATGTGACGAACAGACAGACTTTAAAGAGACCACACAACAGACTTTAATGAGACAAATCAACAGATTTTAATGAGATCAACTAACAGACTTTAATGTGACAGACTTTAAAGAGACCAACCAACAGATTTTACTGAGATAACTAATAGACTTTAATGTGACAAACAGACTTTAACAAGACAAACAAAAAGACTTTAATGACACAAACAAACAAACTTTAAAGAGCCAAACAAACCGACTTTAATGAGACAAACCAACAGATTTTAATGATACAAACTAACAGACTTTAATGTGACAAACAAACAGACTTTAAAGAGACCAACCAACAGAATTTAACTGGACAAACCAACATATTTTAATGAGATAATTTAACATACTTTTATGTGACAAACCAACAGACTTTAAAGAGACCAACAAAACAGACTTTAATGAGATAAACAAACAGTCTTTATGAGACACACCAACAGACTTTAATGAGACACACCTGCTGTGTTGTTAGATCCCATGTATATTCTGTTATATCTTTATTTTGTACTAACACTGGGACAGCATGATCTTCTATGAATGGTGGTTCTGATGTACATTGAGCTACCTTAAGATGAATGATACAGGAATCACCTGTAAATACAAAAATAGGTTGCCAGGCTATGAAACATACGCTCACAGCAGCTAAATTGTCCAAGCGGTCGACAAGGATTGTCGCACATTTATTCTTTTGTAGGTAATTGGGGGCACTGATTTATAAGATAATTTCATACAGATCAGATTATAATTTTCGTCGTTTGAGAGTTCACAAGGTTCTACAAACTGAAACAAGGGCCTTAACTCTGGAGGTAATTTACAGGAATTGGTGAAATTCGACCGGCTTTTTCATTTTACTAATTCAAATAATGCCTATAAATTTCATACAGATTGAATTATAACTTTTGCCATTTGAACATTCACAAGTTCAACAAAGTAAAACAAGAGCCATAAATTTAGAAATAATCGACAGAAATTGCTGAAATTCAATAATCTTCTTGATTTCATTAAATTAAACAATGCATATAAATCTAATACAGATCGTGTCGATATATCAAATGATCTGGATAAATTTCATACCCTTCGGATGATAACTTTTGTCTTTAGAGCATTCACAAAGTGCAATAAAGTGAAACAAGGGCCATAACTCTAGACGTTATGAACGAAAATTGCTGAAATTCAATAGGCTTCCTCGTTTCACTAATTTCAATAATGCATATAAATTTCACAAAGATAGGATGATAACTTTTGGCGTTAGAGCCTTCTCAAGGTCCAACAAAGTGAAACAAGGGCCATAACTCTAGACGTAATAAACAGAAATTATTGAAATTAAATAGGCTTTTTCATCTCACTAATGTCAACAACATATATAAATTTTAAAATAATCGGATCATAACTTTTGGTGTTAGAACATTCAGAAGAAATTATGGACAACGGACGGATGGACAGGGGCGACGGCAACATACGTCCACATTTCCATGTGGGCGTATAAAAACAACAAAGAGTGCAATTTTGTCATAGTATTGGTTGCCATAAGTACAATATGTTTATGGCCATATTTCATATATATTTACAGCGCCCGTTCAACTTTTAAAATGAAAGTCTGAAAAGCTCTGTCCTTTGAATGTCAATATGGAGATAATTCTAAAATCTGCAATCAAAACATTTTTCATTTCAATACAATTTTTTGCCTAATCTCTGAAATAAGTCTGCAAAGATTCAATAAGAACTGTAATGAGTAGCACGTTCACAAGAAATGTTAGACAGACCAAGACCAAGTGAATGGATGCATTAAATTTAGGCCCACAAGCAGCTTTATATCCTCGTCATAATTAAATATCCTCTCAATTTTATTCTATTTCTAAAATATTTAAAACATTGATATCTTGATGAGTGATTAATTCTAATATATTTAAAACATTGATATATTGATGAGTTATTAAGTCTAAAATATTTAAGACATTGATATCTTGGTGGTTATTAATTCTAAAATATTTAAAGTATTGATATCTTGGTGGTTATTAATTCAAAAATATTTAAAATATTGGCACCTTGATGGTTATTAAATTTGGCCATACTAGTTTAAAATCTTTCATTTATTTATAAATGAAAATCTAATGGGTTCTTCCTGGTACATATATTATCAATCTGTTTCACTGAGTATTACGAAAGTCTTCTAATATCTCTGTAAAAGATGACTGCCTTCAACACATGACGTCATATCACACAGCGTCAATCATTGGCTCAATGGCACGTGCATTGTTTACATAAGGTGTTACTGATTCAAGCAGAATGGCGCCTTTTACTCATTTTAATACCCATTTACACTAAAATAGGAAATAATTTTTACCTATAAATACTCCCAAACGTCTTTATTTATTTTTCTAATACATAAAAAAAAATGTTTTAGAATTTAATTCCCAAACGTCTTTATTTATTTTTCTAATACATAAAAAAAAATGTTTTAGAATTTAATTTGTCGGAACAAAAAAGTTAATATTAATTTGTGGCTCATTAAATCGCATTGATGTCATCCTTATCAGTGATTGTAGCGGCCTAGTGAATATTCACTGAGGATCAGTGTGGCATAGTATTTGTCACATCTAAAGTGTTAATAAAAATTGTGAATGGCAAATACGGGCAATGGCGATATATGACCAAATTAAATCTGGCATATAAAAAAGAAATTAAAAATTACCCATAGCAAGGTTACAATATCCATAGCTGTTTAAACGATCCTTCAGATTCTTTAAGAGTGTTGGTATTTCTTTCTTTTTTTCTTCACTAAACAAAAATTCATTTTCTAACTGAAATACAATGTAGAAAATATCAGTAAGGTTAGCAAACATTAATGCCTTGAAAATTGTTTGATTCTTTTAATTTGTAAATCATTGACAGTGGTCTTCCTGGTTCTTCATTGACATGTACAATGTATAGTGATAGCCTGTTTGTGTTAGAGTAAAATTGATGACCTATTCTTATCAAATGAATCTAAATTTGCTTCAAATATCTTAGTAATTTTTTATTTTTTTTTTTAAATGAAATGAAATGAAATAGAGTTTAATGTTCTACTGTTCTACTCCGACTTGGCTAATGAAAACGGGGATACGCCATACAGCGACGCTAAGGTCTACTCTTATATCGAACTCTAACTGCCACAGGATCTTTTACGTGTATGCCAATGTGTACACAGGACTAGAAAGTTGTTCTTGTCAGGCCCTCCATCCCTGCACCACTGAGAAGGGAAAAACCACGCCGGAAAATCCGATGGAACTTTCTCGACCAACGCCTAGACAGCGAGCCAGCGTCTTACCTGGAGATTTGTGGATTAGCTATCACTTTTCCAAGATTTTATCAGGTACTAGAATATAGTTACACATAAAAACAACCAAGAAAGCATAACTATATCTTATCAGGAACCTATATAAGCTCACCAGCAGCAGCTCTAAAATTAATATCACCAAATTCTGCAGAGAAAGTTTATTTTAACAAATGTGGGGGATAAAAAGAAACAATTTCATTTGATTATCATTACCTCTAATTGAGTTAAGTATGATGCTAATTTTTTCACAACAGATTCATAGGTCCAGGTGACGAAATCTTTTTGAAAAACTAGGCACAGGTTAAATTGCAAAGCATTTCTTTTATATTTGGTATTTTGTATACAAACTGGACACCCAACAATAATATGCTTAGAAACATTTCTGTAATAAACATTCAGCAACTGATGTAAATAGTACAAATAAAAACAATAGATATGTTACCAGGCAATCCACAGTAGCTACACTGTAAGGGTTTGAGCAGTTTATAAAGATTGTTGTGTTCGTATGAGAAGCAGTCCAAACTTAATTAAAGCCTCCAAGATGCTAAAAAGATTCCATAACAAAGGGGAATAAATGGAAGTTATTATGAATTAGATTAATTAATAGGGTTTTCCTGTCAATAGGATAGATAAATAATATAAATTTCAGAGAAAAAAAACCCTAATAATTGGCATCTATGGTATAAAGTATACTTTTTCATTTCAATGGGACAGACAACCCATGGCAATGCCAGAAAGATATAAGGATTATTGTAGCCTCTAGTCTAGTGTATTAAACATAAAATTAAATTTGTAGGATTGATTCTATGATTGTCATCATTATCTATCTGCAGATAAAATATAGAAATTCATACCTAATCTAACAAGCCAACAGTGAGGCTGATGTCCCCCGCCGAAATAGGAAAATAATTAGAGGACACATATAATTATCGTGCCCCAAAGTATCAACCAATCAAATTGCTTATCTCTGCTTACCCTAAGCGGAAAATGCTCATCTTCGAACTCCATCAAGGCATTGACCTAATAAACACATACACCAAGTTTGAACATTCTAGCTCAATTAAAAGTTATCGTGTCCCAAAGCATCAACCAATCAAATTGCTTATCTCTGCTTACCCTAAGCGGAAAATGCTCATCTTCGAACTCCATCAAGGCATTGACCTAATCAACACATACACCAAGTTTGAACATTCTAGCCCAATTAGGAAGAGAGTTATCGTGTCCCAAAGCATCAACCAATCAAATTGCTTATCTCTGCTTACCCTAAGCGGAAAATGCTCATCTTCGAACTCCATCAAGGCATTGACCTAATAAACACATACACCAAGTTTGAACATTCTAGCTCAATTAGGAAGAGAGTTATTGTGTCCCAAAAAGTGTGACGGACAGACAGACGGACGGACGGACGGACGGACGGACGGACGGACGGACAGACGGACAGACAGACAGACAGACAGACAGACGGACGGACAGACAGACGGACGAACCCATTTTAATAGTCCCCTGCTTTCTTCGAAAGGCGGGGGACAATAAAAATAAATTGCAAATTCATTTTGTACATGCAGGTCAAACCCCATAATATTTCTTTGACAGGAGAAGATCAGATCATGTGAATTGATAAAACAATCAAACTGATACAGAAAGAAACATTTTGGGGATCTGTGGTTTTTGTGACAAATGACTTCTAATACCCAATACTATGATACAGGTTAACAGGTCACATTGTCAAACCTTTCTCTTGTTTCTCCAAATTATACTTCATTTTTTGCCATCTGGGTGGTGTACTTACACTGTGATTATTCTATTTTTTAGTTCTTGTTTTGTAATAATATAGATGCTAACTGCATCAAATTCCTCTTTGCTAATGTAATCTTCTGGTACCTACAAGTCAAAATTGATAAATTAGTCATAAAGAGAAATTACATATTACATCACAACCTATAGATTCCTTTAAGACTCGGTGTATGGAAAAAAAATGAAGATTTTTATTTGATTCTTCTATATAGCATAAAGCTTTCGAAAGTGCATTCTTTAATTGATTGTACACATATGGCAACATATAGGCCTAGGGCATGCTTATTTGATTTTATTGAAAAATCCAATACTAATTTTACAAGCTGAGTTGTCTGAACAAATATATTTGGTTACTAACTTGTGAAAATGTGCACATACAGTAAATGAAATTGGTCACTTTTTGCAACAGAACATAATTTAGAGTTATTTTCTGGATTTTGATTAAGCACTTTACCATGAATAATATATATAGATGTAGGCTTACATGATTTCTGAGATAGTGTAGTAGATACCTTAACTTTATTTAAAATACTGTGCCATACAGGTTAAGTAGATTTATCTCCCTTTCACTAATACAATAATATATTTTTAGGAGCGGTAGTTTGTATTTATCAGCCTGAATCTTAAGTGCCACTCAGCAAAACTCGGCAGACTCCAGTACCCTACATCTAGCCTTGGTTGTATGACGAGTTCTACCATTGGAACTACTTTCAAGTTCCCGGATTACAAATGGCAGCACCCATGAAGACGTCTGTGAAGTGTTTTTCTCATACAAAGCTTTCATTGTCTGAAGCTGTTTTTCTTTCAAGTTTATCTGATTTTCTTTAATTAATAATGAAGGACAACTTTGCAATGAAAACACTACACACTCTTCAAACGACACCATTTTTAGAACTTTTTTCTAAAAGCGGCAAGTTTTCCTAATAAGTAAACCAGTAGCCACATCACAATTGTATGGGTGTAGCTACATATCATTTATCGTCATACAGCCGAGGCTAGATATAGAGTACCAGATGCTGCCGAGTGACTCTAGTGCATACTTATATTTATCTCCCCTTGTTGAACTAACAAGCAAAGTTTACACATTGCCATATTTCATTATTATTGTTTGTCATTTGACTTTTCTCTCTTTGAATAATCTGTATTATTATACTATTCAAAAAAAGTAGGGGATATTTGATTTTGGGGGCATAATACTAAAATATGCAAATGACTACGAAAAAAGTCACTATAGAACCTAACAGAAGAAACATTTCCAGTTACATGTGACGCCCAAACGCACCAATAGCTACCGCATGGAATGCAGGTGATGCTTGGGATCATCATGGGGGTCCAACCCAAGATTTGCACGACTCTGACTTTGAATGTTACAGTCATTGTGGCATTGAATTCCAGGGTGGAAACATCAGTTTAATTGTTTTAGTGACCAGAAAACAAATTTTGATATGCATCGGCTTACCCAAAATGAAAGGTTACGTGCCCTTGGCATGCTACAGATCGGCACAACACAGGCGGTTGTGGCGCGGACGATGAATGTTTCTCAGTCTGTCATAAGCAGGCTATGGTCCAGATACCGTGATACACAATCTGTACAGGACAGACCACGCTCAGGTCGACCAAGGGCGACAACTCAAGTCCAGGATCGATTTATCCGTACCTTGGCCTTGAGAAATCGTGTCATCACAGCAAATCAGATCAGCGCTCGTCTTCAAACAGACACTGGTGTGAGAGTGAGTGGCCAGACGATTCGGAATCGACTGCATAAGGGTCACCTTTGCGCCCGACGTCCTCGCGTGATCCCTTGTTTGAGAGATCATCACATTCAGGCAAGACGTCGTTGGTGTAGGGATCGTCAACACTGGGATAATCAACGCTGGAGCAATGTGATGTTTTCAGATGAGTCAAAGTTCACTGTTGATTTTTTGGACAGACGTAGGAGGGTGTGGCGTCGTCGAAACGAGCGCTTCCAAGACGTTAACGTCATCAGACATGATCGATTTGGGGGTGGTTCTGTTATGGTGTGGGGAGGCATCACTGTTGCTGGAAGAACGGCTTTACATGTTGTTGCAGGGCGTGTTACAGGCCAGTACTACCGGGACAACATCTTGGCAGTCCATGTTGTGCCGTTCGCATGACGTCATGGCCGCCGTTTCATCTTCCAGGATGACAACGCAAGATGTCACAGGGCCAGGATCGTTAGTTAAAAACTAGATAATGTAAAGGGAATTTGCTGAAAATTTTAGTCAAATTAATTCACTCTGAATCGAGAATTTAGCAATTGAATTTTAGGCCCAGTTTCGGTTATCATTAATAAAGTCGGTACGATAAAAAAAATAGTCTTGATTATCCATTTTTGGATTACACTAACCATGCATTCAAACTGAAACATTACTATCTCCAACAGTGTTACCCAAGAGATATAATCCAATCAAACAGAACCAAAGCCGATCAAATTAATAGGAACACTCTCCTACAAACCAAAATACCCCCCGAGACCAACAATCGTCCAGTCTTTATTACAGATTACAATCCTACTTCGGTATACATCAGCAAAATCATCAAGGACAACTAGCTTATCCTCCATAGCTCCCATGATTGCCTTAGGGCCTTCTCCCAACCTTGACTTACAACTTTTAGGCGGAACCCATCCCTAAAAGATTTGTTAACCTCAGCCACCATCAAAAATCCCGCACAAAAACCCCAAGTCAGTGGGAAAAGTTACGCATATTCAGACTCTCTATATGCAACTTACCTAATTGTCAATTGCAAAATGCTTAAACCAAAGACCACGCTCTGTTCCACTCAAACTGGCAAAATGTACAAATGTCCCAACAACTGGACTTGTCACAGTAAGAATGTAATATATAAACCTTCTCACAGGCTGTAATCTATGCCGTAAACAATATGTAGGTGAAACCAAAAGATTGTTCTGCATTAGGCAGAAGGGACATTATGCTGACATTACCCATAAGAGAGACACCCCGGTCGCCACTCACTTCCACTTACCAAGACACTCCAGTCGAAACATTGACTATCAAATAATTAAACAACTTGGCACAAACCCTGACCTCAATAAATCTACTACCAACAGACACACCATAGAACTCCATTGGATTATAAGATTAAAAACCTTTCAACCATACAGGTATCAACAACAAAATCTGAACTTGGGCACCCCCCATTTATTTTCCTTGTTATCCATTTTTTTGATTTAATCATCAATGAGCTTTGAGCAGCAAATCGGATTCAAATCCAGTAAATATAGCAATGAAATCGAGAGTTAATTATGGTCTGGACAAGTTAATTAATGTCTAATTAATAATTTAGATAACATTTCAGGCCTAAAGAAAGACCTGCAATAGGCAGATTTAGCTCTTGCATAATGTATGTTTAAGGGAGTTATAGGCCAGTAACTTTTTTGTAATCAATCTGATTACAAAAATTGTGCAAAGAAAGTCTTTAGAACCTTTCTACCTTTCTTCTGATATCTTCTGAGGGAACCTTTTTAGACTTCATTATGATATCTAACAGTATTTTGGGGGCTGCTTTAAACAGTTTGCATACCGGTATTAATAAATAAAATGGCACAGGGGATCACCTTGAATTTACTTTTGAATCGTCATTAAGTAAGTCCCAACCGTTAGACGGAGAGATATAATTTCTGTTTGTCAAGTACCGAGAACAAATTGCAAAATAATTTCTTTCACTAGAATCTAGTAAAAAATTGTCTTAAGGACTCCCAACTCAAAATTGTCCACTGAAACCCTGTAGCGTTTTTCATAATTAGCATAAATCCAAGATGGCCGCCAATTGGACTTTCTGGCCTCCATATCTTGGAAACGGCTCGTTTTAGAGCAATAAATGTATTATCATTAGATACAAAAGTGATATCAACGAATCGGAAAAAAGGTTATCACGACGCCAGCAGGTCATGGTGTGGCGTCATGACGGCATTGTGACGTAATGACGTCAAAACACTTAGTCCTGCAGAACTATGGCTGAACCTGGAAGATGTACACATGGATTTTTTTTTATGATTGATTTTAGTAGCCTATGGTGTCCTCTTTAAGAATCTGCCGATTGAACCTGGGTCACCCTCGAGCGTTTTGAGAAATTCAAGATGGCGTCCAAGACGGCCGTCATTTTAAATAATCACCTGTAACCCCCATACTATTTTGTCTAGTATGATAATTTTGGTGTCTAACCGTATGTTTTTGGAGCCAAGGAATACACCGAAATCATACATTATGTTGTGCGGTGATTAGATGATAGTAAAATGCAAAATGTAAGACAATATGGCCTTTAACTCGATAGCGGCGGTTTGGACAATAATTATTTCACCGAACCAAACTATATATTTATGGACATAGAAGCATCTGATTGATACGATAACACTACATACATGCCTAACAGGGGGTCCAGGGCCACATGGGACGGCCTTGAAAAGAAGGGCACAATCTGTGTTTTGATCATTTAAAAAGCAAATTCTACCCACAAAATACCCCCACAAAACTAGGCAATATTCAGTTTAATCCTTTAGGCAATATTCAGTTTAATCCTTTAGTCGTGTGTCTGGTTGCAACCTGCGACTTCACAGGTGCAAAATACTATACATTCTAAGCCACCCCTAGTGCAGCTACAAACGTACTATTTGGATCTGCATTTGAAGAGCCACAGGAGGAATTTGACAGATTGTAATGTTCTCAATTTAGTCTCCTTAACCCAGCAATACAGTTCTGGATCAAGTTCTGGTGGATTGCGATCTTCCAATGAACGCCACCGTGGTGACATCGTTTTACTTTCCATACGAATGCATCATTCGTTGGAGCAAGACTACATGGTTTAAATGTGGATGATGACGATATATTTTCAGTTTCGGATGACTATACCCTCCAGCGTGTTTCAGGCGTCGATTTGCAAGGAGCTCTGTCCATAACAAGTTGACAAGAATCACGTTGGTGGGTATGGACATCTAAAAGTCATCATCCCCACTCAAACATGGTAGTCTTGCTCAATGAATGATGCATTTACAGGGAACATAAAAAGAGCTCATCAACAAGCCATTGCTGGGTGAAGGATACTAAATTGATAACACTACAACCGGCCAACTTGCTCCGGGGTCTGTCATGTGTCACATCAGATGCAGATACAAGATTGACACATCATGCAGTACACTTGCTTGTAGATGCACTACGGGTGGCTTAGAATGTACAGTATTTTGTGCTTGTACTGTCTTAGGTTGCAACCAGAAATACGACCAAATGATTGAACTGAATATTGCCTAGTTTTGTGGGGGTTATTTTCGTGTTTTGTGGGTAGAATTTGTTTGTTTAAATGTTCACAAAACAGCTTGTGCCCCCCTTTATCCAGAAATATGTAGTTTGTCTCTAGATATAGTTTGGTTTGGTGAAATAATGGTCCATATTGTCTGGCATTTTAGATTTTACTATCATCTAATCACCCCACAACATAATGAATGATTTCAGTGTATTCCTTGACCCGAGCAATATACGTCTAGACCCAAAAATTATCGTCCTAGAATAAATACTATGGGAGTTATGGGGGATTATTTGAAATGGCGGTCGTCTTGGACGCCATCTTGAATTTCGCAAAACGCTCAAGGGTGACCAGAGTTCACCCGGCAGATTCTGAAAGAGGACACCATAGGCTACTAAAATCAATCCTAAAAAACTTTATAGACAATTTCCAGATTCACTCGAAATATTGAGTTTTGACGACCGGACAAACTGCTTTGATACCGAATAAGCGGGTTTGACGTGAGTTCTGGTGTCTTAGAGAACTAAGAATAAGCGAGGTGAGAACTAGTTTGATTTTGTAACACTGACTGGACTGGAATTCAATCTGGTGAGTGAAATTCTATCTGCACTGTACATGCACATGAGCATTAGGAGGGGTAACCGAAATGTCCAACCGGTGAAGCTGAGCAGCCCGATTGATTACATTCGATCACTTAGTGGTGAGCTTGACAACATCCCCACCATTATTTAGGTTATTGTCGCAAATTATGCACGTATCCATGGCGAAAGGCGGCTCTTTTCACAAAATTAGCAAAACAAGTTTCAAATATCTGGGGAAAACCCAGACTGGATTGCAAGCCAATCACCAGAGCTTAACACAATGGTTCTCAACCCTTTTTTGCCAACGGCACACCTTGGAACACATGAAAAAATAGCAGCACACCTGGTTAAATATATATGAAAAATATTTGAATTTTGCAAATTAAAACATGGCAAGTCACAGACAGCAAACATCCGTAGACACAGACTGGTCAAAGACAATAGAATGACTCAAATTAAATATAAAAAAAACCCACAGCTATGAACTTACCAGTGAATACTCATTTGGGATCACGTGGTTTTTCCCATTTTCTTAGTGTGTCGTTCAAAATTTCGCGGCTCACTTATGAAGGAAGATCTCGCAGCATACGTGTGTGCCGTGGCACACTGGTTGAGAATCACTGGCTTAACAACATCCCCACTATCATTGTGGTTATTGCCGCCAATTTTGCACGTATCCATGGTGAAATACAACTCTTTTCACATAATTCCAAGCCAATCGCAAGAGCTTGACAACATCCCCACCATTATTTACATTGTAGGTTATTCCCACAAATTATGCACGTATCCATGGCGAAATACGACTCTTTTCACAAAATTAGCAAAAGAAAGTTTCAAACATCTGGGGAAAACCCAGACTGGATTCCAAGTCAATCACCAGATTGGATTCCAGTCCAATCAGTCAGTGTCACAAAAACAAACTAGGTCACAGCACCGCTTATTCTGAGTTCTCTAAAGCCTAGCTTATGTCGCCCTACGACGCGATAAAACTGACTGAGACTTGCAATCGGCAATTGATTTACGATCAAGCGGAACTGGTCAGTTGTGTCTATGAGGGCGACCTGAGCGCTGTTACGACTGGTGTAAGTCGGATGGCAACCAGTCGCCGTCCAGTTTCTCTGAGTCGCACATGTTCTACTCTTAAGGCCTGTTCTCACGGTGCGACTTGTAGTAACTACTTGTAGTATCTACATGTAGTATCTACATGTAGATTACAAAATCGTATATAAATGAGTTGATACGACTTGGAATCTCGCGATAATCTCGTCTTGTCTTAGCATAATGGCGTCATCAAGCGACGAAGAGACGCTGGCTATTATTGCCCAACATTTGATAAATAAGAACAAAAAGAAAAAGAGAAAACCCAAATCCGTCTGGGTTAGACAGTGGATACTGCATAGACCCACTGCCGGCACGTACAGTTCCCTATTACGTGAACTTGCTCAGCCTTGCTGAGCGGCTCTTGATGGGTGCGCTTCGCGTCCATGTTTACCAACAACAAAGGGAGAGAACTTGTGATTGTACTAATACTCGACGTCTCTGATGGGTCAATTTCATACGATCTGTTGACCGAAATAGGGAAGTTTCTATTTCGCTCAACTCGCTTTCAACTGGTTGGGAGCTTGTAAAAGTTGGTACGATTAGGGTGTTCTCACGCTGCATCTCGGGTCGATACTACAAGTAGTTACTACAAGTCGCACCGTGAGAATGGGCCTTTACGACTGGAGACAACTAGTTGTCCCTAGTCACAAGTGCACCTACGACTGGCTTAAGTCGGCGCTTCGCTGACGTAGCCAATAAGATTTGATTATTTAGTCACGTGGTACCAGGGGCGGTAACAACCACGGGAGACAAGTGGAATGAAGCCATTTTGAAGGTTATCACGTGTCAGTCATGTGATCAGTTGTGGCTTCGATTCTTCAACTGACGCCGGGCAAAATGAGCGCGCTTACGACTATGATCAACTGATTGCTCGTGGTTGCGTCTAGTCGTGGATAAATTCAGTCGTAGCGACATAAGCTGTCAGTTGCCGATAGTCGCGGCCGGTTTCATCGTGTCGTAGGACGACATAAGCTAGGCTTAAGACATCAGAACTCACGTCAAACCCGCTTATTCAGTATCAAAGCAGTGTTTTGACGTCAAAATAACGTCAGTGTGACGTCACACCATGACCTGCTGGCGTTGTGATAATTTTATTTTCCAATTCGTTGATATCATTTTTGTATCTAATGATAATTTTCCAATTCGTTGATATCATTTTTGTATCTAATGATAATACATTTATTGCTCTAAAACGAGCCGTTTCCAAGATATGGAGGCCAGAAAGTCCAATTGGCGGCCATCTTGGATTTATGCTAATTATGAAAAACGCTAAAGGGTTTCAGCGGACAATTTTGAGTTGGGAGTCCTTCAGACACCCCTTTACTAGATTCCAGTGAAAGAAATTCTTTTGCAATTTGTTCTCGGTAGTTTTTTATTTCTCTCCGTCTACGTCATCAAATTTGTGTGGATTGAATTCTCACAATCCCAAAAATTGTGACAATGGGGAGTGAAAAGGGGGATTTCGTGCTACAAGGCATGCACGGACTGCAAAAGAAAATATCTCAACCAACCATGAGTCCACGACAGCTGAAACATTTGTTGTGTTTAATTACATCACACACCGAAACGTCGCCAGTCCGAGTCCGAAAAGTCGCCTGACCGAGTCCGAAAAGTCGCCGAGTAAGTCCGAAAAGACGTTTGTGTTGAGTCCGAAATGACACGGGACCGCAATGACGTGCTACCCTCCATTGTAGGGACTGACAGAACTGTGACACTGATGGGAGTGAATTACATATCGTCACTTGATTGCAATTCTGTCAATTCGGAACGTTCTGGACTGGCAATTGAGCATCCTCATATACAATGTCCACATTGACTCCATGACACGATCAAGTCATATTGACCTCGTCCGCACTAGATACGAAACCTAATCTCTCAGTAATTCTACGTTTTTAGCTACGTTCTCTCAGCTAACTCAACAAACTGAACTCACTCGAAACTGCGTGTAAAATAATGTTTACTTCTAAATTGACATTTGTTTATATCATGACAAGTATTTGTGTACAGACCTGGTAAACAATTTTTGGACCAGCAACTGGGTGAAATTCGCTATAGAAAATAGATTTAATCATTACAGTGATTACAAAAACAGCGTAAATGTCGACAACTTTTCAACTTTCTGCTGGTTTCCCCAAAACTATGATGAGAGTTACTTCCCCGTATTTTGTAAATTCTGGAGCCATTATTCTGATCAATAAAATACGAAACGCAATTGGAAATATACCAAAGTAATAATATATTAATTTAATACTGTTTCATGAAGTATCCAACAATATTACAATCAATATGATTAATCTGTATAAATATATAAATTTCAGATTTCATTGCCAAAATACTTTCATATTTTATTTTATTATTCCCTTTCTTCTTCGAATCCTAAATAGAAAATAGTTGAAAAACAACATGGTTGCAAATGTCGAGGCCTGGTGAACTTTGCTCAGTTAAAATAGTTGTTTATCAGCAAAGTGACCCATATTCGGCCAAAACAAGACAACAAAATATATGGTTCATAATGGTTGCCCATTTTGTAACCGTATTGTTAACTGGTTTTATCATTTATACAGCATGGGCTCCTGGTGCAAGTGAGTGAAAGACATTAAATGACAAAGCGCATCACGTCACAATCTTTGGCAAATCAATATTAAATAGTTAGATTTTTCCTGTGGTCGTAAAACCTTATTTTGATTTGATGAGCATATTGTTACAAATCTCATAAATTCTCTACAACTACAGGTCAGAGATTCTGAGATTTTTTTCAAACTTTGTGATGACTAATATGATTACATGTCATTTGGGACTCACGTCATTTGATTTGGGACTCGCGTCATTTGGGACTAAAAAAAATATGACCACGACATTTGGGACTCGGGTATACGACGTTTGGGACTTTGGTATACGTCGTTTGGGACTCAGGATAATTTATTAGAAATAGGCCAATTCAAAACACGAAAGAAAATATTTATTAACATGAAACACGTGGTTAGTAAAAGGCTCAACCAAACGATAAAACATTAGTTGCACATACGGTTCTTTGATAATCATCGTTTCTCATAAAAGTTATATATTAATTTAAAACGAATAATTTGCTGATGACTTTATTTGAAAATGACCTACACAAAAAACAAAATAAATATTTACACGACATGCAATCTTTTTTTACAAGCCCCTAGAAATTGTTAACGATAATCTGTGAGCTGCACGTTGACATGCTTGTCGTACATGGCAATACCAATAGATAAATTAGTGCGTACACAGCAAAGTTTTTTTGTGGAAAATATAAGAAATGGCAACGATCAAAGTGGGATAATTAAAGCTGATTAACTGATAATCCCGATGTTATTGCAGTATGTTCAAAGAAACCTAACGGTTCTTTGGTGGATGAGGAAAAACGTGAGTTGTCAATCATCGGGAATGGCGGCCGTGTGTTGATTGCAGTTATACCGTTTCACGAAAAAACATTAGCAGTGGTCGGTCAATCAAGCTCGTTTACTATTTGATAAAAGAAAAACAACGAAGTATTACTAAATATACACAAATTTTCAACAATACATTATTGTCAAGTTTTATACTCGCAGATAAAACAAAACACAGGAGAAGTTTTATACTCGCAGATAAAACAAAACAAAGGAGAACTAGCAGTTTTAATCGCGGTCTCAACAATCGCCGATCAACTAAATAAAACGAAAGACAACTAAGACAGCTGTTACTATATATCTCATAAATAAATAGTCCCAACTGTCGTTTATATGGAGTCCCAAATATCGTTTGTGTTGAGTCCAAATTGACGCCAATCAAGTCCCAAACGTCGTCAACTGAGTCCCAAATGTAGTTTATGTTGAGTCCCAAATGTTGTGAGTCCCAAATGACGTGATACCACCAATATAACCATGATCAGCTGAGTAAACTTCAGTGTCTTGTCGTCAGCTGCTACTATTGGGTATCCAGACAACTTGGACCAGTTGTTAGGAGTGTTGGGTGGCCAGTCACCTCTGGATGGTGGTTTCGCTCCCTGGTGTGAGCGTATGTGGCTTGGGTTTACTCCGGTCCCCTCCCACCTCCCCCGCCTCCACAGGAAAGACCCCTGGGCGTGCGCTAAGGTATTAAAATGAAAATAAAACAACTTGCCTGAGATACCACCTTGGTGGCAAACGGATGTTAACCACTAAGGACAAAAACAAAACAAAACAAATTGGTTCAGCTGCGAACGTCGGTCTCATTACACTCACCCTGTATGTTCAGGAACTGTAATATTGAATCCTTGTCGAAAAAGAATCGTCTCTTAGTCAATTTTACTTGACAATTTTTTACTGCTAAACCGTTGTGTGTCAGTCTCTGTGAACGCCTGAACAATATAAAGGGACATTTTAGTGAGAAAATAAGACCTTGCTTACCTTGCTGGAGTCAGTATGTGCAACACAACATGTTAAAAATACATCCCCGTCTGCTAAACGACTTGGCAGAAGCCATTGAAATCTAAATATAGGGTAACACACAAATTTACATAACTCGGCCATATATGATGAAACGAAATTTAGGTAAGCTGGGGAGGGGGGGGGGATTGGAATCTTTGAAAAGTTGAGAATCTTCAGTCATTTATTGCTTTGCTTAGCCCCCCCAATGCCTGAAATACTGTCAGACTGCATTTCCAGCAGTCTATTTTTCAAATTTTAGGGAGCTTCATTGGGGTTTGCAAGTCCGTTCGTTTGACACTTTGCTCTCTGATCAGTATCTGGTCAGCTCTATTTATGTCAATAATCGGTGCCCGAGTACTGTCAGACAGCATTTCCGGCAGTATATTTTTCAAAATTTTCTTGGGTAGGTCGCCAATACCCTCCGTAAGGACTCGCTACTTTGGCACGCATTGAGGTTTGCAAGTCCGTTCGTTTGACACTTTCTTCTGTGGTCAGATAAACCAGTGATCAGGCGATGGACTGTATCTGGTCAGCTGTATTTATCCCGACAATCAGTGCCTGACTGAGTACTGTCAGACAGCATTTCCATCAGTCTATTTTTCAAAATTTTCGGGGGGAGGTCCCCCATACCCTTCATAAGAACTCCCTACTTTGGCGCTCGTGAGTGGGCTTCATTGAGGTTCGCAAGTCTATTCGTTTGACACTTTATCTAACCCTCAGTGCATGAATTACTGCCAGACTGCATTTCTGGCAGCCTGTTTTTCAAACATTTCTGGGGGAGGACTCCCATCCTCCCCCACCCTAATTGAAGCTCATTCCTTTGCCCCCTTAACCTTGGACTTTGCCACTGGTCGGAAGAATGTAAATATGAAAAGTAAGCAGACTGGAAATAGAATAGGACAATAAGATTGAAATTCATAAATTTAAATATTACATTTATTAATGTTAATTGACATTTTTTTTTTTTAGGTTTATTTTCCTGGCATCCAACGTTTATGGCTATAGCAGTAAGTACATGTACAATTACATACATAGAGCAAAATTTGGGGGGATGAGGGTATATTTCCTTCTAATGAAAATATACTCTTTTTTTCTGGTAGGTTTTTATCTTAACTGGGGGAGGGGGGGTATTTTTCTGGGCGTTTTTTTTATTTTAACTGTACGTTTCTGGGTGGGTACATGTATATTTTTGTCCATCTTCATCATATACTTTATTTCTTCGAAAAAAGGTACAAAAAATAAATAGGTATACATGTACATGTCAGTATGAAGATAAAAAAGACCTTTATCAACAAACTATAACTCCTAACACAGTGATCAGTATTATTTTTTTTCTCTCATGCCTGTTAAACAACTGTGTCTGATAATTTCTAGTCAATGACAGATAAAACTGAAAAATTTGGTTATTTTATTATATTGCAGTTTATGATGTTAATGTTTGAAGGAATATTGATGTTTTCGCCCCAGAGTTCACTGGTTGTAAATTGGTCTCGTTCATCTAAAGTAACTGCTCATTGGATATGCCAAACAACGGGTGTAGTTTGTGCTTTACTCGGATTGGCTGCTATTTTGTATAACAAACACTTGAAGGACAAACCACATTTCACAACTTGGCATGGTCTATTAGGAATTATTACAGTAGCTTTTGCCTGTTTTGAACTCTTAGGAGGACTGTGTGTTAAATATAGCCAAACTTTGTTGAAAGGCATTAAGATCCGATTGGCCGATTTAAAAATGTACCATGCTACAGCTGGATTAGTGCTCTTTATTTTAGCTTGTGTTACAACCATATTAGGCATGTTTTCTAACTTCTACACAAGAAATGTTCAAGGAACATCGTATTATATGTCGATTGCTTGCGTAGCCTTGATTTCTCTTATAATTACAAATCAAGTCACGCAGTCTTTTCTCCCAAAAGTCAACAAACGATAATAATAGTCAGAGATCATTAATGTATTCTCTTTGCATAATTCTTAAGGTTTAATGTGGAACAATTTTACACTTTAATTTTAAGTTCAATGATTCTTCTTTTTTTTAGTATGTTTATTTAATTTTTGTTATTATTATCAGTATACATAATACTTTATTGTTGTTACTTGTTGATTGCTATATACTTAATTAATGTGTTTACATTGGCCAAAAGGTACTGTAATGTACTAATTGTTTCTGTTAAAGCCTCAACATAGTGCTAGAAGACCAATAGTCATTTGCCTTATTTTAACAAAACTATGATTTGAAAAGTAAATCAGACAAGTAAAACAAACTACCTTGATGAATTTATTATCCTTTGGATGGTGGCGTCAAATCCATTCAAAATAATATGGATTGTAGATGGCCAAAAATAACATTATATCGATTTTAATAATTTTTAAACCAGTATGACTCTGGTATGATTACTTTTAGTTGTGTGTGAACTGTGAGTCTATAATTGTGTTGATGATTACGTGTCACAGATTCATACTGATTCTTAAAGTTCACATGCTGGTACTAAAATATTAAGTGCAGGGGAACTGCACCACAAATAAACAAATATACAGGGGTGTGTGGGTGGGGTGGGGGGTCCTAGTCATAAGCGCCCACTGCACCAATCTGATTGAAATACAGATCTGTATTTCGTTTCGTTTTTATACTTCCATTGGCCTACACTACATGAATATCTGACCGGTTATAGTGATAGGTCACGTCAGAGGTCATACGAGCGGCTTTTGACCCTATGACGTCAGACATTTGATTAACCAATCAGCATTGATGTTACTAGTGAATTACCCACAGTTCTGTGCAAAACACGTCTAAAGCTCGGCGTAACAGACCATTTCATTGGCTAATCCCTCACATTATCCAGAACACGTCAATGATAACAACTCTTCCAGATCCTAGTGTAGTAAAGACAAGTAAAACAAAATTTTGAACTATAAAAAACGAAACGAAATAGGATCTGTGCACTGTACAGTCCCAGGCCTGTAGTGATATGGCAGAATTCACTCAAAATGAAAAACAAACTAATAAGGGAATATTTCCAAAGAGAATTATGATTTTTTCTAAATCTGTCCCCATCCAGGTCGAGAATTATTTATACAAGGTATTTCTACCTAGAATTTCCTTTTTTAGTAATTGGGTTATTATCTTTCTTTACTTCAATCAGTATTATATGTATCATTATTATTGATATTCAATTTGAAGTATGTGTTCTCACCATTTTTCATGTAGCTGTAGATATATTGCTAGCCTGGAGGTCGGGTGTTCGATCCCTGCATTGGCTGAGACAGTTCATCCAGTTTTTCCGGCGTGGTCCCCCCTTGTCAGTGATGCAGAACCTAGGGCCTGACAAGGACAGCTAGCTGTCAAGTTATTCAGATGGGACGAAAACTGAGGTCTGGTGTACACATTAGCGTGCATGTAAAAGATCCCTTGACAGTTGGAATTTGATATAAGAGTAGGCCGTAGTGCAAAATTTCCCTCATAGCACACTGTATGGCGTATGCCCATCTTCGTTAGCCCAGTTTGGAGTAGGACGTTAAACCCCATTTCATTTCATTTCATTTCAGATATATTTATGGTTATACATACCTGTAATTTTAATACTCAGTGGAAATATTCATATTTGAAGTAAATTGTTCTAAAATATTATAATACCAAAAAGAAAGAAAATTAATGAAAAGAAAGTTTGTGAATGTATAATTAAGACTTACATGTTTTATTATTTATCTTTTTTTCTAAAATATTTTATTCATCTTTTTTCCTGGGGAAAGAATGGAGGACATTCAAAGTCTATATGAGCTAAATAAGCAGATGTGACTTAAGATAATTTTACCAGGAACAAACCCCTTACCTCTCTGTGGCCGAACAAAAGTTTTTAATAGATCAAATATTGTTATTTTATTTTAATATTAAATGCATTTTTTACTTACTTAAACAGACTTGATCATTTTGATTCTATGAAATTTTCTTCCAATGGAGTGATCAAATTCTGATAATTTATATTAACTTTAAATGTGCCAGTACTAATTATTATGAATAACATGATTTGGATATGTTGGGGAGAAGAATAAATTTTCTTTGTAACAATGATTGGTTTTTATTTTCCATTTTTATACGCCCACATTTTCATGTGGACGTATTATGCCGTCGCCCCTGTCCGTCCGGACGTCCGTCCGTCCGTCCACAATTGTTTGTGGACTCTCTCAGGTCACAATTCTTATCCGATTTTGACGAAACTTGAAATATAGGTTTATCCCCAAAAGATCTCGGCTGCTTTCGATATTGGCATGTATCTGATCGAAACTTCATGGATTATGGCCCCTGATTGTACGAAAAATCACGTTTTTAGCATGTGGACCCTATAGAGGTCACAATTTTTATCCGATTTTTTTTAAACTTGAAATGTAAGTTTATAACCCAAAGATCTCGGTTCCTTTCGATATTCGCGCATACCGGACCGTAACTTCATAAATTATGGCTCCTGATTGTACGAAAAATCGCGTTTTTAGCTTGTGGACCCTATAGAGGTCATATCCGATTTAAAAAACCGTATTATTATATCACCATTACACCCTAAGGAAGGTTGAGTTCGAATTTCGTGAAAATTGGCCCAAAATTGACAGACAAAATGGCCGCCGTTCGTTCTCAAATAGCGTAAAAATATGGTATATCAAGGTTGTGGATGTGGACCCTATTGAGGTCACAATTTTTATCCGATTTTTTTGAAACTTGAAATGTAAGTTTTTAAACCAAAGATCTAGGTTCCTTTCGATCTTCAAGCATATCGGACCGTAACTTCCTGAATTATCTCCCCTGATTGTACGAAAAATCGCGTTTTTAGCTTGTGGACCCTATAGAGGTCATAATTTTTATCCGATTTAAAAAACCGTATGATTATATCACCGTTACACCCTAAGGAAGGTTGAGTTCGAATTTCGTGAAAATCGGCCCAAAATTGACAGACAAAATGGCCGCCGTTCGTTCTCAAATAGCGTAAAAATATGGTATATCAAGGTTGTGGACCCTATAGAGGTCACAATTTTTATCCGATTTTGTTGAAACTTGAAATGTAAGTTTATAACACAAAGATCTCAGTTCCTTTCGATATTCGCGCATATTGAATTGTAATTTCCTGAATTATGGCCCTTGATAGTAGGAAAAATCACTTTCTTGTTAGCTTGTTCTCTATCCATCTCTCGAAAATGTGGGCTTATCCTGCCTGGCAGCCGCTGGTTTAAAATGGGATTCTGTTTTATTGTTATTTCAATGGTAGTAATATTTTTGGGTAGAACACAAATCTAACATACATCTATATCAAAGTGGAGAAATACAGAAAGCATTGCATTTTCAAATTGGACATTTGGCAGTAAACCAGGAGGGTAAACAGATTTTTTACCGCCAAGCCTCTGCAAGATGATAAATTTGTCAGGGAGGGTAATTATTTACCTCTATCAAATAGTTCTGATTAAAGACAATTTAGTTATATCATGCCGACACTGCATTTGGACAATGTTTTTTTCTAGTGCAGTTAAGTTCTGAGACAAAAAAAGAATTAATGATAAGAAAGAAATTCTGATCAAATCACTTACATTGATATTAATGTCTCGGGGAAATATGTTTTTTTACTTTAAGGCCTCACTACCTCTCTTCATTTCCTAAATACACGACTGATCTTAGTCATCTTCTAAACTAATTTAAATCTAGATATATAGTCAATGAAATATAAAATGTCCTAAATGTCCTCACATTGGCCCTACGTTTCCGCTGGCACAATACATCACACGGCCATGTACTCTCAATTAAATAGTTAATCTCTAAATTCGATAAATAAAATAAATGTTCGGCCAAAGATCAACAGTTTGCGGGTGTTGTGAGATGTGTTAAACTGTAACTGTTGCATAGCTCGGGGTTAGTTAACCAGATTATAGCTTTAGATTTCACCCCCTCGGGTGTCTGACCCGAAATGTCAACAAATTGGTAACGACAAAGTCACAAAGTGTGATCACCAACTTCAAGACGTTTCAACTACTGTATTAAATGATTTCTCAGCATCATTATTCAGAGATTTGTAGTTGAGTCTTTCTTCTTCTGAATGCTGAAATAAGCGACTTGTGTCTTTTCTTATTGTGAGCCTTATATAACACAGATATGTGGTAAAAAAAACTTTACAAAAGGTGTGTCGCTTTTCTATCAATTGAGAATTGGATTAGCTCTTAATTTAAAGATCGATCGAGGGACCCGTAAACTTTAATTATGTGCATACTTTTGGTCGGAGATTAAAAATATATATATATTTATATTTCTCTCCCGTCTGTTACTAACCATGAGTACCACCAAAAATAATACCACTTATTCCTTCGGACTCCATATATGAACATCTACCACCCCCACCTCCTTAATAATACTAATACTTAGGAACTGTCAATAATTTGACAAAAACACAAGCAACGCGTCAATATTATTTAATGAAACTAATAAAAGTAAGATGTATTATTTGGATTTTATTGAAAAGATCAATAACTTACCTTTTTTATAAACACTAACACTGTTTGGCCTCTGTCTGAAAATGTTCATTATTATGCTTATTGAGATTGCACAGGTTACGCATGAATAGGACAAATTTCTCATGTGTCAGAAAATTTGTTAGTCCGAAACATATATTCTCCGATAATACCAAAATATATTACATTAAAAGTAACTACATGTACAAACGATTATTTTTAAAAATTAATATGCTTATTTATAGTTTGAAATTTGCTGTTAATTAAAAGGTAAAAGTATTTGACGAAAATTTATTTTAATATAACGTTTTAGTAAATCAGTGGCCATTAAAGTTTCCAATAATACTAATAATAGCTAATATTTCCCTCAGTAGTCGTGTACGAACTATCTCTTTTATGACGTCATAATACTCATCCGTTACTGAGATTCAGACATCTGTATAATCTGGTTGGCAGTGTACTGTAATGTCTCATCCCGAAGGACAAGGCGATAATAAACAACCAGCCACAGCTAGTTCACAGACACGCAGTAGCGAGGTTTCAGATACCAACGTTACTGACGATGAAGTTAACTTGATAGATTTGAGTAATGTTGTTGTAGCCAATACCAACATTCCCTACTCAGATGAACTGGAAGAGGTACTTGTGGAAAAACAACCCGAAGGACACACTGGGCCTTGTGATGTTCAGCAGAAATATGCAGCTAAATCTGGAAAGAAAAAGAAGAAGTCTGTAAGATATGTTTTTGATATTATATCTCGTGTGTCCAAATCCATTCCTGAGGGAGAGACAAATGGGGTTTAACGCCCACTCGACACAAATTAGAAATTTCAGGACTAAGATGATATACAGTTTAATTTCAATAATTCAATTGCGCATTGGTAGGGTCTTTAGCAGCGTCACGTTCAAGTTTTTGGGATCGAAATGAAAGACCTTAATAACTAAAGCGCACTGGTTAGACCCCCCCCCCCCCACCACACACACATACACACTCTTCATCCAATACTTTAGATTCATGGGTTAGTCTCTAAAATAAATAGACTGAACACACACTACAGTAATACAGTGATACAGTTGCCGTAATAAAATGCACCTTCCCAAAACGAACAATATGCAACGGAAACATCTACATTCCGAGTTCTTGGCGTATCCTGGATTATTGACCGGACAATTTTCGCAAAATTAGCGTTTATCGAAGTCAAAAAGTCTTCTAAAATTTTATAGCCTAACATCTTTTTTTAATGTAGCCGGTCTTTGTGTTATGTGGTACACCAGGATCGAACACAGGACCTATGCTATAGGACGTTAGAGAACCACCGCCTTGTGACCGCCTTACCCACCTTGCCACCGCGCCCCGGGAAATTTACTTTAGTCATTACCTTCATTCGTCTAAAATCCATGACCGAATTCTCATACACGTTCATAAGCCCAGTAAAATAACAATATACATTTCATTTTTTTAAGAAAAAAGAAACCCCAGCTGAAGAAACAAGTGATGATAATATTGTAAGTCAATCAGGAGGGTCATCTAATTCATCAATAACATGTCGTATTTGTCAACTCAGTGAATCAGAGACAGGTGAGCCTATCTTTAATCGATTAATCCCAAAAATAATACATCTTTCAGTAATACTAAGAGGTTCTCGTTAAATATGAGACTATCTCGTTGATTTTTTTTTAAAATCCGCATTATGTGTGCATCGCGGGGGAATATTTTGCCGAAAAGTGCGTTTAGAATTCCAACTACGAGGGGATTCAGTAAATGCACAATTTTTCCTGTCATTCGAAAAAAATTAGCACGCTTTCATTGCCAACCCCACAGCCATTAACCTAGTGGTTTAATTCGATATTCTTGAGGGGTTACGAATCTATTTGGTTTTCCATTTATATGGAATCGACATACCTAATTGTTGGTGGCGCGGGACCCTTGGTATAGCAAGGAACATCGTTTAATCCTTCGGTTTGTACGAAAATCCGAGGTCCTGTGTATACGTTGGCGTGTGAAGAAAGCCTTTTCGGTTTCAATCCAATGCTGTCCAGACAGCATTTTCCTTATAGCATAATGCATGCCCTATTCTATTTGGCATTCAAATATGACGTTAAACGTTCTTTCACTTTATTTTATGTCTTATTTTATTTACATCTTCTGTGTAGCTATTATATGTAGCATATACCGAAACTGTCTTGTATATAATACAGATCTGCCATTTTACTTCACGGTCAAGGTTATGGCAACAATAAAAACTTCAGCTTGTGAACCAAACCACGTACCGAATCAAACCGTGACACCGAGCTTTCAAAATTCCGAAAGTTCTGCTTGAACCGAACTGTAGTTATTATCCGGGATCCGGATGCCACACCAAATCTAGCTATAATTATTACTAATATTATTATTACTTGTTTTATTCTGTTCTAAATTTTTAAAACAAAAATTGTTTATTTTCAGGTGAACCAGTTAAAACAGCTGATTGTCATTGTAAAGGTTACCTAGATGCTATACATAGAAGTTGTTTATTAGAATGGATCAGATATAAAGGTACCAAGGTGTGTGAAGTTTGTGCTTCTGAGTTTTCATCTGTACCTACCTGTACACCTAGACCTGTAACAACAGATGAACGAAGACAACAGGTGAGTAATGCTTCTTGTTACTTTATTTAACGGTATTTTAGAACTATATGTATATTCAGCCCTCAAGTATCGGACATTGATTTTGAAAAGAAGCGCACACCTACTAAATGAATGAATGAATGAAATGTGGTTTTATGGCACGTCAGCACCAACCGGGCTATATTGCGCCAACACCTACTAAAAGAAGAAATGCAATATTGAAGTTTGGGGGAACAAGCTGGTGTGATCACCCCTGAAACTAGCGATTACCGTATTTCCCCCCACAACCGTCACCTTAAATACATAAACATCTAAAAGGGCAATTATTTATTATTTTGATTATTTGTATGGGAATATCGGGAAGGGTGCGGTTTGGGTAAACGAAATTTAATGTCGCGGTGATTATGTTTCACGCCCACTTGTCAAAATCTCTCTAAATGCTGTAAACAAAGTTAAATCTTATGTTTTGTTAAGATAACCGTGTTTTTTTTAACCTTTGCTTCACCATGTCTCTTTCCAGGAACTCGAAGTGCTCTTCAGGCAGTATGCTCGATTGAGACCACTGTCACGGAAGAAGAGGGGATGTGTTGCCTCTCTGCTCCTTTTCCTCGTGGTCATCACGGGGGTATCAGGAATGCTAACGGTGAATACCGATAGACATTTCCGTGCCGTTTCGTCCAATCCTTGGAGTACAATGGAATCTGTTAACCAATCATATATCGTATTTTCTATTTGTTTATCATTTTTATTATTCTGTAGTGCCCTTACATTTGGCACTTTATTAACCTGGTGTACCATTGAAACTACGTATCACTTCCAGAGGCAAAGAGTATGGCGTCGAGCAATCGAAATCGCTGCTTCTCACCATATAGCACCCTAAAATGATTTCTTTATGCGTTTAACATTTTTTGATTGAATCTATTTTTGTTGTTTGCTTTAAATCTATCACATGATATTAATATTAAGTGTTTGATTTCGTTGAATTTGCTTTTGGTTTTGAATTGCCGTTGTCCATCACTCAGCTCTTTAAAATTGATTATTTATACGTAGGTTTATTTTTGTATTTTATCGATCTCTGGTGTTAAAGGGGAACTCTCAACTCTCAGATATTACAGTGAATACATCTGGTTAATTAGAGCAGAACTTTGGGACCGACCAAACTGTTTTGGTAAGGTGAGTCAGTGAGTCGCCTTTAATCCAGTAGATTTATAGTTTGATTAATAGTTTGTAGTCTTGCTTTGATTAAATTTGTTTTGAATAATTTATGCGAGATGACCTCACAAAGTCGCATTACCAATAATTTTCATCTATTATTAATGGCGAATCTCGGAATGATAAATCGTATTTGTTGGTATTTATACATTCCGAACTATTATTATCTAATTATCTACGTTATAGAGTACATCTGGGTGAAATTAAAGGTGATCAAGGAATAAAGTGATAGTTAAAAAAGGGAATCTTAAATAAGTACTAAAAAATCTATTGTCGGACAAGGTATTATACTAGTTATAATGTAGAACAGATAATTTATATTGGTTATTGTTTCATTAAAATGAATTGGTTTCATACCCAGCAGCCATGGACCTATAATACTACCTAATAAGGTCGTAATGTAATAAAATCAGTGGTTGTTGCCCATAAAAATCATGTTCTTTGTATATTGTCCTTTTTTTTTAATTTGAGTTAATAATATTCAGTATTTCGCCATTGTCAGCTCTTTGAAAAATGATTTTTCCATGTTGCATTTTGTTGTGAAATTATTATGAATTTTTTTTCTGTAGATTGTTAATAGTGGAACTATTTTTATATGTGTGTTTGTTGGAGATTTATTTGTTCTATAGATGGGTGCCTGTTCAAAAATTATGTTTTCGAATTAATATGACGCATACGGTGATAGGTATTGGGTACTTTTCTTGGATTCTCAGAAAGACGTGAGGGTGTGGATATGTTTGGCTTTAATCAGCTGTATATTTTCGCTAGAGGTGGCGGTGGACTTTTATGTCCCACGGGCGGGGGATATTGGGTGTTCTATCTTATCTTTTGCTACGTCATTGGTGTCCCTTGTTGTAATACATTATGATGGAGAACGTTATCGGGAGCGACATTTTCCCATATGCACCTCGCAGAACTGTAATGTCCATTGTTCTTTCACATGCACGCTAATGTTTACACTATTGGCAACCCGTCTTGTCAACCGCGTGGTCCTGACAAGTGGTAACCCGTACGAAACTATCGCTCGAAAACGAAATACTAAGAATGGTGGGACCCGGGCTTAAAAATGTGTAATATTATGTAATATAAAGCTGTTGCCTTGTAAATCTGTTTGGTGTAAACACAGATTATCAGATCAATCACCTATAATTAGCTTTATTGGAAATTATTATTCTCTGTTGGTGTACAGACCACACGCGTTACATGGTATATTTACAACCTTTAAAATGACGAGACCCCTGTGCTGCCTTCGTTAAAACTGTACGTCTATAGATTAAGCCAGTGTTAAGATGTAACCCATTTTTTGAAAATTAAAATAAAGCCCACTTCGTCTCATTGTTTGAACACAAAACTTTAATCGTATAGATTTATAGAAATTGCTTCGTCACTAATCGAAATAACACATCAGTTTTGACCTAAATCAAATAGTCCGATGAGTTCATGTTATAAATATCAGAATCAGTAGTATACCCTCAATTTACCCCGTCTTTCACAAATCAAATTATGAATAAATAAGAAAGAAATGAAGAATTTTCAGCAAACTTGAATCTAAACGCTCCGTTTACAACAAAAAACAAATTATTTGACGGTTTCAGACATCTAGTAAATATTTTCGGTTCTTTGAATTTATTATTACACGCATCCTCTATATCGCTGCAGCTACACGCTATAGTAATTTATTTATCAAAGTAAAGGGACCATTGTCATTTTTGTAGTCGACAGGTCAGGGCACTGGATACTCGACAACAATTTTCGGGGTCGAAATACCATCATGGGATATCTAGCCTTTGTGACATGCACGTAAAAAAACCCTTATTAATTGAAATTAGGCGGTAATATATTGATCAGTCAATAGCCCCACTCCTTCCGTTTTACTATAATGGACGCTCGTTTAGTCGTTCAGGAAGGTGGGGGGGGGGGGCGATAAAAAACTTCTTTGCTCGCATTGTTTGTGAACTTAAACCCAAGATTTAATCCACATTATATTTCTTTGATGCAAAGAAAATGTTTGAGTGCCTTATAATTGATTTTTTTTTAGAGACAACCGTTCTCCTAGAATACTTTATTTCAATAGAACTTGATCAATATATTAAGACTTACTGAATCAATCAATATCTAAAGACTGAATATACTCTAACAAGCTACTTGTCAGCACAGAATGTTGATCCCACTGGACTAGCGTTATGGGGAAAATAACTACATGTACTTTGGCGTCACCCTGTCGTCCGTAAGTCTGTTCACTGTTCTGTGGCCAAACTGGAAAAAGTTTTTAGCCATTGTTATTGAAACTTGCTGTGATTGTCGTGGTTCTTGATTATTGTCAGGCTAGATTGTAGGATTTTCAGCTGTAATAGACAAAATATGACCGGAAATATTGTTGCATTATAAGGATGTGTCCAGTTGAGTTTGTCATTGATTGAAAGTTATGAAATGAAATGAAACGGGGTTTTAACGCCTTACTGTTCTGCTCCGGCTGACGTAATGAAGGACGGGCATACGCCATGCAGTGTACTATAAGAAAAAATTTGTATCAAATTCCAAATGTCAAGGGTTCTTTTACGTACAAGTTCTTTTCGGTCCACCCAAACGACTATACGTTGTCCCATGCTAGGCCTTTCGTCCTACACCACTGACAGGGGGTGGTGTGGGGTGGTGTGGGGGACACGCCGGAAAATCCAGATGAACTTTCTAGGCCAACACCGGGATCGAACACGGAACCTCAAGGTTAGCGAGCCAACGCCTAACGCACTGAGCCACCGCGGTTCCGATTGGTATGATGAGGGAACAGTGTTATGTATAGGCACATCTTGTTTATTAAATTATTTGTAAAATCCAATCTGATCTGCCTATTCCCAGAAACAGTTAAATCCATATCTGAGCGGATTCCATATAGCGATAAAAACGGGGTTGTGTTGGCCGATATTGTGTATGTGACCAATACTCATTTCCGACTTTTAAATATTCGCAACTGGGCGTGACTTATATTCTGTTATGCTAGGAGCCCACTATGACGATTCGTGCTACGATTGAACTCGTGGTTTTAATCGTGGAATAATCGTGGTTATCCTATCAGGTCTTATCATATATTGAGGTCAGTCGTAGCAATCGTGTTGACCATATCGAAACGTATCCGAATGTATGTGCCCGTAAAAGATCGTGGACTTAGTGGGGACCTAGCATTATTTAGTCATTAAGAAAATATTTTGCCAATACATATATTACAAGAGATGATCCGTGACAGGTTCTCGTGGTATACTTTTATCAATGTTTTATCTATTGTTAGTTACCAATAGTTACATAATATACAAAACAAAAAATCTCATAGAGATATGTAGGCGTTTATTGTTTATGCTGTGTCAAACATTAAATCATCTGACCCATTCAACACAAATTATCATATTATATTAAAGAGGCACTGGCGCTTTTGGGATCTTCGTCGGTTAGACTGTACAGTTACATCTGATGAGTTCAGGTTAAATATTTAAAGGACAGTGTTACCGTCCACTAATTTCACATAATATATGCGATATAATAGGTTAAACAGATTGGAGATACTGTAAATATCTGGGGAATGCTATAGTTGATCTGTTCTGATGTGATCGGTTATTGTGAATGGTTGAAGTCAAGAGCGTTTTCTTGGTTTGGTGGTGGTGGGGGGGGGGTCGATTTCGTGGTTTATTATAATGTAGATATTCTGGTTCGAACTAATATCCCTCCGGGCTCTTATAAGAGAGTTGAAATCGACCGTTTACTATTTACTCCAATCAGTAATAATAACAGGTCTACTGTACTTACGACTAAACGTTACGAATCAACCTGTACCTGTTTAACCTTTTTCTATCAGTGTCCTTTAATTGAAACATCTGGTCGCAATCCATAGTTTTCAAGAAGGGTATATTAACACGTGCTTGAGTACACGGACATGCCACGTACAAGTGTGTGATCCACATGCCTTACACCACCCTAATCCACCATGTCCCACCCACTCTTTTAATTGCGTCGGTTATGGTATTACAGGCAGCAATCGTAGTTTGTAATAACTTGACACTGTGAAGATGGCTGATTTAAAGAGTACAATCATTTCTAGGCACGACAAGATCAATGAAGTTTTCGTATAAAGGAAAATCTAACTTGTCAAGTTAATGTATAATTGATTTTTAATCATTTATAACAATAGTATCACGCAACCCATCACCGTGTTGCATTATCAGGAAGGAACCAGGTTGCCAACTTCATGTATTGAAACTCTAAATTACTGTTATAACTATATATGCTAGAAATGAAATTGTGTTGATTCCTCTCAGATAGGTTAATTCATGTTTTAAACTATAGAAATGAAATGAAATGGTGTTGAACATCCTGCTGTTCTGCTTCAACCGTTTAACTATAGACGGTTATAACTAAATATGGCTAGAAATGAAACTGGGTTGCATCCATTCATCCAGAGTGTTTCAGGGAAGTGGTCGTATTTTGTGGTGCCAAAAGTCCCCTTCCTCATATGGTACAGCTAACCATGATAATATCCGTATGTTTATTTCAAAACTATTGAAGTATTGTGTTGCCCAGATGTTAAACCCCTCTCCACTTTATTGAACTCTAAATATATGACACAGTAAAACCCGATCTATAAAGTCGTAATTTGGTGCAGGGCGGGGGACAATCTGTTTCACAGAGTACTATTAAAAAATCTTCTAATATCTCTGTAAAAGATGACTGCTTTCAACACGCGGCGTCAATCATTGGCTCAATGGCGCGTGCATTGTTTACGTAAGACGTTACTGGTTCGAGGAGAATGGCGCATTTTACTCATTTTAATACCCATTTAAACTAAAATAGGAAATAATTTTTACCTACAAATACTTTAAACGTCTTTATTTATTTTTCTTATACATAAAAAAATTGTTTTAGAATATGTGTGGCTCATTAAGCCGCATCGGTGTCATCCTTGTCAGTGATTGTCGCGGCCTAGCGAATATTCACTGCGGATCAGTGTGGAAGGGGGACTTCAAAGGAAAAGATTCTGGTTGGTCTGATGAGACGAAAAACGGAGATCCGATGCATGCAATAGGTTGCAAGTTAATGATCCGCTCTTTGATCGAAATCGCAATAGTCCGGAGTGTCGCTGTCCAGGTAAAATTTCTTCCGTCTTAATTATCCCGGTTCGTGTTGAAAAGACTTCCATTTCATTTCGAAGTGTCGTAATTGTGCCATTCATGAAGAGCCATAAAGCAGAATTCCGCTATGGAACAACGCCTCTCGAATTGGCCTACCAGAGTATAAATGAAGCTAAAAAAAACATCTGTTAGTTTAAATATAGATTTAATAAAATAATTATTAAATAACATTAAATGAACAATCATACGGTATCACAGTGTTGGATTGAAAATTTCTTGACAGCAGTTTGTTACAGGTTGTTTTTAGTGTATTATATATAAAATGTATTAAAAGGTGAGTATAAAAAATACTTATGTCATTTAGTGAACTGGTGGCCTTGTAATATATTTGAAAATATGTATTACCCCTTTAGACAGTGACCGGTCAATATATAGGTCGAGTGGATCGAATATCTCCATGGCACACCTTTAAACATTATAATACATAAAATAGGTCAAGTTGGTTCTTCTGGGGTTATATTATAGTTTAAACGGGTATTGATTTCTTACGAATCACTTAAGTATTTAAAGGGACTTTTCTACTTAAAAGTTATTGCAAGGTTAGCAAATTAATATAACACAGGAGTATTAGTCAGCCTCGTAAGTCGTTACATAGAGTTATGTAATATTTGGTAACACGGGTAACAAATGGTTTTCAAATAAATATTAAAGAGATAAAGCACCCGTGTCGTGATCCTATCGTGGCCCTAAATCACTCGATTAATGCATTATTAATTAGACGATTACACTACTGTAACGTCGACAATTGCACAGGTAAAACATTAAAGTCAGTAATGTGTTGATTTTTTTCAATTTAAACACTATAAGAAAATCGCTCTAGTGAAATAACTTTTAGGAATACGTACAGACGCCCAAAAGAGAGCTGTCATTTTACTGACTGGGTCCACTTTAAGATCATGTTTAATACAAAGAATAAATACAAAGTGTACCCATATTATGTTCTAAAGTACTTTAGCCCACGCGAATGAATGCTAGAACTTCAACTGTTTGTATCTATATAGCGAAATACTATTACTTGCCCAAACAATACCCCCAAAAGAAATAATAATCTATCATTAAACTATTATGCCTTTAAGGCTATGTCACAGATCTCATTTAACGTCACCATGCAAACAACCGCAATGGGTTCACGGCTCAATCAATGCAACAATATAATCAAATTTATTTTTAAACATTTGATTTCAATTTTAACAAAAAACAACACCAAACAGCGTCGCTCGGTTTGGGGCAGATAAAGACCAGAAAAGCCTAGTCGAAATGTCGCTCGGCAACAAAACGTAATTGTATTTTATAGAATAGTGTTCTGTGTTTAAATGACACAATTCTCTGACATGATATAGTGTTTAATTTCCTATTTTCTGCACCAACAGATCTAACGAAGACGGCACTATTTTCTGGAAATACAATTATATTGACCAGGTCATTGCAGTTCAATTAAATCATTAACCCGTGTGAATTCTTGCACCTCTAAATACAATAGGATTCATATAATTTAATATAATTTTTAAAGTACGCGTATCCAATTTTATTACCCGACTCAAGAAATTAAAATTATATTGCAGATTTAACTTTCGGCTATGTTTCTGTTGCTTTTTTCACTTTTGTTTTCAGTGACACTATAGGGCTGTGCGAGTAGCTAAAGTTTGTGCCGCCCGAGTCCTTGAGTTTGCCCCCCTCCCCCATCTCACACCCATCGACACGCGAAAGGCAACACAATAGACACCATACTTACTTAAATTGCTGAACAAAAAACAGTGTTTGCTTGGTAAAAAAATTTGTGTCCGACTGTTCCGATAGAAAAACAACTTCTTTTGCAATGCAGTAGATCAAACGTTACACCCACGGAAGGTACCAAACCGTCCAAACCCTCCTTACGAGATACGGTACTGAAACAGAACAGCTATAGCTCCCCACATCACGTATCAATTGAGGTATGGTTTCTTGGTTGTCTTTATTATTTAAACAAATGCCACAGTAAAGTTTAACACGGGTTGACAATCGAAGATATGCTTAATCTTTCTGAACACTTAACACCACTTCCCATTTATCTGAAAAGTTCACATAGCTATCTAAATTTGCATTAGTCACGCGCTGCATTATTGTTCCGTCAAAACTCACCTGCTTGCTACTGCTAATTTGGAATATCCCAAACTGTTACAAGCATTTTCACATTTCGATGTTGTGTATATATGTATATAATAATGAAAACATAAAGCCACTTAAATAAATCTATCTTTTAAATATGTGCTGTAATTATCTTCACATGTTGCTAATTTGTTAATAAAATAATCTTCATTTTCAATACTCTCCAGTAAATCAGCTTGAACTAAGCACATATCTTCAAATCGAGATATTTCACTTTGATTTAAACCACGTGCTCTTTTTAAGACGCCATCTTCAAACAGTCGAAAATCTATAATACTGTCTTCTTCGTAGGATCGAAAATTGTCATCAAAGAAAATATGCTGCACAGTTTGATCAGTTGGGTCGATCCACATAGGTTTACCGGCTTTATATTTATACGAATTATTTTGCCAGTGCAAAAAATCATCTTTAAAAGCCGAGATACCTTCTGCATTAGACAGAAAACGATATATATCTCGTTCATAGCTCAATTTTTGAATCACGTCACCATTTTGTTTCACTGTTTCAAGGTTAACCGTGCCGTCCTCGGTTCTGGCTATCCGACCAGTCAACAAGTTGATTGGAACTTTTACTGGTTTCGGAAATCCCGGGTGATTACCTTTAAGTCCGTAAGCTAAACTACTGAGAACGTTTGGTGCATCTAACCCATAAGTTCTAAATATTATTGCAAATTCTCGGTTCTGAGCTTTGAGAAAATGGATCATTTTATAAACAGACGGTATTACATAATGGTATTGTTTATTATCTTTACCTGCCATTGTTAATTGTTTATCGCGATACGAATGGAAATAAAAGTCCCATTTTAATAATTCCATATGTTTCTCGAAGTAAGGAAGAAAATCTCTACCAATGGGTTGTTGCGTGAAGTCTCCTGTTTGAAGTCGGAGTTCTTGTCGGTCGGCAGGTGTTCGAACCAATTTCTCTTCTAAATGCTTATAATACGTCTTGGTGTCTGTAGAAGGCGGTTTTAACGCCACCTGGTTGGACTCCCATTTCCATTCATCATTTTCGTCCTTACCCCACGTTACACCGGTTAAAAAGCTATTCAAAGCATGCTCCACACACACATTAGTAACAGAATCAGCAACCAGAATAGTATTCCTGATATCCAAGTGTAGTATTAATTTTCTGTTCCTTCCAGACTGTAGGGGCTTATTTGGTGCCAATGAAGAACGTCTTTTCAAAATCACACGAACTGAATCGTTATTTTGTTCATTATTATTAAGCACACCGTAACATTTGTCCTTCATTTTATCCGACATAGATTCGATCATTTCACGATATGACATAAACGATCAATCTATATACCTATTATATCCTATAACGGTGTAATACCAGATAAATGATTAACTAAATGTACACAATACAGTCCCACATGTCACAACTCGTTAAGCCAACCGGTATTAGTAAACTGTATTTTGATTGGAGCGATCTAATATTTGTTGTGACATTAATACTAAGTTACTGTACATAGACACAAAATGTCCCTTTTGCAGATTTAATGTTAAGCAAAAGTAATCGTAGAACCCGATTTCCAAACTGATTGAAACATAACGAATCAATAGTAATCAATTTACCTGTCACCATAGGAACGTATAGCTCTGTTCCATGAATGCCGTGGCGAATAGTCTATTCTATTGTGATTACAATAGCGGTATTCAAAACAGACACTAATTACTATATTAATTAATAAACAATTAACAATCAAATCAACCTGCCTTCAACTTAGCATTACGATCTTTAATTAAAGCAGGGGCGTTGTGAATCGGGTTGATAGTAGGGTGTGTGTGTGTGTGGGGGGGGGGATAACTCGTCGGATTGGGTAACAAACCATGTGATCAGAACACAGGTGCACGAAATATGACGTAGCTTGGTTTATTTATTGATTCGGAAAATACATTTAAATCCCAGGTTCGTCGCCCCGTGTAAGACTTTTGGAGAATTTTTGCTCTTTTAGTTAATAGCATTATATTGTATATTAATTAATATCTTTGGCTTAGTCGTATCTAATGCACTCAAGAATGAGTGCAGATTTGTATATAAAAAAGAGTTACAATTTGGTAAACATTAGCTGGTTCCGCGGGAATGAGAATATCATGTTTAACACGTGATCGGAAAATTACAATTTCATCATTTGTCTTAAACATACATTATGCAAGAGCTAAATCTGTCTATTGCAGGTCTTTCTTTAGGCCTGAAATGTTATCTAAATTATTAATTAGACATTAATTAACTTATCCAGACCATAATCAACTCTAGATGGCATCGCTAGCCTGCGAACTTTAGTGGATTATGAGTCGATTTACTGCATAACTTTCCTTCACGATTTAACGATTAAATGGATAATCGAGACTATGCTGTTTATCGTATTGACTTTAGTAATGATGGCCGAGGCTAGATGGAAATTTCAATCGCTTAGTTCTCGGTTCATAGTTAATCAATTTAAATGAAATTTTCAGCAAATTGCCTTTACATTATCTATTTTTTAACTATTATAATGAGAACTGCCAACTCGTTATCGGATCTCCCATAATGTTTCTTTAATTAACCAATCTCTAAAATTATTTACATAATTTGACCAATTAGATAAATTCCAAAACCCAAATCTACAAAACTATCATATTTGTGAGCATTGGTCAGACAGCAGCCTGATTCTGGAAGGGAAAAGATGTAGCAATTTCTATCAGGAGACTCGCCCCAGTCTGGCTGGATGAGGTTTGAGAGAACGACTTTAGTATTGTAATCTACTATGCTTGTATCTATGTATCCAGTTATGATATAAAAACGTATTATTCATGAGAAGACAAACGTCTTAACTGAGAAGACAAACGTTTTAACTATAAGAGAATACACAACATGAAGGAAGCAAAGACGACAAGTGAAAATACTAAACGATCACAAGGCTACTAAGATACATGTATGTAGTAAGAACAGATGCATGGGTCATACGTATGGTGTGGCGACTGGTTTTTATTCTTCTCCGCTCTCCACGTCTGACAGAAAGACCCATGGTGCTACACCGGAGGCTGTGGTCAAACATCTCAACAGTCTTTTTGGTTTTTTAAATAGGGTCATCTCGCCAAACGGAACCATTAACCCACTCTGTAATGGCACAACGGGCTATTTAATTAAAGGACGACGTCCACAGACTCCACATAAATTTGGTTAATTAGGTGTTAAATATAATCTTGCATACAGATCTGTGGTAAAGTCACCCATAACCTTCATTCAAAGTGACGATAAAATAGGTAATCAGTTAATTGCTATTGACAGAGGGGTTGAGAGGGGTAACAACTGAACACGGTTTTCAACTCTCTGATAATTCGTTTCATCCCGACGGATGGAAATAAAAATCAGGGCCCCGTGTACACATTGGCGTGCTCATAAAAGAGCGTTTGACAGATGGAATTCAATATAATTTCAAATCCTTTTTGAGAACACAAATTTATAAATACTGTTTCCTGTTATTGTTTGAATAATAGATTGAAACACAGCGCTGTCGAGCAACGAATATACGAACATATGTCGCGTTTTGAAGGGGCTGTTCTGTTTACTGTTATAAAAATCATTAGTGGTCTGATTCCAAACTGTTTCTATTTTTGTTGTTGCAGGTGCTTTTTCTGCTGTTAAGAAAGCAGCCTGCATGTCACTTATTTTTGTTGTGTAAAACTGTCCTGTTAACTGGAGCGAGCAGTCACACCAGAGAAGTAACTATATCTTTTACCGAACTTTTATTTAGTTGACATTTTAATAATATATGATTTAAACTCAATGGAAGTCAACAGTCTCTTATAGTGTAGCTGGTTTTTAGTGTAGCTTATTATGTATAATATTTAGTTGTAGTGCCAATTCTGTCGGAAGTCAGATGTATGTGTCAATTTGTTAGTTGTATGTTTTATTGTACTTAGATCAAATAAGAAATATTATTATTATTATTACAGCATATTTATAGTGCGCCCTTTCATATAACATGTTCAGGGGCACTTTGCAAAGTGACAATGTAATCGTAAATAAACAACAAGATTATGGACATTGTTAACGATTGTATACAGAGTCAAAAGCCTGATTAAATAAATGTGTTTTAAGTTGTTTTTTAAAAGGATATAGAGATGTACAACATCTTAAACTAAATGGTAGATTATTCCATAAATCAGGGGCTTGGAAACTAAAAGAGCACTGGCCATAAGAGATTAGTTGAACAGTTTTGGGTTTTAAAAGTAATTTATCTGATGTAAGTAATGTTTGGCCAGGTGTATAAGGTTCTAAAAGATCCGAGAGGTAAACATGAGCTAAATTTTTTAAACATTTAAAAGTCAGTAATAAAATCTTAAAATCAGTTCGATATTTAACAGGTAACCAGTGTAAATTATATAAAACAGGAGTTATGTGGTCGCATTTTTTAGTTAAAGTAAAAAGTCTAGCTGCAGTATTCTGTTCTTTTTGTAATTTATCTATAAGCTTTAAAGGTAAACCAACTAAAAGTGAATTAATGTCATCTAATCGAGAAGTGACCAGAGAATTAACAAGTGACTTAGTGGCCTCTACAGTTACAAATTTACGTATTTTACCTATATTTCTAATATTAAAATAGCACAATTTACAAATATTATTTACTTGAGCTCCCATAAGCATAAAACTATCAAATATTGCGCCAATATAACCATGTAGCTAATGGTGTATAGCAACTAAAATTAAATATATTAAATAATCGGAACAGTGTTATCAGAAAATCTAATCCGGTTATACGATTAGTCGGGACCTTGCAAGCTCACCTCCATTCCTGTCTTCTTCAACGGTCCAGGGACCAAATCTGCGCATCTAAATAGCGGACGATTTCGAAGTCTTATCGTTTGCCAAACAATTCAATCAAATCTTGAAAATAAGATCACAAAAACAAAGAAATATATGTAGAACGTTTGCAAGGTTTCGTTGAGAAGTGCTTTAACATTGCAAAGAAAAAAAGTTGCGCGATTCTGAATTTCGATGGATCTCCTCGTTAGAATTAGCAGATTAATCCCCACAAGTTTGACAAATCCCAAAACTCTGACCTGTAGAGCCTTTTGCAAGACGGGCAGACAAAATATACTCCCAAATAAAATTTTCGCATACAAAAATAATCTAACGGAAAACAGTACATTTAAGGTCACATAGTTCCTTTGCCGCAAGGAGTAAAACATATTATTTTGATTACTTCACACATTTGACCACCCGAAACACGTGCCGACAGCCCGGAGAAATAGAACAATCTATGACCAAAACCTCGGCCTACAGTATCTCACATTAATCTTGGTCACCCTATAAAATCAGATCATTGTATGTACATCAGATATTATACAAGGATGGATGAGCAGATATATGTCCTGTCCCGTTCCGACCTGCCGTCGCGTTTACACACTACTAGTCTTTCAACACCAGAGATCGACCCCATTACCTTTAACAGAGAATATACAGACTAGGGACTAAGTGTTTTCGAAAATACCGATAATTTTTATCAGGGGTTCCGACAGGGAATCTCCGCTTTATCCAGGAATTTCCCTCGGCTAAGCCTAAAAGGAATATAATACTTAACTACAAAATATGAAATAAAATTGCCAATTTAAAAAGAAATCGAGAAAATAAGAAACTGCAATGTGTGACGCACCTGTATGCGAGAAAAACTAGTTGAATATGAAATCCCGGGATCTTGAAAAGTGGTCAGGGATTCCCGGTATTCCACCAGGAGAAACCCTAATAGGGACCACTGCCTCGTTAACAGATTCCACAAGTCATTATCAATGCATCAGATCTAATAAATATAAAAATGTACTTATTTTTTTACTGAGCCCCCAAAGCTCTCCACCCCAAGAAAAAACTTAACAAAAAGAAATGAAATGAAATAAAATGGGGTTTAACGTCCTACTGTTCTGCTCCCATTGGGCTAATGAAGACGGGCTTATGCCATACAGTGTGTCATGAGGGAAATTTTGCCCGGAGAGCGGCGTTATGGCCTACTCTTATATCGAATTTCAACTGCAAAGGGAATCTTTTACGTGTACGACTAGACATCTGTCCTTGTCAGGCCCTCCGCTCTGCCACGCCGGAAAATCCCGATGAACTTTCTCGGCCAACACCGGGATCGAACCCGCTACCTCCAGGCTAGTGGGCCAGCGCCTTACCCACTTAGCCACCGTGACTCCCCCTAACACCCCCCCCCCCACAAAAAAACAACTAAAAAACAAAACAAAAATAAACAAAACAAAGAAGAACCAAACACCCCCACCACCGAAACAAGTATTAATGTTAATAAAAAAAAGAAATGCACAAAAAAACATTCGTAACATTCAAACTCTAACAACAAAAAACAAAGAAGAACCAAACACCCCCACCACCAAAACAAGTATTAATGTTAATAACAAAAAAAGAAATGCACACTTACCCATTTAGCCACCGTGACTCCCCCTAACAACCCCCCCCCCCCCCCCCAAAAAAAAAAAAAAAAAAAACAAACAAAAAAAACCAAAAAACAAAAAAAAAACAAAGAAGAACCAAACACCCCCACCAAAAAACAAGTATTAATGTTAATAAAAAAAAAGAAATGCACAAAAAAAACATTCTTAACATTCAAACTCTAACTTTTTAAAATAAAAACAGAAAGCAGGTAGAATGGTATTACCGGTAATGAAGAATTGAACTGTATGAAATTAAAAGTTAAAAGTTAATCTGATCAAATTAAGATATGCCTTTCAGCAACTGACCTTCATATCTGTTTTCCAGTTAATTAAACAAATGAGATGACGAGCACAATAAAAGTGTATAGTATATCATATATAAGCCATGTAAATGCAGCACTTTTTATATCAACTGAATTCGTAGAGATGGAGAGCAATATACTGTTCTGGTCAGCCGTATTGTTTGTCTCATTAAGTCAAACGTTAGTATGTTCGTATCATCTATATCCTAAACAATTCGATTCATCTCTAGTGCCGGGATATGTATCCGTAATTAGAAATTGTAACGACATACAGGAAGTGACCAGAGGTTCTTGTTTATTACAAGAAGAGGCGTGTTGTGTTTTTTTTCAGTTTGCCGATTTTTGTGCAAGTAAGTGTAGAAAGAACAGAATACCAAATGCTGCAGATGTCGGAGAATTCGATAATATCATCACATTTCGATCATGTGTAATAATAGTGGAGACCTTCAATAATTGCATACATGATAGCTTAGAGTGTCAAATACTGGCACTTTTACTCCGTGTCTGCGAGAACAAATTTGATAACCTTCCACCAACCACATCACCAATTACTAGTTCCACAACGTCACCAACTACTAGTCCTGCCATAGTTCCGGTTGAAAGCCCAACAACTTCACCAATCACTAGTCCTACAACTTCACCAACCACTAGTCCTACAACTTCACCAACTACCAGTCTTACAACATCGCCTGCAACTAGTCCTACGACATCACCAACAACCAGTCCTACTACTTCACCAACAACTTCACCGACCACTAGTCCTACAACTTCACCAACTACCAGCCCTACAACAAGTCCTACAACTTCACCAACCACTAGTCCTACAACTTCACGAATTACCAGTCCTACAACATCGCCTATAACTAGTCCTACAACATCACCAACTACCAGTCCTACAACTTCACCAACTACCAGTCCTACAACATCACCTACAACATCACCAACTACCAGTCCTACTACTTCACCAACCACTAGTCCTACAACTAGTCCCACAACATCATCAACTACCAGTCCAACAACTTCACCAACCACTAGTCCTACAACGTCACCAACTACAAGCCCTACTTCCTCACCAACTACAAGTCCTGTCACGTCACCTACTACAAGCCCAACAACTTCACCAACCACTAGTCCGACAACATCCCCCACAACGTCACCAACTACCAGCCCCACAACATCACCAACTACCAGTCCTACGACATCACCAACTACCAGTCCTACGACATCACCAACTACCAGTCCTACAACTTCACCAACTACCAGTCCTACAACATCACCAACTACCAGCCCTACAACAAGTCCTACAACGTCACCAACTACCAGCCCAACTACTTCACCAACTACCAGTCCTACAACATCACCTACTACTTCACCAACTACAAGCCCTACCACCTCACCAACTACAAGTCCTGCCACGTCACCTACTACAAGCCCAACAACTTCACCAACCACTAGTCCGACAACTTCACCAACTACCAGTCCTACAACATCCCCCACAACTTCACCAACTACCAGCCCCACAACATCACCAACTACCAGTCCTACGACATCACCCACTACCAGTCCTACAACTTCACCTACAACTAGTCCTACGACATCACCAACAACCAGTCCTACTACATCACCAACAACTTCACCGACCACTAGTCCTACCACGTCACCAACTACCAGTCCTACAACATCACCTACAACTTCACCAACCACTAGTCCTACAACGTCACCAACTACAAGCCCTACTACCTCACCAACTGCAAGTCCTGCCACGTCACCTACTACAAGCCCAACAACTTCACCAACCACTAGTCCCACAACTTCACCAACTACCAGTCCTACAACATCTCCCACAACTTCACCAACTACCAGCCCCACAACATCACCAACTATCAGTCCTACGACATCACCCACTACCAGTCCTACAACTTCACCTACAACGAGTCCTACGACATCACCAACAACCAGTCCTACTACTTCACCAACAACTTCACCGACCACTAGTCCTACAACTTCACCAACTACCAGCCCTACAACAAGTCCTACAACTTCACCAACCACTAGTCCTACAACTTCACCAATTACCAGTCCTACAACATCGCCTACAATTAGTCCTACAACATCACCAACTACCAGTCCTACAACTTCACCAACTACCAGTCCTACAACATCACCTACAACTAGTCCTACAGCATCACCAACTACCAGTCCTACTACTTCACCAACCACTAGTCCTACAACTAGTCCCACAACATCACCAACTACCAGTCCAACAACTTCACCAACCACTAGTCCTACAACGTCACCAACTACAAGCCCTTCTACCTCACCAACTACAAGTCCTGTCACGTCACCTACTACAAGCCCAACAACTTCACCAACCACTAGTCCGACAACATCCCCCACAACGTCACCAACTACCAGCCCCACAACATCACCAACTACCAGTCCTACGACATCACCAACTACCAGTCCTACGACATCACCAACTACCAGTCCTACAACTTCACCAACTACCAGTCCTACAACATCACCAACTACCAGCCCTACAACAAGTCCTACAACGTCACCAACTACCAGCCCAACTACTTCACCAACTACCAGTCCTACAACATCAACTACTACTTCACCAACCACTAGTCCTACAACGTCACCAACTACAAGCCCTACTACCTCACCAACTACAAGTCCTGCCACGTCACCTACTACAAGCCCAACAACTTCACCAACCACTAGTCCGACAACTTCACCAACTACCAGTCCTACAACATCCCCCACAACTTCACCAACTACCAGCCCCACAACATCACCAACTACCAGTCCTACGACATCACCCACTACCAGTCCTACAACTTCACCTACAACTAGTCCTACGACATCACCAACAACCAGTCCTACTACTTCACCAACAACTTCACCGACCACTAGTCCTACCACGTCACCAACTACAAGTCCTACAACATCACCTACAACTTCACCAACCACTAGTCCTACAACGTCACCAACTACAAGCCCTACTACCTCACCAACTACAAGTCCTGCCACGTCACCTACTACAAGCCCAACAACTTCACCAACCACTAGTCCGACAACTTCACCAACTACCAGTCCTACAACATCCCCCACAACTTCACCAACTACCAGCCCCACAACATCACCAACTACCAGTCCTACGACATCACCCACTACCAGTCCTACAACTTCTCCTACAACGAGTCCTACGACATCACCAACAACCAGTCCTACTACTTCACCAACAACTTCACCGACCACTAGTCCTACAACTTCACCAACTACCAGCCCTACAACAAGTCCTACAACTTCACCAACCACTAGTCCTACAACTTCACCAATTACCAGTCCTACAACATCGCCTACAACTAGTCCTACAACATCACCAACTACCAGTCCTACAACTTCACCAACTACCAGTCCTACAACATCACCTACAACTAGTCCTACAACATCACCAACTACCAGTCCTACTACTTCACCAACCACTAGTCCTCCAACTAGTCCCACAACATCACCAACTACCAGTCCAACAACTTCACCAACCACTAGTCCTACAACGTCACCAACTACAAGCCCTACTACCTCACCAACTACAAGTCCTGTCACGTCACCTACTACAAGCCCAACAACTTCACCAACCACTAGTCCGACAACATCCCCCACAACGTCACCAACTACCAGCCCCACAACATCACCAACTACCAGTCCTACAACTTCACCAACTACCAGTCCTACAACATCACCAACTACCAGTCCTACTACTTCACCAACCACTAGTCCTACAACTAGTCCAACAACATCACCAACTACCAGTCCAACAACTTCACCAACCACTAGTCCTACAACGTCACCAACTACAAGCCCTACTACCTCACCAACTACAAGTCCTGCCACGTCACCTACTACAAGCCCAACAACTTCACCAACCACTAGTCCCACAACCTCACCAACTACCAGTCCTACAACGTCACCAACTACAAGCCCTACTACCTCACCAACTACAAGTCCTGCCACGTCACCTACTACAAGCCCAACAACTTCACCAACCACTAGTCCGACAACTTCACCAACTACCAGTCCTACAACATCCCCCACAACTTCACCAACTACCAGCCCCACAACATCACCAACTACCAGTCCTACGACATCACCAACTACCAGTCCTACGACATCACCAACTACCAGTCCTACAACTTCACCAACTACCAGTCCTACGACATCACCAACTACCAGTCCTACGACATCGCCAACTACCAGTCCTACAACTTCACCTACAACTAGTCCTACGACATCACCGATCACTAGTCCTACTACTTCACCAACAACTTCACCGACCACTAGTCCTACAACTTCACCAACTACCAGCCCTACAACAAGTCCTACAACTTCACCAACCACTAGTCCTACAACTTCCCCAACTACCAGTCCTACAACATCACCAACTACCAGTCCTACTACATCACCAACCACTAGTCCTACAACGTCACCAACTACCAGTCCTACAACATCACCTACAACTAGTCCTACAACATCACCAACTACCAGTCCTACTACTTCACCAACCACTAGTCCTACAACTTCACCAACTACCAGTCCTACAACATCCCCCACAACTTCGCCAATTACCAGCCCTACAACATCACCAACTACCAGCCCCACAACATCACCAACTACCAGTCCTACTACATCACCAACTACCAGTCCGACAACTTCACCAACTACCAGTCCTACAACTTCACCAACTACCAGTACTACTACATCACCCACAACTTCACCAACTACCAGCCCAACTACTTCACCAACTACCAGTCCTACAACATCACCAACTGCCAGTCCTACAACATCACCCACAACTTCACCAACCACTAGTCCTACAACTTCCCCAACTACCAGTCCTACAACATCACCAACTACCAGTCCTACTACATCACCAACTACCAGCCCCACAACATCACCAACTACCAGTCCTACTACATCACCAACTACCAGTCCGACAACTTCACCAACTACCAGTCCTACAACTTCACCAACTACCAGTCCTACTACATCACCCACAACTTCACCAACTACCAGCCCAACTACTTCACCAACTACCAGTCCTACAACATCACCAACTGCCAGTCCTACAACATCACCCACAACTTCACCAACCACTAGTCCTACAACTTCCCCAACTACCAGTCCTACAACGTCACCAACTACCAGTCCTACAACATCACCAACTACTAGTCCTACAACGTCACCAACTAACAGCCCATTGCCGTAATAATGATGGATAAATCGCTGATCCAATGTTATTTTTATTAATTCAATATACGCTTGGTGTGTTGTCTTATTGAGTAAACTCTTCGATTAATCCCTGAACATATTAATAAAATGTATAGTTCGGTTTAAAGATATAAAGTTGATAGAAAAGGCAAACTTGGTATTGGTATTTATGTTATTTATATTGATCTATACTCTTCAAAAAAAGTAGGGGCTATTCAGAAACAATACAAAACTGCGGAAATGCACGGCTGTTTTTATTAGAGGTAACCAGTGAATGTTAATAACAGGCCAATTGCCTGCACATGAACATAAACAATTCATATGGGCGACTTATCTGACGGCCCCATTTCACTCGCAAAGAGATACACCGTCAAAAGTGAAAATGGACGTTTTTGATTTTTGTCTTAATAATGAGTAATTGCTCCACCAATCCTCAGACATTCAGCAATTCGTCGTAGCATGCTCCTAATCAACCGTTCAATCACGATTTGGGGCAATCTGACCCACTCCTCTTGCAGTGCCACGGCCAATTTGTGCAGTGTTGTCGGTTGACGTTGACGTCGACGAACACGTCTCCCGATCAAATTAAACGTTACACACCAAAGAAAAGATACGCTAAACAGTAAATCTTGTGCATGAATCGATAGTAATGCTAACATGGATAGATAAACCAGCACGCGGCAGTTTTCTTCAACCCTTCCTTGTCCAATTTGACAATGAACCCCTCCCACGTGTATGGCGCTATTGCAGCTCAATGGTTCTGTTGGGGCGATAAGTTCTTCATCTGTGAACATACTCCCAAAGCATGTCAAGTGTCCATGACTATTTTTCATATGACAACCTGCATAGGTATTTGCATTTCAATATCCCCTACTTTTTTTGAAGAGTATATTTAACAAAAGAATGGCACAGACAACTTCAAGAAAACTCCATGACTGATATATGCTTAACTACGAATCTAAATCTACAGTCAAGTATTTTAGAATACATTATCATATCCCAATGATAATTTATTTAACATTGCGCGATCATAAGGCTTTATTTTTAAAATCAGAAGTATACTATTCAAAAAAAGTAGGGGATATTTGATTTTGGGGGCATAATACTAAAATATGCAAATGACTACGAAAAAAGTCACTATAGAACCTAACAGAAGAAATATTTCCAGTTACATGTGACGCCCAAACGCACCAATAGCTACCGCATGGAATGCAGGTGATGCTTGGGATCATCATGGGGGTCCAACCCAAGATTTGCACGACTCTGACTTTGAATGTTACAGTCATTGTGGCATTGAATTCCAGGGTGGAAACATCAGTTTAATTGTTTTAGTGACCAGAAAACAAATTTTGATATGCGTCGGCTTACCCAAAATGAAAGGTTACGTGCCCTTGGCATGCTACAGATCGGCACAACACAGGCGGTTGTGGCGCGGACAATGAATGTTTCTCAGTCTGTCATAAGCAGGCTATGGTCCAGATACCGTGATACACAATCTGTACAGGACAGACCACGCTCAGGTCGACCAAGGGCGACAACTCAAGCCCAGGATCGATTTATCCGTACCTTGGCCTTGAGAAATCGTGTCATCACAGCAAATCAGATCAGCGCTCGTCTTCAAACAGACACTGGTGTGAGAGTGAGTGGCCAGACGATTCGGAATCGACTGCATAGGGGTCACCTTCGCGCCCGACGTCCTCGCGTGATCCCTTGTTTGAGAGATCATCACATTCAGGCAAGACGTCGTTGGTGTAGGGATCGTCAACACTGGGATAATCGACGCTGGAGCAATGTGATGTTTTCAGATGAGTCAAGGTTCACTGTTGATTTTTTGGACAGACGTAGGAGGGTGTGGCGTCGTCGAAACGAGCGCTTCCAAGACGTTAACGTCATCAGACATGATCGATTTGGGGGTGGTTCTGTTATGGTGTGGGGAGGCATCACTGTTGCTGGAAGAACGGCTTTACATGTTGTTGCAGGGCGTGTTACAGGCCAGTACTACCGGGACAACATCTTGGCAGTCCATGTTGTGCCGTTCGCACGACGTCATGGCCGCCGTTTCATCTTCCAGGATGACAACGCAAGATGTCACAGGGCCAGGATCGTTACAGGTTACCTCCAACAACAGAACATCACCACATTACCTTGGCCAGCACTGAGTCCCGACCTCTCCCCCATCGAGCATGTCTGGGACATGCTTGGACAGAGGTTACGTCAACGTCAACAACGTCCTGCCAATGTCCAAGAACTTGCTGCTGCGTTGCAACAGGAATGGGACAATCTGGACCAAAATGACCTTAGACGTCTCATTAGGAGTATGCCACGTCGGATCAATGCTTGTTTGGCAAACAGAGGAGGATTTACCCGTTACTGACTTGGTTGTGATGCTGTGGTAACTTTGCTGTTTGACCCCGGGTATCATTTTACCCTTATAATGGTCAGTCTGTGCCTTACTTAGTCTAACGATCATTTGGAATAAATCGATGAATGTGAACTTCATTTCATTTTGTCATTTGTTTCTTCGTCAGTTTCATTAGGTGACTTTAATAACACTTAAAAATCAAATATCCCCTACTTTTTTTGAATAGTATACTTGGCTTGGGCCCGTAAAGAGATAGACTTTATCTCCTCAGATTACAATACAATGGTGTATGTACGAAAAGTACAAAGTTTTTCAAGACGTGGAGAAAAAAGACGAGGAATGTTAATAATTTTGGTGTACAAAAAATAGGATAACATTTTTAAGAATTTCTGTTAATATTTATTAAGCTATTACCCTTGCATTCAATTGTTCGTACACTTTTGGTTTTGTTAGAAAACAAGAAAACGACCAGAAGCTCTTCACATAATTGGCTGAACGTTTCATTTAAATGACATACAGGTGTTTTTTTATTTAATACTTACGATGTTTGAGATGAATCCGTATGGAATTATTGTCCTTACTCCAAAAATATCCGTTCACAAATTTGAAGACAAGCAAACTGGATAACGTATTAGGTCTAATTAAATAAAACCCACGGTTTTTCATAAAATAGGCCCTATCTAATATTTAAGAATTTCGATAAATATGTTTGGCCTATTTAACACTATCTACTTTTGATGATCACTCGCAGAGGTAGACAGACAACCAATTTAAAAGAATTGGCGTAATCTGGTATAAGAGTATTGGTGTCGTAAAGATGTGACCTATGTAATATTATTTAAGAATTTCGAAGAATATTTTTATGGAGCTATTTCCCCTTTTTCAAAATTCCATTTATAATTTGTGTGGACAAGCAACAGTAAGCATTTTCTAACCAATACCAGTGGTTCCAGAGGACAAAAACGCAACCACGACACAAATAATAAAGGAACGTCAAATCAAAAGAGTGGATGCGATGTACAGTCCCATACCCACAGTAACAGTGGTTCGGTGTGTAGGGCGCTGGCCGAGAATTTACCTCGAAAATTTCCAGTATGATTTCCCCTTGTCATTAGTGCAGGAAGGTGGGTGTGGCAAGAAACAACGGTTAGACTTTAGTATGGGACGAAACCATATAATCATAGAAAGATCCATGGTATAATGGTTTCTCGCTCCGTTAGAAACGCAAATAGGAAAACATATCCCAGAAGACCTCGCGGGGGTAATTAGAAATAATAACCACAAAATAATAACAAAAACCCGTGTAGTATGGACTAAGCGGGCACAAACGATTGTCGTTCAATTTGGACTGTTCACGTATTTCACCGAACGTAATTGGTTAAAAATTACAATATTTAAAAAAAAACGAAAATTGAATATAAATCACTTTATATACATTCATGTTACATCAATATGTGCTTTTAGACCAATTTCTTCGATTTTAAGGTTCCAGAGAAAGATTCTAGTCATAAATCCTTTAAAGTGCCATGGTTCTGTTCAATTTTGGAAATTGAAGTGATGTGCACTGCAGGAAATCTGTTTATACCCCACCTTGTACGAGAGTAATGCAGGCAAAATGGAATGATAAATGAAATATGTTGTTTTAAATGGCACGTCAGCTCCAACCGGGCTATATTGCGCCAAACAATATGGTGAAGACTTCGTAAGAACTACAGATACGTATTCAAAACGAGTAGAGAACTTGCGGAGAAACTACTTGGAACTTTTAGAACAATGAAGAAACGTGTTGTTAACTCATACAGAACTTGTGAATTTGTTTTGAACGTAGGGCCTACTAAGGACGCAATGTGATCGAGCGAGCTACAAACTGACCCAGTCTTATACCCCCGTCAGACTGGGGTGGTGTCTTTACTGCGACGCTACGGCGACGGAAAATGGTCGCAGAGCGCGCCAGGATCGCCATAAGCGCGGTAAACGCGTGATGGAAACGCCAGATATCGTGCTGTGGACTCCATGGTCGTGAATGATCGCCTAGTCACCGCGTTTGTTTTAAGCATGTTCAAAACAAACGCCAAGGCTTTGCGATCTAACCTGTAAAGTTGTAATGCCCCAGTCAGACCTGGGTGGCGTCCTAACTGCGCTGCATCGACCGTACGGCGACCAGAAAATGCACAGGGTCGCCGGCAAACGTGAACACAACGTACGAAAATGTCCCAAAATATTAAAACTTTTACAATAAAAATTGCGTTTTCACATCTTTCTAGGGCAGATCGCAGAACCTTGGCGTTTGTTTTGAACATGCTCAAAACAAACGCCGTGACTCGGCGATCATTTGCGACCATCCAGACCACAGCGCGATATCTGGCGTTTCCACCACGCTTATGGCGATCTCGGCGCGCTCTGGGGCCATTTTCCGTCGCCGTAGCAGCGCAGTAAAGGCGCCACCCCGGTCTGTCGGGGTAAAGAGCGAGACTTTTATCAAGTTTGTAAATTTTTGGGGACAATTTCTTGCGTTGTGTTTACGTTTGCCGGCGACCTTGTGCATTTTCTATTCGCTGTATGGTCGCAGCAGCGCAGTAAGGACGCCACCCAGTCTGACGGGGGCATTACTGCTATTTGATGCGCGACCACGTCACGCTGTAACCAAGGGCGTGGATTTGTCATAACTTTTTTTTTGGGGGGGGGGGTAGCGGACGAACCCTGGAACCTGGAACATTTCATTACCAAACAAAATAAATAATAACGAACAGTTTACTGTACCAGTGTTATTTCGATGAAGGCTGCAACTAGGGGTAATATGATGACAATATGGAATGACAATACATCAAAGCTGCATAAATATTAATTGTTCATGAAGTTAAGTGAATCGTCCAAAGGCGTTCGTTCTACGATTAGGACTGTTCTCTTGTGGATATAAACCTGAAAACGTGTCCTGGCGATCAAAATCAAGGGGGGGGGGGCAGAGACCTATTCGCCCCCACCCCCTTCCGATTCTAAGAGGGGGGCGCGTCCCCCCCCCACCTAAATCCACGCCTATGGCTGTAACACATCCCTAGTAATATCGAAGAACCCATTTGGCAACATTTTCTAAAACGTAATGTGAACTAGTTTTGTGTGACGGGGACTTTAGCTGGCTTTTGCACAAATTATTCGTGCTGTATAATAGCTAAACCTGTATAATAATAGCTCTAATTCATGGGAGCTCACTCTTAAATGCTGGTGCAAATGTTGCTGGGTGCAGACCGCAGTTGGTGGAATGGGTTTTACCGCCCTACAGGTTAACCAAAACGGGCTCACACCATTTATGCGAAATTTAGCTAGGACAGCAGCGTTGCCACCTACTCTTTATCGAATTCCAACAGTCAATGGTTCTTTTACATCCACGCCAACGTGTATACGTCCGATCCGACTAAACTTTGTTCCTGTACGGATAATGGGAAACACGCTGAACATTCTAGGCCAACACCAGGATCAAAACCGATGCCTATTGGTTAGTGAGTCAGCGCCTTACTCGCTACGTCAACGTGGCTGGTCCAAACCCAGATTCGTCACTTTTCCATATTAGCCTTGTCTTGCTACTTCTTTTCGAACACGGGCCCATTTTCTAACCACGAAATGCGTGACAGGATCATGGTAGGCCTAACAGTAACTGACCAACACCAAGATGATAGTCCTTTATGAAAAAGGGGATCGTTCATTTTTAAGTGAAAAACATGAAACTGACGCCTTCCTCTAAGTTACCAGAGTCAATCTTGCATATTATGAAATGCTTTTCATAGATGTCCGATGCTCTTTTGTACCATTTTTGGGGATATCCTTACCCCAAAACCTTGCGGCCAAGAACCCAACTGTATAAAGGGGCATAACTCTGCACTGCATATCATAAAATAACAAGTTCGGTCTCTAAATTAATGTTCTTGAAGTCATTTGAAGATATATATAGCCTGTGGTGTTAACTGGATCCTTATACTATTTTCGGGGGTACCTCTTCCCTCGTCACGCGCAACAGAGAACCCAAATTTATGAATAGGCATAACTCTGCATTGCTTCATCATAATAGCAAATTTGTTATCTGAACTAATGCTTTGGGGGTCTATACTTTGTTTGAAGGTATGCACAGTGGTGTTAAGTGGTTCCTTATAGCATTTTCGGAGTACCCTCTATCCTTAAAACATCTGGCCTCGAATCCAAATTTACGAATATTTGTAACTCTGCACTACTTCATCACCTACTGACATATTTGGTATGTTAATGTTTTGGGGTGGATACCACTACCCCAATAACATGATGCCGTGAAAGACAAGATGCGCAATAAATTATTTACCAATTTACTCTACATAGAGTTGCTTTTCATTACCGAAGCAACTTTTTCTAAAAAATACGCGTCAGTCTCAATTCGACATTGGAATAGTTTACATCATAATATACAATGTTATATTATGATGAAGAGTTAAGCCTAATCGTAAATTTGAGTTCTCGGTCGCAAGTTGTGGGGGCTCATATAAATGGTATAAGGGATCAGTTGACGACCCCAAAAGCATTAATTTATATGTTCATTTTACATTTATAGGGTCTAAAACCAACCGTTTAGGATTTTAGGATTAAAAAAAGGGTAACTTTTCCTTGTCAAGACCTTTATTAGTTATCAGAAAATACTGCACTTTTGTATCAAGAGAAGTTGCATCTCTTAGATCCCAACCATTTTTTAGGGCAAGAGTTGCTTTAATTAGTTGATCTTGGAATTTATCAAGCGAAAATATTTCACAATTACTAAAAAGCATATCAAAGGGGATATTGTTTGTTCCCAAAGCCTGTGTACAATAAAAATTGAGCATGGACAATTCCATAGGAAAATATCAGTATTTGTTCTTTTTCTCTAATATTCCTCCCCTTCTTCATCTCCCTCTTCGGCATCTTCGATCGAATCTACGCCAACTTCGTCATAATCTTTCTCCAAAGCAGCAAGATCTTCTCTGGCTTCAGCAAATTCCCCCTCTTCCATACCTGTAAAATTCAAGCCAGAAAATTTTATCTGGTGAGCTGGTAAATAAAATTCAAGTATAGGCAAATCCTTGTACCGGTTGTCAAAACATGCAATAATCCAATGGATTTCGACAAAATCTAAGAATAGGATGTGGATTCGTTAAATAAGACGTTTTGTACTGCCAGATTTAAAGAAAAATAATGTAAGAACCACTTCGTTTTCCGGATACCTGACCCGGGGTTTATTTTTTGGAAAATAGATAAGCATCAACTGCATATATTATTCCTTTATGTTCAGTAACAACCACAGTCGTAATAAAGGCTTCCGCGGTACGATATGCGGACAAAGCCCACTGGTAGTTATTCTGACGTTAGCACAGAAGAACCAGTGGGATTTTTCAAGCTTGGACTTCAAACGGGTTCATGGAAACTGTATCTATATGTATAGCCATTCAGATGGTACACAAACCGTGCACCATTTGTCTGCAATTCATCAAATTGCAACTGCATGCAGATCTTTACGTCTTCAACCAGGGTGTACGTTTACACACCCTCTAAACACTGCTATTGCAATCTATCCACCTACCTTCTCCGACATACCAATGGACAAAGGCTCTTTTAGCATACATAAGATCAAACTTGTGGTCAAGACGAGCCCATGCCTCAGCGATAGCGGTCGTATTACTCAACATACAAACAGCTCGTTGAACCTGCGCCAAGTCAGCACCTTGCAAACAAATAAAACATATTAAAAGTTGATTTTGTTGTTCATATTTACCATGTTCACTCAACCGGTTCTCTGTTAAGTTTACGGACAAGAGGGATCCATCCGTAATTATGGAAGGTGTATGCATATGAATACTTATTGTTGAATCTACTTTTCAGTAGATTGTCCTTACGGCTTCATTCATGTCAAGTTCGCCGAACTTGCCACACAGAAGCGCAAATTCTTATTTGTGGCAGTATATTATTATCAGACATTTATATATATATAAATGATAATGCTAGAAGCTTGATTTCTTTAATTTAATTTTATATTCTTCATTTTGCAACGTAACATTGAAGATCGCTTATTTTATATAAATACTTCAACGTGACGTGTATTCCTAAAGAAACAAATTACTTACACTGTAAGCTTATGTATCAACGTTTCGTTTTATTGTTACGCTACTAATTAATTCAATTATATGTTTTACACTGTAACTGGATTCCCTGGTGAATTCAGGAAAATATTTAAATGAAAACAATATTAAGAAAACCAGTTATACGGATATTAATTTTATTCAAATTCCGGAATTGAACAGTATCAGCCCATTAACCATTGTTGCAATATGGACTATTTGTTTCATTCGTCTAAAACGTTCACTGGCAGACTAAGCAGAATAATCGGCCAGACTCATACAATTTTGAATCCACTCTTACTTTATACCAGTCTGTAGTATTTGAAAGTATTAGCATCGATGACAAAGAAACGTATAACGTTGATCTCATGCGCACCCCTACCCGTCACTCGCTCACCAGGCACAACAGTCGGCGGCTGATAGTTGATTCCAACTTTAAACCCAGTAGGACACCAATCAACAAATTGAATAGATCGTTTGGTTTTGATTGTTGCTATGGCCGCGTTCACGTCCTTTGGTACAACGTCGCCACGATACAGCATACAGCATGCCATATATTTGCCGTTTCTTGGATCACATTTCACCATTTGGTTACAAGGTTCAAAACAAGCATTGGTTATTTCTGCTACAGACATTTGTTCATGGTAAGCCTTCTCCGCTGAATTACAAAACATTGATATAAGCGTTGATATAAGATAAACATTATATAAAACCCCAAGCCGCCTTGTGATAGAACCAGAAATTGCATAACCTTATTTTAGAAACAAAAAAGATTTGAAAATCAAGTAATAAAAAATAAAATTTTGTCTTGTTCAATATTTGTTTTAAAACAACGATATGTTAGAATAAACCAAGTATAGAGACTATATAACTCTATGTAGTTTTACATAAATTACTTCCCTTGTCCTGTTGCATACGGCCCATTTCTGGTGACATTTAGTCAGAGGCTCCTAACAATCTGTTTGTTTCGATTCGTACCACACTAAAATTGGGCCCTTTTGGAACTTCCCTCACCTGCATCGGCAAAAAAAAGAAAACATCCTGGATCCGTGACCAGAGTGGAAGTATTTTGGCAAATTGTTATAATACTCACCTGAAATAATGGGTGCATACGTCACTAAAGGAAAATGAATTCGTGGATAAGGAACAAGATTGGTCTGAAACTCTGTCAGGTCGACATTCAGAGCCCCATCAAACCTGAGGGAAGCAGTTATAGAGCTGACTATTTGTCCGATCAAACGATTAAGATTTGTGTAGGATGGTCGTTCAATGTCCAGATTACGACGACAAATATCATAAATAGCTTCATTATCTACCATAAAAGCACAATCTGAATGTTCCAATGTGGTATGGGTTGTCAGAATAGAGTTGTAAGGTTCTACCACAGCAGTAGAAATCTGAAACAGACATTTAAAATATATACATTTAAAATATATATATATATATTATTAATATTTGAAGAAGCCTATAGAGGGCAGACAGCTGGCTTATATGATTTAATATATGTCAAAATGAAGCAAAGTGGAGATTTTTTTATCTGGAAGTATTTCATATATCATATATATCTTATATCAATTGTGTGCAGAAAACTAGCTACGCCTTATCGAGTCACCAGCTTATAGTTTATCTTAACCACCATACTATAGCCAATTTGAACTTTCTAACGACATAATGTTTCGTGTGGCATAACCAAAGTAAGGAATACTTACCTTTTCGGAATCAAATGATATAATCTGTGAGAGGAATTGCATAGGTTTTGGGGGCAGTTATCTGTGTTTTTTTCCTATTGTTTTTATATGTATACTTGGTTTGTTAGACATCATACACATGTGTTTATGTGTGTGATAAATCAAGAATCAGCGGTGAATGGGGAAACTCGATAAGTCGACACCACGACAGCAAGCCAAAATCACAGGTCGCTAATATCGCCATCAATACTAGACTTTATCATACAGGCTATTTGGTTAACGCGAATTGCATGTATTAAAATGTGACCTGGAATGTAGAAACTACAACACCTTCCGAGCCGAAACTCTAAAAGTCGACAGTACGACAGCAAGCCAAAATGATAGGTCGCTAATAGCGCGGTGTGTTAATTTCCTAATTTCTACTTTTCGAGTTGCATTTTTGCTTGGTATAGCGTGTTGGCGCCTTCTTACTGGCATCAATAAATACAAAAATATGACTAAGTTGAAAGTCGACAAGACGGTACACAAGCCAAAATGCAAGTCGAAAATTAGAAATTAGGAAAAAACGAGAGGCGCTATTATTGCGATGTAGAATTTCTTATTTTCCTATTTTCGAGTCGATTTTGGCTTGTATAGCGTGCTGTCGCCTCACATTTTGTCGTAACTTCTACTTTTCGACTTTCGCATTCTGAAGGGGCGAAAAGTAGAAATTATGAATTGTAGTTATAGGCTCCCATAGTTAACAGATACATGCCTGTTTGGTTCACCCACAAATCTTCACGTACCTTACTATAAAAATGGACATTTCAAAACTAATTGTCTTGGACATACCTGGGGTGCTGGATAAACCGCAAACTCTAGTTTACTCTTTTTGCCGTAGTCTACCGATAAACGCTCCATCAATAAAGACGAAAATCCACTACCGGTTCCTCCACCAAAACTATGGAATACCAGAAACCCTTGAAGTCCAGTACATTGGTCAGCCTGGAGAAAATATAACGGTCATCGATTTTTATCTAGATTTCAAACTTGTACTTCAAAAATTGGCATGTGCAATTATGAAACAATCTATAAACATGCGTAATGGCGTGACACGGTCAAGGGTGAAATTCATTAATTATATTTTTAAAAAACGCGGATCACAAGTCTTCCTTAGCAATGTAAACGATGAAGACATCAAACGTTTTTTATATGCTATCTTAAGGGATGGAACTGATATGCCGATCTTAGAAAAAACAAGATGGCGGAATGAAATCAATACAAAGTAGATTGCTCCACAATTTCGTTATGATCAATCCGTTTGAATAATTTCTGGGTCAAAATGGATTTAATAACACTACTGGTATTGTGTATGATCTGAACTCATTACATTTAATGAACATGACACACATAGAGAAGTTCTGTGGAATTGTTCTTTAATTGTATCTACCAGCCCTTCCACCAACTTTAGTTTTCAAAAAGCCTAAGGATGACATGACATGAGACCTATTCCAAAATGTATGATTCAATTATGGCCATTTTCTAGGTTGACAATGGGATAGTGGGGAGTAGAAAATATAAGACTCCGTTTGTTGGCAGATTTTCTGACCTTCGAAGGTTAATGGCTGTCTCTGGAAACAGTTTTCCATGGAGGCCCTTCCTGAAATATTTTCTGTCAAACACAGAAAGTTTTCGGGGACAAATATCGACGATGGTGGATCTAATGTTCTGTGTACAAGCATTGAACAGGGAAGATACAGGACAGTCAGCCATGGTATTTGGAAAGTTAAATGGTTTCGAATGGTGTGTTATATCCAGGGTGCCACGGTCGGAATCTAGGTTCTAATTCTAAAAAAAAAACTGACAAAAAGCAGGGCTTATTATCTTCTGGTCCATCTCTGACATTAATACAGATAAGGAAAGAGTCAAACATTTCCGATTTGGTCTGTTCTATTACTTCTTCCAAACATTTTACAAATATAAAGCTATGTACATTTAAAACGTAATGTCATATTGTTGTATTTCATGTTAAGAATATATCACTACCTGATTTAATAATATATAATAAAACTGTCTGAAACCTCTACACATCGTATATACATAATATGTGCATTGTTTTGTTTAAAATATGATAAAACTTTAAACAGATACTACTTCTTTGGGCATGAAAATTCGAGTTGGGAGATTCGAGTGTCTAGCATAACTTGTGGATAATTGGGTTATGTTAAAAGGAAAGTGATTAAATTACCATTTTTCTTATTCTATCCAGAACCAGGTCCACAATTTCTTTACCAACGGTATAATGGCCCCTTGCGTAGTTATTTGCCGCATCTTCTTTTCCACTGATTAACTGTTCGGGATGAAATAACTGTCTATACGTACCATTTCTAACTTCATCTACAATTTAAAAGTAAATGAATTAGTTAGAAGTAGTGAATGAAATGGCTTTATTGTCTTCGTCGGGTTAATGAAGACGAACATACGCAGCAGTGTGTTACGAGAGAAAGTTTGCCCGTACAGCAATTGAATTCCAAACCTCAAGGGTTCTTTGACGTCTACACCTTGTGTACACGAAACTACTGCTACTTGTTCCATCTGAACGATTAGACGCCGTTCCTTGCCAAAACCCCGTCCTTCACACTGACATGGGAAAAACGCTGGAAAATCCCCGAGGAACTTTCGCGTTCAACATCGGGATAATTAGCGAATCATCGTGGCTCGCAGCCAGAAATACCGGTAGGTGTCGTGTTCGAAAGGCTGTGTTTACTCTTTTAAAACACTTAATATTCTTTGTTTATTTGGGCGGGTCGCATAGTTAACAATATTTCTTCGCTGTATGTACTTAACTAGAATCACCACAACAACCATGAGATTTTAATTTCAATGATAGTCCCAGATGGTGGTTAACATAATCAGATGCCAATTTTGGACATGCATGCGTGTGCGAACCAGATAAACACAATTTAGGATAGTATGGGATACTAGTATTATAACATGGAATGGCCGTATTCTAATATTTTATTTTCCAATAAATCTAAGCAATCTGTTTTATTTCTTATCAGTTTTGGTATATACTGGAATTTAGCGCAGCTGTTTTGTCCAATATGCCATGAACAAATCTGACATTTTTCAAAATAACCTACTTTTTGTGGATAACTTATTTATAGTATAAAGTAATCTTGTTTTATGGGCCGGGTTATTTCTAAAATACATAACAAATGGGCATAAAAAAGACCTTCATAAAGAAGGGGATTGCTTCGGATGGTCATATTGAAATGGCATTTGCATAAGTAGGCTTCGGTCGAAATATAGATGGTATTATTGGGACACGACCAGCTATTATTGGGTTACTGAAAGCTGATAAGGTCCACCGTGATTCTATGGCCAATTGCATACACTATGCACGAATGCAATATCAAAAAATATTCCTTTAACTTTTAGGAAATTGTCATTCTATTTACCGATAATATTTATCGATGACACCTCTAGATAGTTGAAGCCATTCAAAAAAAGAAACAAAAGCGTAGACAACTCACCAACTACATTTGGTTCTAAATCAACATAAACTGCTCTAGGTACGTGTTTTCCATGGCTTGTTTCACTGAAGAACGTGTTAAAAGATTCGTCGCCATTAGACATCATCATTTTTTCGTGTTCCATATTACCATTAGGATGTATATTATGTTCCAGACAATACAGTTCCCAACATGCATTTCCGATTTGGACTCCAGCTTGACCAACATGGATAGAAATACACTCACGCTGCCAAGAAAAAAAATTGTACGTTAGATATGGCAGAATGTTGACTTTTATAACTAAAATCATTCATTTTATTATGCGCTAAATGTCAGATTCATCTAGTAATCCGTCCCCATTACCCTGCCATAGCCAATAATTTGGTTAAATTGCTGCATTCATACATAATTCACAACGCCATTGAAGGAAAGAATTCATTACACATTCGTTGCTTTCTGTGTGTCATTCTTTATCGGCATAGGGAGTCGTGGGCCATTTTGACATTTAATTTGCCGATGAATGTGATTTTGCTCCATTAAACGGGCAAGTTAGAACATTAGAAAAACTTGAATTCAGAATGTAAAAAATCAAATATCTGAGCACAGTTTGAGCTCGTCAGTTCTAATTAATAATGTAATTATAACATCAGTATGTAATTAATGGATTCAATATCTAACGAGGTTATTAACAACATCAAGTTTATCAGGTCTAGAAAAAAAAAATCACTTCATGAGAAATGTTGCCTTGCAGATGGTGTCTGCAATATGATTTCTATTCTTAGTGACTCACATATTCTATACAAATAAATGTAATGGCTTGCAAGTCATTTTGAGACTACCACGTATTTATGTTTCTATGGTCATATGTGCAATATAAAAGAGGACATTTTTTTCCCAAACAGAAACGTTTTCGTCTACTATCATCTATCCCTCGCGAATATTCATTCATTAAACGTGGCCAGAAATGACTACTTTTCTATAATTAAATACGTATTTATATTTTAATATTATCGTATGAGGAAGGCCCAATTTGGATCAAATGACTTACAGCCGGCCAATAAACAATTTTAACTTCGGAATATCTTTAAATAAAAAAGATACGTATATTTCATGGCTGTAAATTTTGTACATTAACAGGGTCGGTATGACATTATGTTGATAGGAATGTGTAGATATTCCAGGTATATAAAGGTATAAGACTATGGGAATGTAATTTGAGACGAGTGAAACTCTAAACCCTGCAATCCTAAAAATATTTTTTAGAAAAAAAATAGTGAAACACATGTGTTGGATGAGAAGAACGCACATATGGTAGAAGCTAAACTTGTTTATGTCATCTGCAGAAGTTCTCAGACGATGAAGTACTTATTTTTACTTGTACAAGAAGTTAGGAAAAATAAAGCGATATAAATAGAACTAAAAGTCAGTATCTATATTTTTCCGGCCTAATCCATACAAAAATGTACTTAAATTGATTATTTAACATTTTAACCAAAAACACAAAACCAAAATAAAGACGGTAGATAATTTCCCGACTTGGATTCAATTCATCATATATACGCAACGGAATTGAAACAATTTTGTTCTGATATTCCTTTCAGAAATTTATCTATAACAATATTGTGATTTGCAAGGACTCAACATTCCTCAAATTTTAATAACGATAGCGATTTCAATTACGTGCCAACGTCCTGTCAATAGATATGGTACCTCACAATATGTCAATATACGTTTATTTATTTATGATTGAAGCGCTATATTATATTATACAGAAATGTTTGTTAAGGTTCCAGAGAGATAGAAATGGGATTTAACGTCCTCTTTACTCGACAGAACACTAAGACATTTCGGGACTAACATATGGCTACATTTTATTTCAGTACTTCGTTATGGGAGTATGGGGCTTTAGACTGTGAGGAATCCGGAAGGCCCGTTAAAAAACCCCACGAGATTTAACCTTCATAATCAGAGAAATCAATTCACCTGGACCCGTTTCCAAGACAAAGCCTGTTTTCAACCTAAGCTAAAGGTCGATTTAAGAATATATTTGACAGGTGCGGGATCAGATGAATCACCAGTTTAAGTATATTTTGAGTAAATTTTGGAAACTTCAATAGCGAAAGATATAAAGTACAGTACTCCATAATCAAATAACGTCTTGAATTAACATATAGTTTTTGAAAGCGATTGTATTTTTTTTTGTTTTTTTTTTTGTTTTGTTTTAAATGGATCCTTCAAATTCAACAACTTCTAGGCTATAGCGAGAGACCAAATAGAAATTATAACAACGTGGGTTTCATCGTTTTGTCATGCCCAGCACTATTACATTCTTTTTTTGTTTCTATGTTTAGTGGGTAAGGCGAGTGGGGATAATCTTTCCAGGGTAGCCATATTGCCGTCTATTTTACATCAACACACACCCAGGACGATATTATATGGAATAAACCGCACATCATGATAGCTCTTCCGTTGTGAGAATATTCCCGGCCATGTATTTGTTTGGTACCGATGGTCCCGCGCTGTTAAAATAAATCTTCATCATGTTGGTTGTTCATTAGTTGGAAAATAAACGCCCTTACAGCTGTATTGTTCACCTGTAACAAATTATGTGTGTGTATGGGAGCGCGGGGTGGGGTGGGGGTCACTCTCCGGTTTTGCTGCATGTACAAAAAGCGCGGGAGTTGCTCGCTTTGCATAAAGCCGGTGGACACCTTGTTATAAATTAATTATTACTGTACATAACATGTCATTTAACTGTATGGCATAACTACCATGGATTATTTTACGTGCACGCCAATGGCTTGCATAAGATCGAGGACTCTAACCTTTCTCCGATGCATTAACTTTCTTTGAATTTCATTATTCAGCGAAAATATGTAGTGTCAAACGGTGACCAAACTTACGAGAAAAAAGAGAATTTAATCGCAAGATATCTCGTATTATTCTTGGATTTGTTTTCAGCTCGTTAAAAAGAAATTACAGACATAAGAGTCTGATACTGATAAGATCTTCTTGAACATCTGGTATTGTATCCTTTTCATACCTATATTATTATAGCCTTTTACCTTGTTTTACCACATACAGCCAATATTATAATCTATAGCGCACGCAAAGCAGATCATACATACTTCTCGGCAAACCAAAAATTTTTCCGTTGCATATTCTGTATGGGTATTGTTAAATGTCATCTTTGAGATAAATCTAAAAGCAAATGCACATTGCCAACAACTGCATCTGTTAGCCACCGGTCCGATAATAATTGAACACTATACAGGACAGACGCCTCAATGGAGGTTTTCATCATATTTATAGGGAATGCACAAATAATTGATAATCAATAACGATCAGAATTCAGGATGACCATATTAAATACGTAAACTTTAGGCCAGTCACACAAATTTGTCAACACCCAATATTAACATTATTATGACAGTCTTAAGAGCTTTATGATAATATTATATACGAAGGCATATAATAACAAAGCTTATTGAAGAAATGAATGTTGACTTTTCAGATTTTGCTGATAACGCAATAAATAGCTCCGAGTATCGAAAATTTAAGATTCGAATTTTAAAATTTATTTATTTTTTAGATTTGATTAAATACCGATCTTCTCACCGAATTAATGTCCAACAAATATATAAAAAAATGAGCCTCATACATATTTATTTTCTTGATTAAAAGCGATATAAAATTAAAATAATGTTTAAAGTAGGCTAGTCTGTTAAATAATTGATAGAAATAGTTATATTCTCTAATTTAATTAATGCTTTATGGAAGGTTTAGACAACTTACCATTTTGCTGATGTAAGTGGATTATGTTTTCCTGGCGAAATGGAAGCTGGATAGAAGAGTTGTACTAGGTGTGCTACGGACCGTGTACAAATCGTTTCTGATACCTTTTCTAAGTCGCCCTGCCCTGTAGCTTCTGCTAAGAGAGTGACGTCATGGTATTGAGTTCACTATTTAGCATGATAGTCTACATGTTTATTACTCATCAGTTACAATATATCAGACATAACATATCAGACTGCCCGTGTTTCAGCCTTGTACTTTATATGTTTTAGTTATAGGTATTGGGCATTTATTGTCTAATTTTATGTAGTATGTAGGATCAACTGTGCTACTGAACTCAATTACTTTGTGAAGTTTGTAAATTCATATTCGAAGGCTGTTATATTTTCTTTTAACTATTAGAAGGCACGTGTTTAAACTGCGTATTACAGTTTCATTTTACCATTAATTTGTATGGAATTTCATTGCTAAATTCATGAAACATTGAGGGTGTAAGTACTGGTGTAAGTAACCCCTTACCATTTCTAGGGTTGTGTTTTATCATGTACTTATTTTAGCATGAAATTCCAACGTAAATATTTATAACCTTACATTTTGGATTTACAATATATTTTATTAAGAGGCGGAACATATAAAATTACGACCGTGGGTGGCCAAAACCACGTGCAAGATGGTTGTTGAGGAAAGGGATAAACCAACCGACGAAAAAACCGCGGGTAATCCTGGTGAAATCTAAATTGAATAGATATTATTCTCAGGATTTTCTGGGTGATTATCAAGGTGTATGAGGGATTATATTATGGTGATTTCGGTCCGTAAAGTATTAACAGGATTAAAGTCAGATTACCAAGGGAACAACGCAGAAAGTCAGATTACCAAGGGAACAACGCAGAGCCCAGGATTGTCTCCTATTCAGGTTTAGAAAACGTTCAAGACAGAATTCTTAGGAGGCTACTGGATAGGTCAACGGGTCAAGGAGAATAATAATTATGATATAAAACCCCTAAGTTAACCTTTTCTGAGCAGTTTCACTCCAACCCCCTACTGCAATCTCGTCTTCATTAGCCCAGCCAGACGTTAAACTCCATTTCATTTCATTTCCTACTGCAATCCGATAATATTATTGTCGCCGTCGTCTTCGGGGATATGGACTTACAACTTTACAATATCATTATCACGAGTATTATCTCGAAGACAGATAATCAAGTCATAAGTAGGACGGCAAAGCGGTTTATTCAAACCTGAAGGTGACATAAAGAAACGATATACTAGTATACATTAAATTTGAAAATAATCTTTAAATACAGACAGAAAAACAAGAGATAGCAATTTTCAGCGTATTCTTAAATAATAATAATTATTGTAGGAAGCTACATTGACAAGAGTGAAGCAATGAAATTATTATTCAGATAATAACATATTTAAATTATTAACAAAACAATTACCAGATAAAATCAATATGCTTTATAAAACACGTGACATTAAGATATGTAACATATTAAATATTATGAAATGGATGTTTTAATATCAAATGGGTAAAATAATAGTACACAGGTGTATCATTCAAATGTAAGTGCATCAATCAATTGTGAAGTTGTTTGTTAATTATACATGTATACTAGTATTTCCATCATGGAGTCTGAAAAAGGGTGGATCCCTAAAACATAGCAATGTCACCTTTTTTTTTACTTCTATAAGACCACATTTTTATAAATTAAGGTGCATACACTCATAAACTTTATCAAATCCATAATGTTGGAAAATTGTGATTTCATATTTTGGTAGACCTTATATATGGTATGGTAGTGATATATTTCATATATTAAAAGAGATTCTTTACTTACATGTTGTCCTAAAAAACCTTTAATGGTATGGTAATATTTCTTATAAGGACTGAATTTTAATTTTAAAACTTGTGTGTTAGTAAAATGTCAACCACTTAATTAAATTACACTATTATTAAGTGCATCACATAATATTTGTTTCCACAAAGTCTTATCATCACCTTAATTTTACTTCAATGCCTAATTTCCTTAACGAACCATTTTCTTAGATCCTAAAAAAAATAATTTCATGACAACAAAATATAACAATGATATTAAATATTAACATAGAATACTTGAAGGCTTAATATATACAGCTACAAACTGGCTCAATAATAACAGGTTTAGCTCCTATTTAAAAAAAATGATGAGTTAATATCCTTTAGTGTTTCTATATACAAGTTTTACTTATGAATTTTCTATTGACAAAGAATCATACACTCTGGCATTTGAATTCATTGATAAATCAGAATGTAAAATCACCTAAAAATTTTGAACACTTGATTTGATCTTAGTATCAAAATAATTATTGAAAAAAAACCCAATCTGTGAAACAATTATCCTTTACTAATAACTCATGAACACTCTCAAATTCATAACATTGAAAGTCTTTATATAGGTCTTAAGAATGCCACCAAAATTACTAACATAAATAATGTTGAGTTTAAAACCTTAGTTTTTTTTTTAATGAGTACAGCAATAAACTTGTAATTTTCATAGAAATGTTAAAAAACCTTAATTCCAAGCCGATCATGCCCATTTCTCATGTGAATTATCTTGATACTATAAGACAAGAAATTGACTAGTCCTGAAAGTAGATCAACATAAATCTAAATTTCTGTGCAACTGTGACAATTTATCAGAGAATATTTAGATATCTTGTGGTCCAAATTAAATTAATTAAGATATATAATAAGATAGATATATAGTTTAGCCAAGTTTTTATCTTGGATATGTGGAGAACAATACATACACACAACAATATAATAAAATAATAATGATAAACATGTTTATATAATAAAATAATAATAATATATTACAATTTGTTGATTCCTCTTTTTGATAACAAGATTTTTACATCTTAATAATAATATATACATTTTTAGAAAACTGTTAAAAAACAATACCATCATTACAAAGAAGTTTAATAGTGATTGAATAGTCTTCTTCAATCAATGAGATGCGCAGCGGATGACCTTTCAAGTTTCAACATGGGTCAATAAATCAAAGCATTCTTTTATACATGTTTATATATTTGTTAATATGTAGTGGAACTGTCACTCTAGTTATTAATCTAAAACTACTAAGTTAAAAGATATATCAATGGAATACAAATAGAAGTTACTCTTGGAGATGAATGTCATATTTAATTGTTAACTAGGCACATTTTCTGGTGCTCTTTTATTCCATAACACAGTATTCATGTATTCAAAAATTTTAAAGATTTAATCTTTTTCAAATAAAACTGTATTTTAAATCATTTAAATTTTATACATTGATGATACACATTACAAAAACATTGTATGAGAAATGTAATATAATCCAATAAAATAGGTTGCCAGTCAACGATAAAAACACATTTGCTCACTAGTAACTTAAAGACAATATTGGTGTCAGACACAATCACATGTGATAGACCTGGTTAAACACGTTCCAAATAAAAATTTTAACACAGAGATCATTGCTCAATATAATTGTAACGAAGATTTTAAGAAAGGGAAGTGACGAAAGGAAAAGAAACACATGAGTTATCCTCCTATATAACTGACTGAAGTAACGAGCGATAACATATACACAGGCAAATTTCTGCTCACTGATAATTTCTTTGAAGATCAAGGTGTTTTTGGTATATCAATGTCAGATTAAAAACATATATTATTCAGCAGGCAGAGCCAAAACAACACAAGTAAATATCTACAATTGTTGAAATCAAATAATCTTCTTTGCCTTATTATGTGACAATACAATGATATATATTTCTAAAAGATTTGATGAAAATGGAATTTTGGACTGACAGTTTGACCAGAACACAGCATACATGTATAACTATTTATACAGAATCTTATCATATATAAAGTATAGCAGAACTTAGTTATTGTTGTGTTTATGCTTTTAGCAATTACATAATGATAATGAATCATGCAAATGAGATTACTTTTGTCTTGCTAAATGTCAATTCACCAATACCCATGTCATGGAAACAACTAAACAATACAGTTAAATTATGATTATCTGAATAAATGAAAGAAGTCTTCTGTTCAGTTAAGAGAATGCAATGAACTTTTTATAGTGATTACAAAGCCTAAATTTTTCAGATTTACACAAAATCTATTCAAATTTGCCTTAAGTATGAAGGGTTTACGACATATTTTCTGAATAGAGAACTTAAATATCATATTATAAAAACATTTGGATTTGTATTAAATTTGATAGAAGCTATAGTTAAAACAATTTGTTAGCAAAACTGTACTGTATGTGTGAAAAGCTGAAAGATTCCTTCAGGATTCAGAGTTTTAAGGCTGAAGAAAATCTATCAGCAATTCAAATTCCGATATTGCTGGTAATTTTTAGGCCTGGAGAAATCTATATTTAGAAGAATTAAACAAAACATGACAAAAAAAAATGTAAATGCTTTTTTATGTATTAAAGAATATGTATCCTTCTAATTAATCTCAATATTTAATCTCCAAGAAATGTTATAAATGTTTTCATAAACTGATTTAAAGAAAATATTTTAGATAGTGAAAGTCTGATACTTGAAGACTTTTACCATTTTATAAGCACAAGTTATATTTATTCTAAGGTAATATGCAGTACACAGCACATCCACTAATATATAATAATAATTATAATATTATGAGAGAACTATACACATTTACTCTTCTCAAAATGTACCTTGATGTGTATCTTGGTATAACGATAATCTACAACTTTATATTACTACTGATCAGAGTTAAACACAATCAAATATTTTCAACAGATCTATCTCTGTGCATGGACTATACATTTGACTGGTTGTCAACATGCTATTGTGTCGATTGGTAATAGAACTATATAGTAGACATGATCATCCAGACACTATTTGTCCACAAGTAGTAATCTAAGTTACAGACAATGGTTATATCAAACAAACTCATACCATATCTATCAATCATTATAAAATCTAGCTGCCAAAATCCAAAATTTTAACCCTGCAGTAGCCATATTATGTCATTCTTTCCGTCTGAGTAAAATAAAAAAATACCCCAGGCAACAAAACATGTCCACTGGTAGCTAAGTCGTCCAAGCACTTCTGAGGTGAACCAAAATCAGATCATAACTGAAGCCTCTAAGGGGCTGGCAAAATTTTGTAACAAAGGGTAATAACTCTTGATGTTATTATTATTAAGAATCGATAAAGATGAAATAGGTTCTTCCATTCAATAGGATAGACAACCACATACATTTCAGAAATGTAGGTTAATGACTGCTGCCTATAAAGTATAAGATTTAATTCTAGGGGTGATTATTAAAAATCAATAGGCTTCTTCATTTTTATGAAATAAGACAGCCCATATAAATCTTAAAAGGATTCTATTGAATAAGTTAAACAACTCATACAGATTTCATATAAATTTCAAAAAGATATGATGATTATTGTAGCATATAGTGTACTAGAAACAAATTTGAATGAAAGATTTTCATACCGAAGGGACATAATATCCTGTGGGTGATTATCCAAAAAAAAAGTTGAAAATCAATTTCAATAAGATACAGAACCCATATGATTATAATATATACTTCAATAAGATATATCCAAGATTATCGAAGCCTCTATAGTGCAAACAAGTAATATGAATGATAGACAGGCGGCGGATGGGCAGACAGAATGACGGCAACATAAGACCACATTAAAACATGGGCATATAAAAATCGTTTTTTATCTCCAAATTATCACAGGAGAGGAAAAATATCTAGAGAACATCATAATTACATAAATATAAATCAAATAGCACTTTTGACACTTTAAAACATATATTATCAACGCAAGATAAAAATTTTCAACCCCATTATAATCGAAATATTGTCATAATATTCTTCTTCTGTTAAAGTTTTCTAAAATAAAAAAACCCAATGGCACAGGTTATAAAAAGCTCTAGGAGCTAGTTGTTACATATCCCTGTGCCGGAACACTTGTCATTTGTCCCGTGGAAATGTTCACACCAAAGTCAGGAGATATTAAATTTGTTACTGTGGTTGGAACACCGTTCATATTTTGACTTGAAGAATAATCAGAACTCTGTGTGGAGGTGGTTGTTTGGCTGAAGATTCCGCCTCCAGTCATCTGTAGATTATATTCTGCGGTTTCCATCCGTAAAATATAAGGAATTATGCTGTCGATCTGCACGTTTCCGATTAGGCCAGAGAAAAATAATTCCTCCATAATGTTAGGGTTAAAAGCCTTTAGAGGCTGTAATCGCAACAAGAGATGACAAATTCTGTCTGATACAGCCGACGAGGAACAGCTTATATGCTGAACAAATTCTTTCTCTACTTTCTCTTGTAATCTCTCTACTTGTTTCTTGTTAATAATATTAGGATTATCTGAAACAATACAAGACAATTCATTATTTGTTATAAAGAAGAGGTAAGACAGCCATTTATTAAAAATGGCAGTCAAAACATCTAAAAAGAATAAATCAATCAAGTTAAAATTGTATGTTTATATGTACATTTATGTATTTTATTTCTTATTGACCTGTGTTATGCACAAGACCTCAGTGAGTTTATTTATAGATCCATTGACAGTGTCTTCGAAAGGTGAGATTCATTGGCTATTTACAATACACACTAAAACTAAAAATGTGGCACAATGATAAAACCTATTGTCTGCTCATTGACCTGTGTATGACTGATGGTGTACCACCGGTTTATGAGTAAATCATTATCGGACTACTTCACAGTCTTATATAGTTAATTCTATTAAACTTACCAGGTTGAAAAAGAACCAGTGCTTTAAGATAAGCGTACTCAGCAGGTGTTAATTGTAAGGACTGCATGGCATTTATATAATCTTGTAATCTTATGATATGTTCTATAGTTATTTTAACACGGTCGGTACCACCTTTATCTGTTAATATAACATAAGTAACTTGGTATTAATCAATTGTATTGTATTAAAAGCTCGGCTGTTTATAGAAAATATTCTGGTTCTAAAATACTGTGTCAATTAAAATGGGCCATGTGACCTGTTGTTATTTAATTAAAGAATAACAAAATAAAAAGCCAACAGCGAGGCTGATGTCCCCAACCTCTATACCAAAATAAATAGATGACACTCATTAATTACTTCCACAGTTATCTTTCATAAAGCATCAAGCAGATTATGGTACTTAGTGAAAGTATTAATGTAATGAAACTATACACCAATTTCCATTGCTCTCACTTAATAAAAATCAAAGTTATACTCCATGATGGGTGTTGGAAGGACCAGTAACAAGACATTAAGTAATTATGTAAGTGAATCCCTGTAAACAGCACGATAAGATAAATGTTTGTGTGATAGACATACAGTCTCCAACAGAATCGAAATAAAAACCTCTGCCCTGCATCAGATTGTTTATGAAGGATTGTTTCAGAATCAGTGTGTTGTTTTGTATGACCTATACTAACAAGTACATGAAAATAACAGAAACAACTTCAGTTAAGCAGTGGGACTTCTGGACAAAATATACGTAACTATATGTACCTTGCAATAAACTTGACTGTAAATGATTCAGTATGGCCGCCAGTAATGTTGGAAGGCACATGGCACTAGAACACTGAGCGAGACCTAGTGTAAATAGTTCACTCCAACAGGCTCGCACCAAAGTAGTCTGGAGATCAGGGCTGAAAAAACATGCATCATGGAATTGCATATACCAATATTTTATAAAAGATTATATTAGAACATTGATTCTATGATATGAAAATTACATATATTTAAAAAAATTATTTGATTATCAGAACATTTTGAAGGAAGCCTATTTTGATACAAACTGTTCAAGTCAATGATATACATCAAAAATCAATTGACTTCTTTGTCTCAACTACATTTCAAAGTGGGCATATATAAAAATCAGATTTATTCATAGTGACATTTCATAAATGATTTCAGTTTAACTGTCTTAATTGAAGTTAATGCCACTAAATTGCTCCACTTCTGAGATAAAATACTGAATATGTGATAAGACTTACTTGATAATCTGAAAAGCACTTATTGAACGTGTCCAGTGCATGGAAAGAAAGAGCAGTCTTGAAGCACTTTCACAAACAAAATGTACATTTAAATAGGCTGGCATTGGTGATGGAGTCATCAAATTAAACTGAAAATTAGCTTCAGATAAAACAGTTCCTGAAAATAAATAGTTTGAATAGTAGCAATATGATGAAGATATATATTAAAGGCTTAATACCACTCTTGTTGTAACTGAATAATATGTCCCAATCTTTATTCTGGTCAACAAATTGTACTATTTTAGAATATTTCAATTAATTGATGATACAAATTTCATCTTAACATACCTTATTTAAAAATTTTGAAAAATTCAACATAATGGTTTGAAATGTCTAACGTAAACCTTTTCAAATGAAACTTCGATTTAAAAATATTTTCGAACCCTCTGGACAAGTAAAATAGGATGTAATGGATAATTTATACAACAGGTAGGACACTTAAACATCTAGTACCTAGATAGAGATATTATTTATTTTCTGGAGCTTTCAAGCCAGCAAGAGTGTTATTGTCCCTTTAACAATATTAGTCAGCGATCTCTTACATGCACTAACAAGATGAAATTGGCTTTTAAACTGTTGTTGTTATTATTATTGAAAGCTATATGGCATAGTCGCACAGAATTTTATCTTAAAGCCAATTCAATTACGGTTGTCAAATGATCAATCATGGACAAATGAATAAAAACATTTGCAAGTTATGTGATAGACAAAAACTACAAATTTTGTTATGAAGAAGTACCATGGTTTCGTATTAGCTTATATCCATCGAAATTTTTTCAGGAATATTACTGACATGAATTTCAAGCTTGTACACGAATTAAATATGGAAAATTTTCCAAACAGTGTACCAATTTGTTGTTATTTTTGTGGTAATTACATACATTAGAATATGATATTCCTCATAACAAATTACCAAGAATTATTTTTGTTGGAAGTCTGGTTATATTGAAGGGAATGGAATATTATAATTTTAAAACCCATTTCCTACCGGGACCTCATTTGACCCAATTATGGCCGGTTCGTATCAAAATGGATTAAGAACCCTGGTTTAACGTCCTACTTTTCTGCAGCGACAGAGATAATGAAGACAGAGATATGTACGTAGGTGTTTCTTACCATGAGAACAAACAGATACACTTTTTATCATCAGTGACAAATGAGAAATTACTTGATAAATCCAGAGGTTTCTTTTCTCACTGGGTTTCGATCCTGGTACTTTTTCAATCCAGTTGCGAGTCCAAGTTCACTTCAAAGTAGTGTCAGCCAGTCCATTAAAGACACTTTATTCAACACCTCAGATTAACAAGACGTTATTTCTTTTTTCAAAGAATATGACAATTTTAAGCAAATTACATTTGAATTCTTTGAAATATCAATGTCATAATCAATTGATCGACAAGTAGGTTATCCAGTAAGTCAATTTCTATGGCCAATATGATTGAAACAAGAGTCCTGTAGAGCATACTATAGCACACCTAGATAATAACAGAAGAATTTATAACTCACCATCAATATCAATAACATATGAATTATCTATTGATTCTACACCAGAATGGTCCATACTTGTATCTGATACAGACTGATCTAAAGAACTTGAAGTAGGCTGTTACAATAAGAAAGAAGAAAACAATTATATAAAAAATTAGGAAAAATTAAAGAGACACTTCAGAATCTGGTGACCTTGTGTGATGATGTTTTCACAGATTTCAGCAAAAAAAAAAAAACCCAATGAAAATTATATATACATGGTATACCACCTTATGATGTTAATTTCATTTCAAAAGATGTCAGTAAATTAATAAGCCAACAGTGAGGCTAATGTCCCCCGCCAAAATCCCAAAATAAACAGATGACACATATTAATTAATTAATTGCATATTTATCTTTTTCAAAAGTATCGAGTAATCAAACTGATAAGCATAAAATGTTCACTATTAAACTCAGGTTTTGAAGTACCTGGTAGTGAGTGAAACTATACACTAAGTTTCATCATTCTTCATCAGTTACAATCAAAGTTATCTTGTCCCAAAGCATCAACTAAAGAAACCGCTTAGCTCTGCTTAGCTTTAATGGGAAATATTAATCATTGAACTCAGGACATTCACCCAATGAACATCTATACCTCAATTAAAAGCAGAATTAATATGTCCCAAAGTCTTGACCAATCAAATTGCTTATCACTACTTAGCTTATGAAGAAAATTCTCATCATTGAACTTAGTCAATGTATTGATATAATGAATCTATACTCAGAGTTTCATCATTCTCAGCCAATTGGAACTAAAATTATCTCTGCTTACCTTAAGCAGAAAATGCTGATCTTCGAACTCCACCAAGGCATTCACCTAATGAACGCCTACACCAAGTTTGAACATTCTATCTCAATTTGAAGGAGAGTTATTGTGTTCTAAAGTCTCGACCAATCAAATTGTTATTGTGTTATTGTGTTCTAAAGTCTCGACCAATCAAATTGTTTATTGCTCTGCTTATCCTGAGCAGAAAATGCTCATTATCGAACTTACATGTAGTCAAGGTATTGATTAAATGAAACTATACACAAAATTTCATCACTCTCACATAATTAGAACTAAAGTTATGGTGTCCCTGTATTGTCTGCTTAGGGCAAGTTTCACTGCTTGTTGTACAAATTAAGCAGAACAAATACATGTGGCAACTCACAAATCATTGCTTATTATCAAATTGTTCATAAAGAGCTAAGAAATGAACTGCTTTTTCTACTAAATCAAACAATAATCTGCCTCCAGTGCAACCTGTAAACAGATTATAGAATAGAATCCTACCTGTCCACTATTTGGTTGGATAGCTTTAGCTAATGTATCAAATGCTCTAGCTACAGTATCAGCTGTATCTGTATTATTATGTTGTTCTGAAATCTGTACAGCTTCACCAATATTATTAAAAGTCAGATTCTGTTCACCTTCTTTCTGTTCCATAGTAGCCAGAGTTGTCACCACGCTAGCTAATGTACTCAGATCTGGTAACATAGATATCAATAGAAATAGTTAAGGTATGTCAAATACCTGAGATTGTTTTTTTAACAGCATTCAAAGCATTGGTTTGCTTCAAAGGAAGTTAACTAGAATTTTTGATGTTGCTGTTGGGATGAGTGGTTTATAATAATTGTAAATGAGCAATACTTGCTTTGTTTTTACTTTTGAGAAGGCCAATTTTTCTTTAAAAAAATCCAAACAAATGAAGCTCTAACAGCCTGCTTGTTCGGCTTAAAGAGGTGTTATCAGAGATTAGATAAAGAGTTGACTCTTCTCACTATAATAGTTAAAAGATAGATAACGTAAAAAGAATATGTTGAAAATTAATCCACTCTGAACCAAGATATTAGCGTTTGAATTTTAAGCCTAGCCTCGATCATCATCACTAAACTCGTTACAATAAAAACAGTCTTGATTATCCATTTATGGATTTAATTATCAATAAGCGTTGAGCAGCAGATCGGATTCAAATCCAGTGATAATCGACACATAAGATGACATCGAGAGTTGATTATGGTTTGGATAAGTTAATTAATGTCTAATTAATAGTTTATACTATTCAAAAAAAGTAGGGGATATTTGATTTTTAAGTGTTATTAAAGTCACCTAATGAAACTGACGAAGAAACAAATGACAAAATGAAATGAAGTTCACATTCATCGATTTATTCCAAATGATCGTTAGACTAAGTAAGGCACAGACTGACCATTATAAGGGTAAAATGATACCCGGGGTCAAACAGCAAAGTTACCACAGCATCACAACCAAGTCAGTAACGGGTAAATCCTCCTCTGTTTGCCAAACAAGCATTGATCCGACGTGGCATACTCCTAATGAGACGTCTAAGGTCATTTTGGTCCAGATTGTCCCATTCCTGTTGCAACGCAGCAGCAAGTTCTTGGACATTGGCAGGACGTTGTTGACGTTGACGTAACCTCTGTCCAAGCATGTCCCAGACATGCTCGATGGGGGAGAGGTCGGGACTCAGTGCTGGCCAAGGTAATGTGGTGATGTTCTGTTGTTGGAGGTAACCTGTAACGATCCTGGCCCTGTGACATCTTGCGTTGTCATCCTGGAAGATGAAACGGCGGCCATAACGTCGTGCGAACGGCACAACATGGACTGCCAAGATATTGTCCCGGTAGTACTGGCCTGTAACACGCCCTGCAACAACATGTAAAGCCGTTCTTCCAGCAACAGTGATGCCTCCCCACACCATAACAGAACCACCCCCAAATCGATCATGTCTGATGACGTTAACGTCTTGGAAGCGCTCGTTTCGACGACGCCACACCCTCCTACGTCTGTCCAAAAAATCAACAGTGAACCCTGACTCATCTGAAAACATCACATTGCTCCAGCGTCGATTATCCCAGTGTTGACGATCCCTACACCAACGACGTCTTAACTGAATGTGATGATCTCTCAAACAAGGGATCACGCGAGGACGTCGGGCGCGAAGGTGACCCCTATGCAGTCGATTCCATATCGTCTGGCCACTCACTCTCACACCAGTGTCTGTTTGAAGACGAGCGCTGATCTGATTTGCTGTGATGACACGATTTCTCAAGGCCAAGGTACGGATAAATCGATCCTGGGCTTGAGTTGTCGCCCTTGGTCGACCTGAGCGTGGTCTGTCCTGTACAGATTGTGTATCACGGTATCTGGACCATAGCCTGCTTATGACAGACTGAGAAACATTCATCGTCCGCGCCACAACCGCCTGTGTTGTGCCGATCTGTAGCATGCCAAGGGCACGTAACTTTTCATTTTGGGTAAGCCGACGCATATCAAAATTTGTTTTCTGGTCACTAAAACAATTAAACTGATGTTTCCACCCTGGAATTCAATGCCACAATGACTGTAACATTCAAAGTCAGAGTCGTGCAAATCTTGGGTTGGACCCCCATGATGATCCCAAGCATCACCTGCATTCCATGCGGTAGCTATTGGTGCGTTTGGGCGTCACATGTAACTGGAAATGTTTCTTCTGTTAGGTTCTATAGTGACTTTTTTCGTAGTCATTTGCATATTTTAGTATTATGCCCCCAAAATCAAATATCCCCTACTTTTTTTAAATAGTATATAACATTTCAGGCCTAAAGAAAGACCAGCAATAGGCAGATTTAGCTCTTTCATATTGTATGTTTAAGTGGAAAACACTATAAAGACGGACAATGAGAAAATGAACATGATACACTTGTTGGACATCTTAAAACTAATAAAACCTCTATTTTGAGGGTAAAAGGAATTGGTTAATACTATTTCACAAAGTACAGGTATACAGAAGTACTAAATGTTGTTAATGAGAAAGGATACTTATTATTGATAGAATTTCTAAGGATAATAATTGTTAATGATAGAAATTGAAGGGATAATAGAGTATATTTGATAGAAAGTGGAGGGATAATAGGTTCTATTCTATATATAAATACTGACCTGTATTAGCTGTGGTGTGTGAAGATGGTAATAAAACCATGCCTTGATCTGTTTGTATAACTCGTTCTTGAAGATTTGCCAGTAAACTACGGTTTGATTTTTCTCCATCTTCTTGCTATAAATTCAAATGTTAACATTTTTTTAAAAATTATTTCAAAGGTAAATATAACTGTTAATGAATGGTGCAAGCAAATATTCCAACAATATGTTCATTATTTTCTCTAAGATGCAGTAATACAAGCCTTGCTGGGGTAGACAAATTTTTCAGTCACAAACTATCATTAGACCATTCATTGATCAATACATGTATATAGAGAATCTCCTACTCATCTGTTTTGATATCAAAAAAGACGAGTAGGAGATTTTATTTATCACCAAATCCTTTCTTACATGCACAAATAAATAAATATAAGTCTTTGCTATAGATTTCACTTTTACTGAACCTGATTACATTACGGTGTAGTGATACATCATTTTTTGACAGCAATTCAACCATTGCAAAGTCCTTTATATTGACCCTGTGTTCCATCAAGGTAAATTAAATAAAAATAGTTTATTTGCAATAAAAAAAAAGTTACTTTTAATACTTAATGAACTGTTCTTTGAAAATAAAAAAAAGTAGTTCCTTTTAACTGACCGATATCTCCTGTAGAATGTATTATTGGGTGATAAAATCCAAAGTTTTAAATATGTTCACATAAAACTATACCAGTTGCTAGCACAACTAAAATACTAGTGTTAAGAAAACTAGTGAATCAAACTGTTAGACTTATTACAATCAAGGGAAGTAACTACAGTTACATAAAAACAATTGTTTGAGAAAGCACTGCAGAGAAAATAAATCAAATGAAACAAATGGATATGTACATACATGTACCTGTACATTACTTTTAAAAAGTTTATCATTATACCAGAGTTTAGTCTGTCAGCTTACCTTAGGAGCAAATGTAGCTATGGCTGCAGACGGACTGCTAAAATCTTTTCGAATGTAGATTCTTTGTGTGGAAGTAGCAACTGTTTGTTGCATCTTTTCTTTTTCATGCTCATGGGGTTTACGTTCTGACTGTACAGCTGCGTGGCCAGAAAACATGAAAATGAAATCGTGTTACCAATCAGGGTTCAAAGTAATTATAAATTAGGACATTAAAGAATTGACCTTTGAGTTTTCCTGGTATATTGAGTACTCCCACACCTCACATGCCAAACAGATTTTACTGTGTGGCAACACCCAATTTACCAGGAAAACTCAATTCTTATATGTAACAGTACATGTATTACTTCAAGTAATAATTTGTTTATATTAAATATTCTTCCCTTTTCAAAAATGGTATCAAAACCTTCGACTATCATTAGAGGGACTTTGAATCCCCAGCAAACTACAATTGTATTTAGTTTTTACATGTACATATGACATATCCATGTACATGCAAGTAAAGTTTTAACAGAGTACATAGATACATGTACATGGATGTTATTTTTTTTAAAACAATTTTAAGACTTACATTCAGATCTCATTCCAACTGCCAAACATTTCTGTAATCTACAATACTGACATCGGTTTCTGTGTAATTTGTTCACCGGGCAATCTTTGTTACCTCGACATGCGTAACCAAGTTGTTTTCGTACGCTTCTTTTAAAGAAACCTTTACATCCCTCACAACTTATTGCACCATAATGTCGGCCTACAATAGAAATTTACATGGCTAATTCATTTAATGTAATATTCTATTATCATGTGTAATGCAGTTTTGTAAGTTATCTGTACCAAATAAATGTATATATATTAAATTTTCAAAATAATTCATAATAAAATCGTATCCCCCAAAATCTGATAGTGTATTGTGAATCTTAACATTCAGATTTTACAATATACATATATCATGCCAGCACAATTTTTTCATTTTCATGAATAAAAGTATTGTTGATAAAAGCAACCAATCACATAGAAATATATAAGTAACTAATGTAAACAGTAGAACTCTTAGAATTTCTGAAGCAATGGTCATGAGCCATGTCAGCTCGAGGGATTTATTGCCGACAGACTAAACACAGAAACAGACTGTCTCTGGTAACCGGTCTTCTATACCTGTGTATGATGTGTAGGATGTTACAACTCAAGAATTCAACTAGCATTTTCTCAGCTAATGCTAACCAGATTGAAATGAACTATACATTTCCGAAATATTGAATCAATGCTTGGTCGAATGATGAATAATTGGTCAACTATCAACATGAATCATAATTTTAAGCTGTTAAATAAATATAACTACTTAAGCTGTTAAATAAATAATAGAGACCAGATAACTTCATATACCGGTATAGCAATTTACAGTTTGACAAATTGAGTTGAGTTTAAACATCACAAACCTAGCCTACCTGAAGCTGAATCTCCACATACAGAACATGGATCAAACTTCTGATTGGACAACTTTATAGACATTTTATCTCGCACTGTGGCTTGTTCTTCTCTTAATCTTTCTAACCTCTGGGCATGCTGTAGTTCCTGCAAAACATATGCCAAAATATAATCGGTCAAAATTATTACCAATTACCGGCACATACACTGCATATGTTGTTTGTTCAACTGACTTATTTACAAAGAGTCGGCTAAAACAGGTTAGTTCTGTGTGAAAGACCTAAAGAAGACTTTATTCTAGTCCAGTTCAACTATCTTTATCTCTGTGGTTCTTTTCGCATATTTTTGGGCAATGAGTAGCTAGGGTACATACTATTTCCAGACAGCAGGGTAGCAATGTCTAAGAGGAATTCCCTAAAAGAGTTATCCAACCCAGTAAATGAAAGACGCTATATTTTGAGCAGAAAATTTGAAGACAAGCCATTTAGGTTATTTCTTCACATTTGGGTTTTTAAAAAAATGTATGTATATACTTAAACCCACTTTTGTCAACGACACCCAGTGACTGCGAAATATGGTACAAAAGATTGGAAAAAGATAGGTTGCCAGGCAACAAAACATATGCTCACAGTTTAACGTCCTACATGTACTGTTCTGCTCCGAACTGGGCTAAAGAAGACTAGCCTACCCCATACAGTGAGCTATGAGCAAAATTTTGCCCGGACAGCGGTACTACGGCTTACTCATATCAAATTCCAACTGCCGAAGGATCTTTTGCGTGCATGCCAATGTGTACACGGGACCTTAGTTTTTTGTCCCATCCGAACGACTAGACAGCTGTCCGTGTCAGACTCTCCGTCCTGCATCACTGACAAGGGGGAACCACACCGGAAAATCTGGATGAACTTTCTCTGCCAATGCAGGGATCAAACACCCGACCTCAAGGCTAGCGAGCCAGTGTCTTACCCACTTAGCTACTGTGCAACCCCCGAGAAGTCAACAAGAGTTGTCATATTTTTTCAATTGTCGATAATGAAACATTTATAATACACTAAAATCTATTAATGAGAGTAGCAACTCAGTAAGTAATTATCAGAAAAAAACGTTAGACTGTTTGGGCCATGCTAACGTTTACTATGCAAAACATATTGAAAATCAATATACTTGTTCGTCTCAAGACGTTAAACTCTGTGTATTAATCTAAAGTCAATTGAAACGATTATATATAGGCGTAGATACAGTGTATAAATATAAAATCAATCAGATGATAAATATGGTCTCTAAAGCATCCCCAAGATTTTTCAAAGTGATCAAGGGTCATAACTCTAGCAGTAATCATCGGAAATTGTTGAAAATCAATAGGCTTCATAACCTTAAACACTATGTATAAATTTAAAGTCAATTGGATATTAACTTTAGTCTCTAGAGCATCCACAAGCAATTGTGGACGCCGGACCGACCACAATATATTACCATATTTCAATGTGGGCATATAAAAAAACCTCAAAACTTGTTTTAGATCACATTCCAGTCCTCAGATCTTACAATATGATTATGAATCTACCCCTGAATATGTTACCATGGTACCTGTTGTTTCAGAATCACAAATAATAGCTATTTAGATTCTGCATAATAAAAGCAATGTAAACGGGCAGTTGATTACACACAGTACATGTATGGCCCCTGTATTTTTAATCCACATAATCCTAGTACAGAATTCTGGAACTACTCATTTCAAAATTAAACATAGAATGTTAGTGTAAGAAGATATTGTCTGCACTGTAATTAATGAACAGTATACTAAATATTCAGGCAAGCTTCTATAGTACAGCCATTTAAATTATGTTATTTTTTTTAATACATGTATAAACAATATTTTTATTCCGTAAATACATGTATATGAACCTAACAGGCTATGCCCACATCTACATGGAATTGTATGCATACTATACATGTATATTATGTATGTATATTGTAATAATTGCATAAACCTATATGCAACCACTTTAATCACATGTACTTCATCTCCCCCAGGCCTAAAAATCTGAAAAATGTCCGGCACTTCTGTGCTGGCCATGTATTCTAAAAATATCAATAAAAGCACAGGAAAATGACAAATCATTGCCAGAAACAGAAATAATGACAGTCACTAGTGAGATTGTGTCGGACAAAGTTTGAATTTATCTGACATTGTCCATGACAGATGTATTACATGTATTTCCAGGCTTGATCTTATCTGTTAAAAGCCTTGAGGCAGGACAAAAAAAAAGAAAAAGAAACTAGTCATACCTTTAATTTTGATGCCCAATCTATGGATGATAGAGAACCGGCAGGCACCTGTACTACTTGTGTAGGTAAGGCTCCCTCTTTTAAACGGGCCGCTAAATCGGTAGGATTCATGGTCGACACAACTACAGGAGAGGCATTTGTGTTCAGTTGCTGAAATTATACAAATTTATATTTCAATTCTGCTTTCAGCTAAGCAAAGATATATGTACATGTAGTGTAAACTGGTGACAGAATGTGAAGGCTATTGTACAAATCCAGATATTTTTGTATTAGAAAACAAATTAGATTTCGGTTCCCACACATTTAATGTATTATACACAGACTTATACATTTTTCATTTAATTGGCTTGTCAATTCTTTTCAAATGTATGAAAATTTCAGTACTTGTATCTTTTGCATGGTTTTGGATTGCAGTAAACAGCCTTTCCCACACTATGCAATTAAGCAAATTTCTTTTCAATAATGGTTAATCAATCATTCCATTTCCTCTGGGATTCAGTCATTATACAGTATAATCTGATTTAGCAATACAAACAAAACTTACATGTGAAAAAAAGAGTGAGATAGATAGAAAGAAAGAAACGGGATGATAGCATTTATTCAACAAAAACTGTATATGCACTCGTGAGAGTATTATCTAATATTCTATGCATTTTACATAAGGCTGTGTATTATGAGAGAGTCAACGCAAAATCGCTTTGCGAGATATCACAATACAGCTAAATGTATTCTTATATGTATTGCAATATAATGTAAAATGCAATCTAACATACTTTTAAGTCAGTCATAACTACACCAGTTCTAAATTACACCAGCAATTACCCTATACTCTATCCCTACATGTACACGTAAACATATCAGACTCCGATTAGAGACAATCACACATATGTATACATGTATATGCATTTGATTCTTAAAATTCCCATAAAATGCAGCCCCACAGCCCAATACTGGCTGATAAATGAAATGTTCATATGATCTGGACACAGCGATCTGAGAGAATATACCAGATGTCAATGTATTAGAACATAAAAAATAATACAATGAACTGTTATTGACATATCCTATGTTAGTTACTAACTTACTGTTAGACAATATTTTAGTTAGATTGGGTTAAATGTGATTGCATATTGTAGTTAGATAGGTCAGTCCTTTACGTTTAAGGTGAGCTTTCGCTCCTGCTCCTCTCGACGCACCTCGACTTTCATTTGCGGGAGTCAATAAAGACTCCTGCAAAGTAGCTAAATCACTCATTTTTGAAATTGGCAGGAGCTTTTTATGACTCCTGCACAATGCCACAATTCCATAAACATGAAGGGCTAGATAGGGGATAAATGTGATAGTATACTTTTACAAATAATTTTTAGAATGATTAATATTATAATGTGTATACCTGAACTTGCTGGCTGATACTGACTGGTATTGCCAGATTTCCTTGTTGTATGGTTAAAGTTGGCAATGTTACTGTATTTGTTCCACCCATATTAGAATTAACAATATGGATAACATTATCCGAGTTGACTCCTGCAACACTGTTTTCCATGGTTAAAATCGAGGGATCAGATTGCTCCCCACTTGCAGTACTTCGATGAACTTCCTCAAGGGAAGCCATGCAGTTGGTAACTTTTTACCTACAAAACAAATAGGTTTTATATGAAAATAATAATTAATCATCCATTCAAGTCTGGAAATAAGGAACCTTTGACAGACATTGCCATGTACCAATTCAGACTTTGTCATTATTTCTCGGTCTGAACGTTGCTATAATTATAATTATGGACAGAGGGAGAAGAAATCGTATTTTCAGTGGAATTTTCCATAATTGATGTCCCAAACAAGTGACCTGTAAATTTACACCACTAAAAAGAGAACATTTTTGTTAGTAATGATTTGCAATAGCAATGGAGATTGAGCTTTTGTTAAAATCAACAGATTCAATACTGTTATATATACATGCATAGATATTATGTGAAAGGTCTGTCTATAGTCTACTAATGGACTATACAATGTACATGTATATACATGCAGGTAAATTTTTTTCTTTATTGTTGCTTTTTTAAAATGGTGCATGCATTGTAATAGCATGTATATTTAAAATCAATACTTAAAATAGCACCCATATTAATTGAATGTTTATGCATGGTGCTACATATATTTATTGTCCATTGATGATACTGGGATACATGTATTTACAAACTCCTAGAAGAGTCAAAAATTTAAAAGTTATGTTTTAACTTTGGAAGGGCCCATACAGTGACCACAGATCATTGATGCATAAATTAATTTCAAAAACCATATGTCAAAATTTAGATTTTATTTAATTATTTCACTTTTTTCTGGTGTAAAATAATGAAACATTTTATTACAAATATAGTAAAACAGTAGCCTATAATGTAGGCGTACATAAATATCTTGTTAAAGAGAAAACATACCAGAATGAAGGTTATAAGACCTTACAAAATAAAATACTCCATTATAAAAATTTTTATTTTTCAGGTCCAAAAATAATTCAAATTGATTCATTTAAATTATGAGTATGACCATTGTCTGTTTTAAGTTTACATTGGTTTCTATTCATTTCGCATTGCCATCTTGATCTTTCTCAAATAAAACAGGCAATAATATATGTAAATGTAATTGTGCTATCTTTTACATACAAATATTACAAAAGCTATTCTTTAAGAAGGTTTTTTTCATTCTCAAAAGTACCGGGACATTTACTTAATCACATGTAGATAACAACCATCTTTATATCAAAATAGTACATATTTTTAACTTAAAATTTTAAGATATGTGAACGATCTGGTTTGTGGTGGCTTTAATAATAGTGTTGGTTTACATAATTCTAATACTTGTACATGTAGCTAACTATATTTCCAATATCTGAAGTCATGACCCCTCAGTGAACTTTGATCCTAGCTTGACTTTTCACCTTTGCCTTTGGCTCAATTTGTTTAATGGTATAATCATACATCCACTTGTCATACATGTAAATAAATGGTATATATATATACTATTATAATCCATCTAGTCTCTTTCAAAATATCTAGTTATTAAACTGAATAATGTTAATATAGATTTTTCTCAATTTGGAAAAAAAATAATTTTAATCCTTAGTGTTAGTAGGCCCATTGCTTAAAATGAATATTTTACAAACTTATGCCACAATTATGAAACATACAATAACTTTGACCTTGCTATTAACCAAATGAAAGTAAATGGTAATTACATGTAATTGTTAGCCATACCGGTATACAGGGTTTTGATGTATTGATGTAACATGTATTTTAGATTCAGTTTTCATTTGCCAATTTAATTGAATATATACAGTTACAAGGTTTCCAGGCATCATGTGCCCACAGCAACAGCAGAGTTTTTTTGAGCAGTCCATAAAGTTCATCACATAGTTGACATAGTAAATCTTTAGGTTAAAAAGAAGCAAAATATTAAAACTCCCCTTGGCCTTGACAGTGGTGCCCGGTAAGGAACAACATACCGTAAATATTCATTCTGATGGGATGGAAAAACTGGGTGTGCATAAAAGAACCCTAGGCAGTTGGAATTCAACAAAGATCAGGTGGAAATGTCTGCCCAGACGAAATTTCCCTCATGATGGTACACCTCACTAGGGTTTTTTATACCTATTCTCATTAGTCTGATTAGTACAGCAATGATATTAAACCCCATTCATTTCCGTGAAAAATCAAAGGGCAACAATCTATCAGAAATTGATGTAGTTGGTATTCATCTTAATTAGGCCTTAATCTAAACTACGAACATAAATCTTTGCTACAACATTCAACAGTTTCTACAAAAGAACAATGCATATCAATTTCAAGCATATGTACAAATATGTTGCTAGTGTACAAGAACTCTAACTGTAGTGTAATTAATGGAAATAGCTGAAATTCAATAGGTGTCTTTTTTCTCATTATTTTGAACAATGCATATCAATTTCAAACATCTTGGATGATGACTTTTGTTGTTTGGGCACCAACACAATTCTACAATAACTCTGGAAGTGAACGCTCAAGTCTGTCGCACTATGGTGACCAATCTCTATTAAATAATAAAAGTCAGGTCGGATGACAAATGTTGTCTGCAGAGGGTTTATAAGAAATTTAGTGTTCACATTAATAAAGAATTCAGTTAATAAAAATAAGACAAATTTTATCTCTACTTTAGTACTAGTAGTAGATCTACAGAACTTTTTTTGAATAAAAAAAAATAAGCTGAAAATCAATGAGTCAATGTCTTTATGGATCTATGTATATGTAAATAGCCTCATCAACAAAGACTTCTTATGTGAAGATGACATAAATAAAAAATTAATAATTCATTCGTTTCATTTTGCTGCAATTTACATGCATCTTAGCCTTAATACTCACCTAATTTGCATAAAATATTCACACGACCTAATTTTGCACGAGCTATAGGGAAAGGACAAAGGTCGTGAAAATCGATAGTAAATAACCGAAAATGTCTAATTACCTTCCTCATATAACATTTTCTTTTGATGTGACATAATAAAACATGATATTTCTTAATATTTACAACGAGTTTTCGGCAGTTGTCACGCCAAGATTGTGTTATTTAGAAACATCGAAGGTTTGACCGCCGAGAGGAAGGTACACATTGCTAAAGGTCATGCACCCAGCCCATGCGGGTTACTGGCCACGGGTTATGTTTACACCAACATGTGCCCAAACGTTTCATGTCAATTGTCAATAAAACATAACTTAAAAAATCGGTTTGGCAGCAGCAAATATTCGTTGAAATAATGTGATTATTTACAGGGACAGAAACGCTGTGGGGGTGATAAAAGAAACAAGCTCAATATTGTTCAGCGCAACGACGATGAGTTCTATGGCGGCGAGACGGGTTCTTGACTGGCGAAAACTAGGTCATTTAACGACAATCTCTGATTATTTGTCAAATTTAAATACATCTAAGGTACGAAAAACATAAATTAAATATCTTACCGATAGAATATTGATGAAATATACCTAGGAAAAGCGCCAAATATCAATCCGTTGAGGCAGACAGGAATAAAGGTCAGAGGTTGTGACCTATCCTGAATAACGCAAAATTACTCGCATTTGATTGGCTGAAAATTACATCAGAGCTGCTAATCTCGGATTTTCACGTGAGAGTTGAATATTTCACCGACAAGGTGCGTGATTTATTGACGGAGCGGGAAGGAAGACTGTGCGTTATTTCTCTACTTTCGATTTTAGTATTTTACTTATAGAAAGTTTTTAACTTGAAAGCAGGTGAATAATTGCGTTTTAATTAACCTTTGTCTTAATTTCAGACTATAACGGTACGTTGCATCTGCCAATAAAGCACTGGAGAAGAAATAAATGTGATTATAACTAACTTTTGAGAAACTTTGACATAAACTTTGGACTACTTTTTTGTCACTTGTTGTTTGACTTTTGTGCATCATTTAAATTCGTATCAAAACACTTTTTAGGCTTAATTTTACTATAACTTAGTATTAGTTTATTTTAAAAAATACAGGTCTCGATTTTGGAAAATCTGAACATAGTTTATTTTCGGATAAGAACTAAGAAGGATTTTTGAAAAGCTGCGAGTAGGGGAAACTCGTGAATCAGTTTGTGAGTGGACATTCTAATTCTATATTTAATATTTATGTAAAATTGCACGCATGATTTCACATTGATGATTGGTGCAAATGCCTACTATCTCTGACAAGAAAAAATCTAAGAAAAGAAAGAACTGAGCCAACTAAATTTACATCACTACTAATGCCACTTTGAATCTTTGATGCTTGATATATTCAAATAAACTTTTTATGGTTGTATAAAGAATATTCGGATTGTAGTATTAAAGCAACCCTCTGGGTTTTTTTATATAAAATGTACACAAGAGCATTAATATTGACATTAGTAGGCCTACGAAAATGTGTCCTTATAACTGCTGAGAAAAGCTAAGATAAAAGACAATTGAAGTTCTTGAAATATGCATTTCATGGTTGTAAAGGTAATATTACCTTAAATCTCTGAAATGCAAAAAAAAAAACCCCAAAAAACAATGTTCCTAAGCCACAGTCCAGAATAGTTGGAAAAATTTATTATTTTGAAATCCTCAAGTGGATAGATGAGAAATGGATATTTCAAGTTACTATAATACAGAATTGCCCAGTATATTGGTGAGGGCAGTATAATGATAATGTTGTGGTAATCCCAAGAGGCATTTGTTGTCCCACACCTTTCGAAGAAAGCAGGGGACTATTAAAATGGGTTCGTCCGTCTCTCTGTCCGCCCGTCCGTCCGTCACACTTTTTGGGACACAATAACTCCTTTTCTAATTGATCTAGAATGTTCAAACTTGGTGTAGGTGTTTATTAGGTCAATACCTTGATGAAGTTTGAAGATGAGCATTTTCTGCTTAGAGTAAGCAGAGATAAGCAATTTGATTGGTTGATGCTTTGGGACACGATAACTTTCGTTGTAATTAAGTGAGAGTGATGAAACTTAGTGTAGGCCTATAATTTCATTAGATCAATACCTTGACTAAGTTCGATAATGAACATGTTCTGCTCAAGGTAAGCAGAGCGATAAGCAATTTGATTGGTCAAGACTTTGGAACACAATAACTCTCCTTCTAATTGAGCTAGAATGTTCAAACTTGGTGTAGGTGTTTATTAGGTCAATGCCTTGATGGAGTTCGGAGGTTAGCATTTTCTGCTTAGGATACATGTAAGCAGAGATAAGTAATTTGATTGGTTGATGCTTTGGGGCACGATAAATTTGGTTATAATTAATTGAGAGTGATGAAACTCTGAGTATTGATTCATTATATCATTACCTTGACTAATTTCGATGATGAGAATTTTCTGCTTAGGCTAAGGAGCAATAAGCAATTTGATGTGTCAAGACTTTGGAACATAACAACTCTGCTTTTAATTGAGGTAGAATGTTTCAATTTCATTGGTTGATGCTTTGGGACAAGATAGTCTTGATTCTATCTGATAGAGAGTGATGAAACTTAGTGTATAGTTTGATTGCTCGATACTTTTGAAAAAAATAAATGTGCGATTAATTAATATGTGTCATCTATTTATTTTGGGATTTCAGCGGGGGACATCAGCCTCACTGTTGGCTTGTTTTGTTTATGTACATGTTGTTTAGAACTATTGAAACAAAATTGTCATTAGAACAGGGTTTTGTGAGGAAGGTTGTGGGGGGAGGGGGATGTGACCGAGTGAAGACACTTTTGCTATGTTCAGCAATGCCAATTCCTGTGCCTCATATACATAGTGGAACGCAGAGAGATTAATGATATCATATAATATCGTACCAGTGCAAATACAATATTTACAATATTTAAATCAAAATATGATATAAATAAATAGAGTTGGATATATTTTAGACGTTCACATAATTTTTGTATAGCTTCAGGTGGGCCTGAAATAATAGATTGACCATGCATGACAGTATAAACCCTACACAAACACACGCACATTTCGCCTTTTGCTAACTTCCTAAGAGATGGCTATACATAAAGTGCAGAATTTTAAAACGCACACATTTTCATGTGGACGTAAATGTATATTGTTGTCGCCCCTATCCCTCCACAATTTGTTTGTGGACACTCTACAGGTCACAATTCTTATCCGATTTTGACGAAACTTGAAATATAGATAATTTCCAAATGATCTTGGTTCCTTTTGATATTGGCAAATATCGGATCAAAACTTCATGGTTTATGGCCCCTGATCACAATTTTCATCTGATTTTGATGAAACTTGAAATGTGTGTTTATAACTCAAAGATCTTAGTTCCTTTCGATATTCGCACATATCGGATCGTAACTTCCAGAATTATAAAAAATCGCGTTTTGGCTTGTGGTCCCTCTAGATATCACAATTATTATCTGATTTAAAAAAAACATACGAACATATTAACGGTACCGCTACACTGTAATGTTCGTTGTGTTCGAATTTTGTGAAAAACGGACCAAAACTGCCTGACAAAATGGTCGCCCCTCATACGCGAACAGTGTAAAAATATGGTATATCAAGGTTGTGGACCCTCTAGAGGTCTTGGTTCCTTTCGATAATTCGCGCATATCGGATTGTAGCTTCTTGAATTATGGCCCCTAATTGTACGAAAAATCATGTTTTAAGCTTGTGGTCCCTTTAGAGGTCACAATTATTATCCGATTTTAAAAAAAACATTTGAATATATCACCGTTACACCCTAATGAGAACTGAGTTCAAATTTCATGAAAATTGGATCAAAATTGCTGGACAAAATGGCCGCCCCTCGTATGCAAATAGTGTAAATATATGGTATATCAAGGTTGTTTTTCCTGTCCATAATCGCGCATATCCGAACGTAACTTGCTGGATTATGGCCCCTAATTGTTTGAAAAATCATATTTTAGCTCATGGACCCGCTAGAAGTCACAATTTTTATCAGATTTTGATGAAACTTAAACATACATTATGCAAGAGCTAAATCTGCCTATTGCAGGTCTTTCTTTAGGCCTGAAATGTTATTTAAATGATTAATTAGACATTAATTAACTTATCCAGACCATAATCAACTCTCGCTGGCATCGCTAGCCTGCAATCTTTAGAGGATTATGATCCGATTTACTGCATAACTTTCCTTCACGATTTAATGATTAAATCAATGGATAATCATGACTATGATTTTTGTCGTACCGACTTCAGTAATGATGATCAAGGCTAGGCGGAAATTTCAATCGCTTAATTCTCGGTTCATAGTGGATCAATTTGACTGAAATTTTCAGCAAATTGCCTTTACATTACCTAGTTTTTAACTATTATAGTGAGAACTACCAACTGGTTATCTAATTTCCCATAATGTATCTTTAAAATATATCTACATGTATATCCCAAATATCTCAGTCCATTTCGATATTCGCACATTTCAGATCATAACTTCCGGGATTATGGCCCCTGATTGTATGGAAAATCACTGTTTTTTATAACTTGTTCTCTATCCATCTCTTGCAAAATGTGGGCATATCCTGTCTGGCAGCCGCTGGTTAGATTTTTCCATTCAACGCTTTTAAGAAGTTTTTAGCAAAAAAACATAATTTTCTTGATAGTTTGAATATATTTTCTAATCAGTGGGTTCTATATTTAGTGCAGGTTTTCAACTGTCATGGAAATATACCTTTTAACAGTAACACTAACACTCATAATTATAAGCCTACAAATACTTGCAGAATTTTTTAAACTGTAGTTGTCTCCCTTGTGATTCATTGCTGAGCCGAATCAAGTATCTGTAGTTTGTTCTAAATTGGGGGTTTGGATGGCCGAATGGTTAGCGTGTGCGCGTTTTATCATAAGGTCTGTCATTGAGTCAATTGCTGTGGTTTCTATTCCCAGTTGTACGTGACAAAGAGTAGGGTCGCCTGTCCAACCTTGTGGGTTTTCTGCGGGGCCTCCAGTTTCCTTCCACTGCTAAAGACATCGACGCGCAAGCTAATTATAGAAATAAAATTGAACCATATCTGAAATGACCTGGTTTGATTCGAGTGGACGTTAAACCCCATTTCTCTCTCTCTGTTTTAAATTGAATCAATATACATGTTAGTCACCATGTATATGAGATTCCTGTTCTTACTGTACCTAATGCCTGGTGGCAGGAAGGGGCTTTTTCACACAGAGTAATTTATTGAGAGTGGGCTTTGTTTGATTATTGAATAATGGAATCAGTAGCTTTAAATAATGATTGCAAGAATTTTATTTTATCGACAAATGTCTATTTGGAAATATTTTTTTCATATTTTAGGCTTGTTGAACTATGAAATTATTGAAGAAATTACATCTGAAGTTGAGATGACAATGACACTTAGGCCTACCTGGAAATGAAATATGTATTACTGACAGAAATAGTACTATAACTTAAAAACAGGATTGTAAAAGATAGAAGGTATGTACTTGGAGTAATAGTATAGTTATAATTAACTATAAAAAAACCTTAGAAAATGATTCATAGCTTTAGAAAGAAACATTTGTCCAAATACAAAAAAAAAATCATATTTAAAATAACTATTTATGTATTATTCAACTTAAAATGTTCTTCTGTTTATGCTACCATAGTAGCATGAAATTAAATCACTTTAACTTGATTGGGGATAAAGAGTTAACTTGACTGAGTGGATTAACAAGGGATTATTACAGATGTTAAATTTAAAAATATGTTTTTAAGTACCGGTAGCTTAATCTCTTTGATTGAGATGAAAATACATGTGTTGGTCTGATGTAGTTTTATACTTGAACAAAATCTTCATCTAATATATATTTTCCTGAGATTTGTATGCTTTGTTCAGATTCTTGAAGTGACAAATTTCAACAATTTCTTATAATTTCTCAGTTATTACCCTTGATTATGCCATAGAATCTTGTTAATAATATATACATTATCCAAATATTGAAATTTAGTTGTATATAGTTGTGACCCTTGTCTTCCGATCTGTTAGTCCAGCATCCATAATTTCTTGTGAACACCGTAAACAGAGAACATATCCAAGGTTTTTACATGTGTAAGACAAAGCAGCCTTTTGAATTTCGATGATTTCCGTTTATTACTTCTAGAGTAATGAAATGGCTCTTTTTCAACTGCTAGAATCTTGTGAATGCTGTAACAATGTAGAGTAATGGCCCTTGATTTATTTTGTAGAATCTTGGAAATGATTTAACTAAACAAACAGATAAAAATATTTAATTATTTAAAGCTTGAACCATTCAAAATACCAAACACTTCAGATTAAGTCTGTTCAACACTTTTCTGTGACTAAAAAAAAGGTTGAATCTCATTTAAAATTGATGCTGATCAATTTGAAAATTTTGTGTACACTGTAGAAGATACAGTTATTATGTGATTGATTTGAAATTGATACAGACTGTTAATGTTGATGACACAAACAAATCCGAACAGCAAAAGTTATTATTTGATTACAACTACAAGTACTTGTACATGTTATGTATAATAAATAGGGACTTTATTTCCAAATGGTCTAACGTGTGTGCTTTAGTTCATAAGGTCTTTCAGTGAGTCAAGTGCATGGTTTTGATCAGACACTAAGACTTGTATGTCACATGGAGTAGGGCCACCAATCCAACTTTGTAGGTTTTCTCCTGGTTCTCTGGTTTCCTCTTAACAACCTAAAAACCCAACTGAAATAAAAATTTAACCATAAGTTAGTCCCGAAATGACCTGGTTTTTCTTGAGTGGATGTTAAACACCATTTCATCCCATTGCATGTACCTACACAAAAATAGATATCTAAGAACATTTGTGGACTGCTCAGATGACTTAGCTGCTGTTGGTGTACAATACATTGCCTGGCAACCTGTCTTTGGTAAATTGAAATAAGGAAAATGATTACATGTACAGGCCTTCTGGAGCATTAAACATACAGTACATTATGCAAGAGCTAAATCTGCCTATTGCAGATCTTTCTTTAGACCTGAAATGTTATATAAATGATTAATTAGACATTAATTAACTTATCCAGACCATAATCAACTCTCGATGTCATCTTATGTGTCAGATTTTCACTGGATTTGAATCCGATCTGCTGCTCGTTGATGATTAAATAAAACAAGCGGTTGCCATGCAAGATACGCCCACATTTTGCAAGAGATGGACAGAGAACAAGCTCAAAAAAGAAGTGATTTTTCGTACAATCAAGGGCCATAATTCAGGAAGTTTCAATCCGATAAGCATGAATATTGAAAGGAACCAAGATCTTTGGGTTATAAAAATGCATTTCAAGTTTCATCAAAATCGGATCAAAATTGTGTCCTCTCTCTAGAGGGTCCAAAACCTTGATATACCACATGTACAATATTTGCGTACGATGGGCAGCCATTTTGTCCGGTAGTTTTGGTCCGATTTGTACGAAATTCAGACTCAACCATCATAAGGGTGTAACAGTGATATATTCAAACGTTTTTTTAAATCGGATAAAAATTGTGACATCTAGAGGGATCATATCCTAAAAACGCGACTTTTCGTACAATCAAGGGCCATAATTCAGGAAGTTATGATCCAATATGTGCGAATATCGAAAGGAACCAAGATCTTTGGGTTATAAATATGTATTTTAAGTTTCATCAAAATCGGATCAAAATTGTGACCTCTATAGGGTCCACAACCTTGATACACCATATTTTTACGCAATTTGAGAACGAACGATGGCCATTTTGTCTGTCAATTTATTTACACGCAAATAGTGTAAATATATGGTATTTTTACGCAATTTGAGAACGAACGATGGCCATTTTGTCTGTCAATTTATTTACACGCAAATAGTGTAAATATATGGTATATCATGGTTGTGGACCCTCTGGAGGACACAGTTTATGTTTAACCGCTGGTTAACTATTATAGCAAGAACAGTCAACTCTTTATCTAATCTCCCATAAAGTATCTTTAAATGTCTTTACTTTTTTTTGGCTGCTTGTTCCTTTTTAGTAACATTTTGACTTTCTGTACATGATTAAACTAGAAATGGGCATGTTATAGCTTTAAAGTTGTATTAAGGACTCACTACGAGACATTTTCAAAAGGTTGATAGGTACAGACATAAGTACTGTTGACAGAGTTTCAAAGTTTGCATACTGGGGTTCTTAACTTTGTTTTTTTTTACTTTTTAACGGAATTTGTTTGAATAATCTGCCAACAGCAAGTAAACTAAGGCCACTAGTTTCACTGAAAGGTAAAACTTCAAACAGCTAATAATGTTTGTTCTTCTATTCCCTGCTTGCGTTGAAATTAATTATTTAAGCCATGCTATTCTTTTGTGGTGCTTAAAAATACACGGGTAATTCATTTGAAAAGCAAGCATTATGAGCAAATATGTAATGTGGGCTGGCCTTATCATACAAGTGTAAATTACTTGAGGGTGTATGTTTGTGAATAATGAAGGTGGCATTGGTTGACATAAGAGTGTTGGAGTAGCAAGGATAATTTAACTAAAGACTTAAAACTACTTGATTCATTGTGGGCTTACTAACAATAGAACCCTACATCTACTGTTAATAGATATATGTTCATGATTCGGTGGTATACTATGTCAAAACAGGTAAATCTATTTATTTATTTTGATGAATATTATAAGTATAAGTATATTTATTATTCCCCATCTAATTACAATATTTAACTATAAGGACATATAAAAAAAACATGATCTTGTTCTCAGATGCTCCCTTTTTATATGCCCACATTGAAACGTGGCCGTACATTGTCGTTGCCGTCCAGCGTCCACAAGCTCTAGAAGCTAAAGTTAATATCTGATTGACTTTAGATTTATACACAGTATTTAAGATTATGGGACGAAGAAGCTTATTGATTTTCAACGATATACGATAATCACTGTCAGAGTTATAGCCCTTGATCACTTTAAAAAATCTTGTGGATGCTCTAGAGACAAAAGTTATCATCCGATTGACTTTAGATTGATAAACAGAGTATATAAGGTCTTGAGACGAACAAGTTTAGTGGTTTTCAATGAATTTTGATAACTTGAACAGCTAAATTCATGATATTAAATGTTTCTTATACCAAATGTTAGCATGGGGCAGAACTAAAAGCCAAACAAATTTTAATGATTTTCTGACAAGTACTTAATGAGTTGTTACTCTTAATCAGATTTTAGTGTATTATTATAAATGTTTCATTACCGACAATAGAAAAAATATGCGACAACAACTCCTGTTGACTGCATGAACGACTTAGCTGCTGTGGGTGTATGTTTCGTTGCCTGGCAAACTTTTTTTTTGCTAGAAAGGAGCTGCATGACCTGTTTTGCATGACCTGTTTCCTTTGCTAACAGGAAGTAAAAATTTTGCATCAAACTGGAAATGTACCGTAGGCTCAATTATCAATTGACAATCATGAATGATACTTTTACTGGATAATGATACACACAACAACAAGATATGATAAATGTAGTGTCGTGAAATGGTGATGTTTATGGGAAGTCATTTGGTCCAGTAGTGATTCTTTGACATAATAAAAAAACAAAACCTCCCTCCCACATCAAATTTTCAGGAAGGATTGTCTTGGAACCAGAATATATATTTTTGTTTGGCCTTATCAGTTAAGTACAAGTATAGTACTTTGATATTACACGTACCATGGAAGCACAGTACTTTGATATCACCATATAAGTACAGCATTTGAATTTTACCATGTAAGAACACAATATTTTGATATCAACATATAATACTAAAATGTAAGTACAGTATTTTGATATTAATATGCAAGTAAAGTATTTAAAGGAGCTAATATTTGCAATCTGATTAAAACACAGATCCTAATTCGTTTTGCTTTTTATAGTTCAAAATTTCGTTTTACTTGTCTTTATACACCTTGGGATGTTATTTCCTTTGATCTCCAATGCATGTTATGGGACGATATCAGATATCACCCTCGGATGATGTCACAACAGGTTTACATCACTCCGCAATGAAAAAGGACACAAATTCTTTCTTTTAACATTTTATTTACTTTCTTGTACAATGTTGTTAAACGATTCGGACGACAAACTTTGCCAGGCCCATATTAATTAGTTTCTTCATCTGACTATCAAGAACTTGCTGAAACCCTCAAATTCTGGATTGTGTAGTATATCCACATCAGTTTTATTCACATAACTAAATATGGAATAATGTGGGTAATATTCATCATTTTATTTTGCTTACTTCCAAGACAAATCTAGACATCAAATCAATAAGATCATGTATCCTCATATCTTCCAAGACAAATCTAGACATCAAATCAATAAGATCATGTATCCTCATATCTTCCAAGACAAATCTAGACATCAAATAAATAAGATCATGTATCCTCATATCTTTCAGCGCACACAGGATTTTTCGCTCACTATTCTGTTTATTATTCTGCCACACTGACCAACTGTTAAAAAAGTTCACAGCCCACTGATTTCTTTATAAGGTATTTATGGGCACGGCATTGTTGGCACATTCAATGATGTCTTGTCTACTCAAAATTGAAAAGTGTTTATCATTTGTATCTTCCTCACAATCCGAAATATCTGAGTACATTGAATCCTTGTTAAATATTTTCTGCATAAATTCTACACTTTGACCATCTTCAATAGAAGGCTTAATCTCGCTTTAATTATGTACATCTTATCAAGGCCTTCACGTAATACCCTGCATATTTCGGCACTAATTTCGATTGGGTATTCATCCAGCTTGTGAGCCTATCAGATTTCTCGATCATTGCGAATAGCAAGTCTCGCGCTTTCCCGCTAAAATGTCTACTTGTGATAATCGAGTTGCAAAGTTCAATGCACAAGCAATTTTAATTAAATAGATAGAATTGAACCATATGTTAGTCCCGAAATGATCTAGTTTGTGTTGAGTGGAAGTTAAACCCCATTTCTCTCCGTCTTTCTCTACTTTTTTATTTGTTGCATTTCAAGATTTGGGAATTTTGTTTTTCTAGTCCAAGTTTCGTACACAACTTGAGCTGTTTAGTGCATTGTGATTGCCTGGCAACCTAGCATTAGATATATTTTTCATCTATCAAAATGTTTTAAGTATCAAGATTTGTATCAAGTATTCAATAAGCCTTAGGGCAATTAATCTCCTTAAAACTAGTTATGATTTAAATTGTATCTGATGAAGCATAAAATATACAAGTGAGATGCAGTTTATGTGACAGTTAAATTTTCATTCAAAAGTGCATTACAGTAAAATATAGTGTAGAACCCCCTTATGTTATTTGTATTAATTGTGTGTCAAGTTGTATACATTTATATTTTAGTTTTTGCTGAATCAAACTGTTGTTTTTTTTTAGTTTTATCTTTTTATACGCCCACATTTAAATGTGGTCGTATATTGTCGTCGCCCCCATCTGTCCGTCCGTCGGTCTGGCGGTCCGGCGTCCACAATTGCTTGTGGACGCTCTAGAGGCTAAAGTTAATATCCGATTGACTTTAAATTTATACCCAGTGTTTAAGGTCTTGAGACGAAGAAGCCTATTGATTTTCAGCGATTTCCGATAATTACTGCCAGAGTTATGGCCCTTGATCACTTCAAAAAATCTTATTGACGCTCTAGAGGCCAAAGTTAATATCCGATTGATCTCAGATTTATACACAGTGTTTAAGGTCATGAGACGAAGAAGCCTATTGATTTTCAGCGATTTCCGATAATTACTGCCAGAGTTATGGCCCTTGATCACTTCAAAAAATCTTGTGTACGCTCTAGAGGCCAAAGTTAATATCCGATTGATCTTAAATTTATACAGTGTTTAAGGTCATGAGATGAAGAAGCCTATAGATTTTCAGCAATTTCCGATAATTACTTCCAGAGTTATGGCCCTTGATCACTTAAAAAAATCTTGTGGACGCTCTGGAGGCCAAAGTTAATATCCGATTGACTTTAAATTCATACACAGTGTTTAAGGTCATGCGACGAAGAAGCCTATGGATTTTTAGCAATTTCCGATAATTACTTGTAGAGTTATGGCCCTTGATCACTTAAAAAAATCTTGTGGACGCTCTGGAAGCCAAAGTTAATATCCGATTGACTTTAAATTCATACACAGTGTTTAAGGTCATGCGACGGAGAAGCCTATGGATTTTTAGCAATTTCCGATAATTATTGCCAGAGTTATGGCCCTTGATCACTTTGAAAAATCTTGCAGACGCTCAAGAGGCCAAAGTTAATATCCGATTGACTTTAAATTTATAATCAGATTTTAGTTTATTATAAATGTTTCATTACCGAAAATTAAAAATATGTGACAACTCGTGTTGACTGCCCGGACGATTTAGCTACTGTGGGCGTATGTTTCGTTGCCTGGCAACCTATCTTTAAACAAACAATATCAGTTTTTTTATGTTTCATAACAATTTGTTTACTCTACCGGTCTTTCAAGCAACGTCTGCTTTATTAAAAAATTTCCTGGAATTACCTCATTTTGATCTTTTTCGGAAAACGTAAATTGCCAGACATCGAGCATTAGCCATCAGCATAAGCCATAGAGGGTGCTATGATTGCTGTTTTGACGTATTTCCATGCTTTGCATGGCTATCTTAATGTTGAATTATTGAATGGCCTGGTTGTCCTCATCCATAAAATTGGTGATTCATGTTAATCAATCTGAGTATTGATAAATATTAGCATGGATTAAAAGGTGAGAAATTCGATATTTTAGCAAAAAATGACAATGGAGCATCGTTTCTTTAATGTCAATTTTTACACGCCCACATAGAAATGTGGTTGCATATTGTCGACTGCTCGGACGATTTCATTATTTAATCCAATAACTCCTGGTTATCTGCTGACATACTACTCCATGAATTGTTAGTGTAGAAAGATGTTCATCTCACAAAACAAACTTCAAATTATGCAAATTAACAAGTTTTTGTTTTTGCTCCATTTTAAGTGATCACACCCCCTTTAGAACTAGACAAATACAATGTAGGTATACAGGTGGAAATTGTCTCTTATGTGAATCATTTAAGATTCACAAAGGTATACTGAAATATTCAAATTAGTCACAAATATAGCAGAGGTATACTTGGGCGTGTGTAAACCATTATGTAACAAGAATTGAATAGTGAAGCTTGTCAATATTGGTGGCCCTAAAACTGAAATTGGTGACACCTTTAAGTTGAATAATAGAGGCTGGAAAATGACAAACATTACATTGTGTGCAGTATTTGATAGTATTACTGTGTCAAAGTAAAGATTTCCACTGTGATAGTATAATAATGTCAGCCTGGTTCAATGATCTTTAGTTGCTGCTCCAGTTATTGGTGTGTAGCGGTAAGTTTTTGAATTACGGGGGACAAATGTACGTGCGGATATAGATACACAGGTGAAAAGACTTTTACCATCGTAATTCCGACACTGGAAATTTCATGGTCATACTAAAATCATATTGTAATTAATAGTCAAGATTTTTACTTTTAGGCCTTCTGCAAACTGTCAGTATATTAATATTTACCATCTTGAATAGGTCACAGTTTTGCTGTCTTTATTGATAAATTGCATCACTCAAGAGTATTCATAGTTAACACATTTTTTGCCTCAGTTCTGTATGTGGTAAAGATTTCAGAAATAGTATATAGGGGATCCAATATTTGTTTGTAATTCTTAAAATTGTGCATAAAAGAATTAAAAATGCAGACTGAGCCCTTTACCACACATCAAATTTACGAAACTTCTATTACCATATTCCATATTTGTACAATAGAATCTTCCATATCACCTAGGAGAGGCTAATGATACAGTATGATGTGATTGCACTTATACAGTTCTCACCTGACCAGTATTTCTCTCAAATCACCTAACAGGGAATATCGAAATGATTGGCAGTGAAAATATACATCATTTGAGTAAAACAATATGAAGGGAATTAGATCATGCATTTATCCTAGCAAGTCAAATTGTAGAAGATACTAAGAAATATATATTATTGTATACTCATACGAGGCATTATTAAGAGCAAATATAAATATAAATAATTATTAGAATGTTACTATGATATTACTGACAGGGCTCAAAATGCTGTCCAAATAATATTTCAAAAGAAATCAATGAGCCGTAAATGCATTTAGAAGTTGGGCTGTGTTGTGTAATAACGAAGCAGACAGGAATTGAAAGGTGTCCTGTATTGTGGAATTTGTGGAAGCTAAAGATCTGAATTCGATATTAAGCTTAGTTATGGGATTCTTTTACGAATTGTTAACATAACCGAGGTGGATACACTAATCAACCTGTAGGACCTGAAGTCTGTATTCTAGTGTGAAACTCTAATTTGTCACCAACACAACAGAGATGACATTTTTAATAACCATGTTGTTAATTTTACAAATTGTCCTTAATATTGCATTGAAGAAACTAAAGATTTATATCTAAATTTAATGGACTTGTTGAAGGGCGAGATATCCTAACGGCCCTTGGGTGATATCCAATATCACCTTCTGATGACGTCACTGGAAGTTGATATGTCTTATAAGATGTATGGAGATAAAGGATATATTATACCATTAATACCAAGGTGTGTAACATCATGTAACTATATCACACTATTGAATGAAATATAAATAAGATGTACATACATATGTGTTGTATTTATATACATATGTATTGTATTTATAATGTATCAATATTCATTGGATGATGACCAACAACATACCTGTTGATTTTACATTATAAAGGTAAATGATGAAAATAGGAGGAGATGTGGTTTAGATTAAATTATATTTACATATGACAGAGCTCCACAGGTAAATAATAAAAACACCCAACTCTAATAAATACACAAAACTATTTTTATACCCCTCCCCTTGAAGTGTGATTGTATTTTGCCATCAAGAAGAGCTACATTGATAATAAAGTAGACTTGAAATATATACACAAAGTTTTTTCTCATGAGATATAGAATCTTATTGATTTTCAAGATCTCTGATGGGTACTGTTCAGGTCATGACCATTAATATTTTAAACAATTCTTGTGGACAGTCTAGAGGCTAAAGTGTTCATGTTTATGAGAAGAAAAAGATGCATAATGTTAAAAATGCGTTATGTAAGATTTAGATAAAGAACTGACCGTTCTTGCTATAAAAGTTCAAAATAAGATAATGAATTAATATATTCAAATTACTTTATTCTGAACGAATATATGAGTGTTGGAATATGTAGCTTAGTGTAGTGTAGCAATGGTACTGGACAAACAAGACTGTCTGGTTTATCCATTTTATTGTTAAATTTTTAAACCTTGCAGGTGTTTTAAAACTCTGCCATCCGATGGACTAGACAGTTTTGTGATAAATATCTAAACAATAATTTATAGAACACTTAAATACAAAATAACTCATGTATGATGCATCTTTAAACATTTTTAAGCTTTTAATCAGGTAAATTGGATATATGAATGAAAATCAGGGAAATGGTTATTTTATGGATTTTATAACCATCTGGTTTTCATTGAATTAGACATACTTGAAATTGGTAAATAAATTGATAAATAGTGAGTATTGAATATATGTCTTGTTGACAACATGTTGCAACCTATAAATATGGATTGGTACAAAAGTTGTGGTGATTTTGATTTTTTATAACCAGTGTATATGTATGTAGTAACACTACATTTGTTATCCTGTATAATATTGACGTACATGCACATTGATTAAAGGTGAGATTAATTGTTTTACGTGATTTTACTTATAATTAACAAGTTTGGATCGATTCACATCTAGCCAAGACTTTTTTTTCTAACAAACATGCCATTAAGACCACAGCATAAGGCATTCTCCAATATATTAATAAACCTGTAAATTTACTGTAGGTTAATCCTGCGAGAAGCGCTGTAATGCTGTGGGTACAACCGTTATAGACGGCACAGAATTTGAAGTAGAAACAGTCCCTGTTTTATGGAATAATCTATCATTTAATTTAAGATGTTGCACATCTCTATATTCTTTTAAAAAACAACTTATAACAAGCTTTCATCTGACTCTGTATACAACTTTAACATGTCTAAAATCTTGTTTTTCTTTATGATTACATTGTCACTTTGTAAAGTGCCCCAGAACAGTGATATGAAAGGGTGCACTCACTATAGATATGATGTAATATAATAATAATAATCAAAACATTTTGTAAGTTATAATGACTGTTCATTGATTTTGGGTGTTAGATACTTTTAGTATACATGTCACATCTATGACTAGTTTCTACATGCTGTCGGCTGATGAGAAACCACAAGGCAGATTAAGTAGTTAATCAAGGTAGGTGTATATATAGACTGTATTACACAATAAGTACTTTGATCACTTAATTACCTAATCAATCCAGCCTTTTATTACTGATAATCGAGATGAGTAGTATTTATACCTTCAGTACAGTCAATATATTTTGGAATTTTGAATATTCACCATATCATGGTGTTCAATTGGGCTTATTCCTGGTCGGACGTTTGGAAAATTACAAAGAACATGTCCAGAATGTACCGATGAAGTAGCGTCCCGGGTACAATGTTGCCTTACTTTGTTTTGGAAGGGGAATTTGTGTTCCCTTATAACTTTCAAGATTTCTATTGTGGTTTCAGCGTCTTTGTTGATTTACTTTGTCTTCAGAAAAACTAAAAAGAAATTATATAGCAGACTTTAGGAGGAAAGGCGGTTATGGGATGGGGGGACAGAGGAACCACCATTTGGTTAACACTTTCCAGATATCTTCCCTGATTGATTAACCTCTTTTTTAGAACTAAATCTACCACCAGCTAGCCTTATATCCAACATTGAATTGGCACAGTTGTTGGTGAGGCATAGGTATATAGGGACTCCAGTTGCAAATGGATGACATTACATTCTCCTTGTGAATTTAGTATAGATATTGGATATTATGTGTTGGCACACAGCTGTGCTTCCACATAAACAAATTTATTAGACAATCAATTTTTACTTAGACAATCAATTTTTACTTAGACAATCAATTTTTACATAGACATCAAAGGAAACTTTTTTGTTTTTCAACCAATTTGAAATCGGTTTTCACCAATTTGTAGCTGTCCGTCCACAATTTGTTTGTGGACACTCTACAGGTCATAATTTTTATTTGATTTTGACTAAGCTTGAAATATAGGTTTAACTCCAAAAGATATTGGTCCTGTCAATATTGGCATGTATCGGATCGAATCTTAATGCATTATGGCCCCTGATTGTACGAAAAATCATGTCTTTAGCTTGTGAACACTCTAGAGGTCACAATTTTCATCTGATTTTGATGAAACTTGAAATGCATGTTTATAACCCCAAGATCTTGGTTCCTTTCGACATTTGCGTATATCAAATCGTAAATTCCTGTAATTCAGGACCCATGTTGACTAAAGTCAACATTTCGGTTAGCTAAATGCAGTGTTCTTAGTGTACTGATACTATCATTGATAGTTACCCAGTACTTCCCTTATAAACAGATGACTTTCACTTGTTTGTTTACTTCCTGTTTGACATTTTGACTGTTAAAAATCATACTGATTCTTCTCAAAAAATTATAGTAATACGATGAACTATCTGTCTATATGAAAATGTTCTGATAATGACGGATTACTGTCCATATTGAATGATTCATATTTGATTGGTGGTGAAAATTTGATAGTTTTGTTCTACAACATAATAGAAGTAGGCCTAATCAACAAATTATTGAATGTAGTTGTAGTCTAAATAATTAAAAGGAATTCACAATGAATGATTTTAGTTCACAACTTTCAAAAAGATAAATAAATGGAAATCACCATTACAAGTAATTAAAAGAGATTCTATGATTCATAGTGAATGATTTTAGTTCACAACCTCCAAGAAAAGAAATAAATGGAAATCACCATTTATATGAATGGAGTTTGCTTGAAATATTTAAATTAGAGCATCTGCCCTAGTAATTTGTGGCATAAAATCCATATTATGAAAATGCCATTATATCTATATCATTTTATCGATTTACTTGAAGTGTCTATATTATTCTGTTGCTTTTTAATTAGATATATTTCATCAATATTAACTGTTACGACATGAGTTTTTATAACGTCATGATGACGTCAAACTTTGGGTAACTTGAGTTAAAAAGTCTCATTAATGTTTATCTGAAATTTGTTCTTTTTATGTTTAATAAGGTTATCATGTAAACATGCTAATAACATATTTTTACAAGAAGTAGATGGGGGTAGAAGAGTTGTATTGCACATCTAAACTCATGTGTGAAAACATTGGTGCATGGTATGTAAAAGACTGGCCAACCTTGTATTATCCAGTCCTAAATTTTAATGGAAATTAACCACTGCTACTTTCAAGGTCAACCCTGTCGCCTTCATCATTTCACTCATATGTACCCATCCAGGCAACTGGATGTGTCAAAATCACTGACATGGCCATATATGCTAAAAACAGCATAATTAGACAACATAATATTGTTGTAATTTGTATGTTTTATATTTTCAGATGCTGTTTATAACACTATCTCTGGTATTACTGATCTCAATGGAGACAAAATCATCAATATGGTCTGATCTACATCTACCAACTGAACATATACCTTTTTTCTTTAACAACAACCCAGATATTAAACAGCTATGTAAAGAAGACAAATCATGTCCTTATAGGGTATGTATGGTACATGTATATTTCTTTGATGTACTTTAAAAGCCCATCTTAAAGATACATTAGTTAAGAGTTTAAACATGCATTTTGCAAGAGCTAAATCTGCCTATTTCAGGTCTTTCTTTAGGCCTGAAATGTTATCTAAATTATTAATTAGACATTAATTAACCTATCCTGGCCATAATCAACTCTAGATGGCAGCGCTAGCCTGCGATCTTTAGTGGATTGTAAGCCGATTTACTGCATAACTTTCCTTCTCTATTAAACGATTAAATGGATAATCGAGACTATGCTGTTTATCGTACTGACTTTAGTAATGATGACCGAGGCTTATGGGAATTTCAGTCGCTTAGTTCTCGGTTCATAGTGGATCAATTTGAATGAAATTTTCACCAAATTGCCTTTACATTATCTAGTTTTTAACTATTATAGTGAGAACTGCTAACTCGTTACCGAATCTCCCATAATGTATCTTTAATAAAGAGTTGGTCATTCTTGCTATAATAATTCAAAAATAGATGATAAATAAAAAGAAAATATTGAAAATTTCAGTCAAATTACTTTATTCTGAATGGAGTTGTCACTGTTGGATGTTTGGAATAGAAGTAGGCGTCAACTGGGTTCACACCATCTATGAGAATTGTCAATCGTTTATTGACAGATGATAACTCCACCCACATATTCTCGATTATCAAATAACATTCTCAGTGGTTTGGTACCCTCGCTTGGCAGATCTTTCATTGGCAGACTCTGTTAGTGACTGACTAATGGTAAATGTTAGCTTTGTCGGCCGTTTATTGAATTAATTTAAAATGGACGACTATTTAAATCCAAGCTGTAAATAAAGGTCTAATGAATAATTTCTATAACATCTGAAGCATAAATAAAGACTTGCAATAGGCAGATTTAGCTCTTGCATAATGTATGATTGAACAACTGTGGAAAAATTCATTATCCCGTGTTACTGCCTATAACTTTGAAATTTTTAAAGGATTGTTTCATTGTATCAGTAGTAAAACAATATTAGTGATACAGATTAACATCAGCTTCTTCTGTTGGTGATGTTGAAAGCAACTTTTTTCAGAGGCATACATGGGATAAAATTCTATGGAATACTGAACAATGTTTTGACTAGGATTCTTTATTCCTGTGTATTAAGATATTTTGATACTCAAACATTTGAAATTTGATGGTATTGTTTATTTATTGCCTATTTTTTCTTCTGAAGTTATGGCTCTTGGTTACACATGTACCAATCAGATGTTTTTCAATTCATTTCTTCATGTTATACAATTATTTTTACTTTACTTGACTCCTTTTTGAATGTGTCGTCTTATTTGTGTACTGTTAGCAGCCAATGAAAATGAAGCTTTTCCAATCACTTTTAAGACATCATTCACTGATTTATGTTGGAATGATATTTCTGTGCCCAATTCAGCTCTTTATTTGTCTTTTTAACCAAAGAAGAAATTTAGATAATAAAACCTATTTTAGATAGACAAGGGGATATTTCATTACTAAATAATTGTTATAGGCCCTACTATTATTTTATTTCATAGTCCAATATATAATATTTTTGTGTAAAGTGGTATGTGTATAGCAGTGATGAGATTTCGCCCCTATATTGCGGACATGTCTGATGCGAGATATGGTGAATAATATTTAAAATTCCAAAATTAATATAGTGGACTGAGTGTATAACTACAAGTCAACCTGATTATCGCTGTTAATAAGCTGAAATGATTAGGTAATTAAGTGATCAACGTATTTATCATATTATCTATACACTTACCTTGATTAACTACTTAATCTGGCATGATTTTGACTGACTTAATCCTTTATCAGACCATTCATCAATTTAATCTTAAACAGAAGTCATTGCTTCCCCTTTGTCAGACTATTCATCAATCCAATAAGAGTGATTATAATTTTAATCTCAGTGTATACCTCGTCATGGTTTCTCCATTGTTGGACATTTTAATCACAGCTTGTACCAACCGACAGCATATATAAACTAGTCATAGATGTCACATATCGTAAAACTATATTACACCCCAAATCAATGGACAATCATTTTGTCTGCAATATCTTTTACATCCTTTAAGACTCCATATAGAAATTCTCATCCATAGTGGCACTTTCCCGTGATCTCGATTGCCACACGAAAATCACTTAACATATATATAAGGCAGTGCTTTTGAAGCTATGTGCTATGAGTCACGTACGCTAAAGTACGCCATACCCTGAAGTTAGCTATGGCTTTTTACAAGTGATTTAACTATCAATGTAATTTTAAAATACCAATTTATGAAGAAGAAAATGGTGTTTTGACATGACCACAAGTATTATTATTTCGAACGCCTTTCTTTCATTTGCTGCCGTATAAACCAAGACATGTAATTTTGAAGGAATATTACTGGTGTGAGCTTGAAGCAGGTGCGGATCGGCATGCTTTCAGTCTTATCGTATTACGAAAACACATTATTTTGTAGGAATATTACTGACATAGATTTGAATACCATACGGAAATTAAATATAAAAAATAGCGAGGTGTTCCTATTTTTATTACGCATGGATTTGAATATTTTGTTGTCATTTTTAAAAAGAAGAAAGCGATGTTCTGACATCACAAACTATTCTTATTTCAGAAGTTCTGTATTCATTTGCTGCCGTATAAACAAAGAAACGTAATTTTGAACGAATATTTCTGTTTTGAATTTGATGTCAAAGCAGGATCGGCAATGTACATGTATTATGAAAATGCGTAATTTTGAAGGAATGTTACTGACATAAATTTAAATACCGTACGTGAATTAAATATGAAAAATAGGGAGGTTCACCTATTTTTATTTGAATATTTTGTTGATACATGATTTTTAAGTGTGGTATGAATGCTTCTGCTTAAATAACGATAAGAGTTATGCCCCTTTATTTTTGGTAAAATGTCCGACAAGAAAAATAATGAAATCTCATCACTGGTGTATAGATACGTGAATTCACGATACAGTACCATAAGTAAAAAACACGAAGTTTCCATGTGTTACCCAAAATAACCGACAGTGATAATTTTGAAGTGAAAGCCCTGGTATTATAAACTTATTGAAGTTCCGTGTATAACACAGCCAACATCAGCCATCTGAACATTACAGCAACATTTCTGAATAAATGTTAGGTCTTATAGAACTATAAGGATGAAAAGAAATGAATATTTTGATTAGATTTATACATGTACATTCCAAATAGATAACACACAAATAATGATCATTTTGGGAATTCATTTGATACTCTTAAGTGTATATTTGAAAAGTTTCTGAATAATAGGCACATTTACCGGGGGAATTTGTTAATTACTAATACTGCACATAACAGATCCTAATTCAGGTAATCAAGTACAAAAAATACATGAAACGAAAGTACAACTGGTAAATGATTTCTCTCATGCAAATCAACGAACCTTACATTATTTGGACATACAATGGTTCTATATAGAGATAATAAATTAAAGTGTGATATTAAAGTCGGCAGAAATTTACAGACTAATTTTACTTGACTGTTAATTGTAAACACAAATTACTCTTGTTATACAAATGGTATTCTGATTAATGTGTGTGTTGTCTGATGCCAAAACATTGTTATCATTATTTATTGTTTTTTTAAACAGAAGATAGCAGATGTGAAGAAATGCTGGGGATATGAGTCAGGGTGTCCTCAGAGTGAGAGAATGAAGTCACCTATATGTGATGGTGATGGCAGAGGCTGGTAAGTCTATGTACATGTTTAGGCTATGAGGTATTTATTTTGAGACATAGTTTTTATACGCCCATACTGCCCATAGTTTTTGGACGTATATTGCCGTCGCCCCCGTCTGTCTGTCCACAATTTCTTGTGAACGTTCTAACGCCAAAAGTTCTGACCCGATTGTTTTAAAATTGATATATGTTGTTGACATTAGTGCGATGAAAAGGCTTATATAATTTCAATAATTTCCGTTTATTACATCTAGAGTTATGGCCCATGTTTCACTTTTTTGGACCTTGTGAACGCTCTAACGCCAAAAGTTATCATCCAATCTTTGTGAAAGTTATGTGCATTATTTAAATTTAGGTAAAGAAGAAGGATATTGAATTTCAGCAATTTTCGTTTATTACGTCTAGAGTTATGGCTCTTGTTTCACTTGATTGAACATTGTGAATGCTCTAACGGTTATCATCCGGTCTTTGTGAAATTTATATGCATTATTTGAATTAGTGAAACGAAGAAGCCTATGTGTTATTTAAATTAGTAAAAAGAAGAAAGAAGAATCCTATTGAATTTCAGCAATTTCCCTTATTTACTTCTAGAGTTATGGTCCTTGTTTCACTTTGTTGCACCTTGTGAATGCTCTAACATCAAAAATTATCTGCCGATCGGTATGAAATTTATATACATCATTTAAATCAGTAAAAAGAAGAATTCTATTGAATTACAGCTATTTCCGTTTATTATGTCTAAGAGTTATGGCCCTTTTTTCACTTTGTTGAATCTTGTGAACGCTCTAACATCAACAATTATCTGCCGATCTGTATGAAATTCATATGCGTCATTTTGATTAGTAAAAAGAAGAATCCTATTGAATTTCAGCAATTTCCGTTTATTATGTCTAAAGTTATGACTCTTGTTTCACTTTGTTGAACCTTGTGAACACTCTTATCCCAAAAGTGATCATCTGATCTGTATGAAATTTATATGCATCATTTAGATTAGTGAAACCTCAAAGCCTATTGAATTTCAGCAATTTACAATAATTAATTCTAGAGTTATGGCCCTTGTTTCACATTGTTCAACCTTGTTAATGCTTGATTGATGAAAGTTATCATCCAATCTGTATGCATCATTTAGATTAGTAAAACCACAAAGCCTATTGAATTGCAGCAATTTCCATCAATTATTTCTAGAGTTATGGCCCTTGTTTTACTTTGTGAACGTTCAAATGACAAAAGTTATCATCCAATCTGTATGAAATTTATATGCATTATTTAAATTAGTAAAACGAAAAAGCCTGTCAAATTTCAAAATGTTCTGTAAATTACTTCCAGAGGTAAGGCCCTTGTTTCAGTTTGTAGAACCTTGTGAACCCACAAACGACAAAAATTATAATCTGATCTGTATGAAATTGTCTTGTAAATGCCCCTAGTTACCTGCAAAAGAATAAATATGTGTCAACCCTTGTCGACCGCTCGGACGATTTAGCTGCTGTGGGCATATGTTTCGTTGCCTGGCAACCTATCTTTATGCTAAAGCATAAATTTCATGATGCTATATCTCACCCACTGTGGGGCTGAGGAGAATTCTATCAATACTGGAAGTTCAAGACTACTGATACTAATATTTAGTTTTGACAAATTTCAGTCTGCAAAACCGATAAATCCCATTTTCTATGGCTGTAATAATAGGAATGGAAATCCCTGGAAATGAGCCGCCCGTACATAAACAGTAATAGCGCTTAAATTTCGATAACTTTTGAGTCAGATTATTTGCATATTGAGACCAATATCAAAGTATTATGATACAATCGCTAGTAATATATATCTAAATAAAAAGGTAATCTAAAATTGCAGATTGAAAGTCGCTATATTTCAGTCAATGGCAATGGTAGGGTGCCCCACCATAAATAAATATCTCGACAATTACACCACAATATTTATATATATATCAAGCCTTAAATCAGTTTCGCACATTTATAGTCACTAAATAAACGGTCATGTTGTACTTAATAAGCTATGATCATTTAACCATCCATAAATAATAGACTGAAAAATGGTAACAAGTGTCGGCCATAACATCCAGGCACTTTTGAGGAAAAAATAGTTTACGTGCCCTTGTTTTGAAATTAATCTCGCTAGTCTACTGACCATTCTACATCTGATTGACAGGCCAGGATAATCAAGACTACTTTTTTAAAAAACATAGCAGAAAGCTGGAACAAGAAATTGAATTTAGAAATATGCACGTTAGGCAACTCAACAATTGTTTTAAGAACCATGTAAAAGTAAAATGAAACTACTGCTAGTATCATGTTCTTGCCTAACCCGAGTGTTTCAGAGATATTATTTGTACTAGACCAAAAGATGCCGCTCCTAATGGTATAGTTAATGATGGTAAAGCAAACAAACATAATACTGCTATTCAGAATCGTCAAGAATAGATTTTTTACGGCTGTAATAGTTGATAGATGTGTAGAGAATTTCATGGGTGATGGCTATCTATAGACTCATAGACTCTAGCGCTGAGTGTAAATCGCACTGCGTGATTAGCCAAGCCACTGAAGCGTGCACATTCGCCATGTCGAGTTGAACTATCTGTAGGGAAAATTTTCACTGCACGGGGCACGATACGATAAATATTAGTGATAATAAATGATTTTTATAGATTACTAGTTGTCCCCTGCCTTTCGGAGAAAGCAAATGACTATTAACATGGGTTTGCCTGTCTGTCACACTTTTTGGGACACAATAACTCTACTTCTAATTGAGCTAGAATGTTCAAACTTGGTGTGGGTGTATGGCGATGCCTTGATGGAGTTGGAATATGAGCATTTTCTGCTGAGGTTAAGCAGAGATACATGTAAGCAATTTGATTGGTTGATGCTTTGAGACACAATAACTACAGTTCTGATTAAATGAGAGTGATCAAACTTGGTGTGTAGTTTCATTACATCAATACCTTGACTAAGTTCGATAATGAACATTTTCTGCTCAAGGTAAACAGAGCGATGAGCATTTGATTGGACAAAACTTTGGGATACAATAAATCTCCTTCTAATTGAGATAGAATGTTCAAACTTGGTGTAGGTGTGTATTAGGTTGATGCCTTGATTGAGTTCGAAGATAAGCTGTGTCTGCTTAGGTTAAGCAGAGATAAGCAATTTGATTGGTTGATGCTTTGGGACACGATAACTTTAGTTCTACGGTAATTATGTGAGAGTGATGAAACTTGGTGTATAGTTTCATTACATCAATACCTTGACTAAGTTCGATAATGAACATTTTCTGCTGAAATTGCGATAAGCAATTTGATTTGTCGAGACTTCGAAAGACAATAACTCTCCTAATTGAGGTAGAAACTTCAAGTTGGTGTAGGCATTCATTAGGTGGATGTCTTGACGGAGTTTGATGATGAACATTGTCTGCTTATGGTAAGCAGAGATAAACAATTTGATTGGTTGATGCTTTTGGGCACGATAACTGGTTATAATTGAGGGCTATAGATTCATTATATCATTACTTTGACTAAGTTTGATGAGAATTGTCTGCTTAGGCTAAGGAGCGATAAGCAATTTGATTGGTCAAGACTTTGGAACATAACAATTCTGCTTTTAATTTAGGTAGAATGTTTAAATTTGATTTTTATGTTCATTAGGTGAATGTCTTGACTGAGTTCAATGATTAACATTTCCCACTAAAGTTAAGCAGATCCAAGCAATTTCTTTGACTTCAATTCTATCTGATAGAGAGTGATGAAACTTTGTGTACATGTATAGTTGATAATCAGTTTGATTGCTTGATACTTTTGAAAAAGATAAACGTGGAATTAATTAATATGTGTCATCTATTTATTTCGGGATTTCGGCGGGGGACACCAGCCTCACTGTTGGTATGTTAACTTGATGAGGATGTAAAACTTGAATAAACGAAGTTTGTAAAGCTTGAATAAACGGTGCAAATAAAATTAAACGGGAAGATCAACTAACTTGAAAATTCACACACCATATTCATTCTTTTATTCGTCACGTTTGATAACAAGTTCCATTGCTGGTACAAAGTTCAGTACATGATAATGAAGCTACCATGCATTTACAAGGTGGCTTGCATGTTCTTTACAACGTTGGCTGCCTCGGGTAGAGATGACCAGTTGTCCAAAATCTCACATTTCAAAAGTGACCATTTTGAAACCAAAAGGTCAGCCAAAAATGGGATCAGATCGTGTGTGTCCCGCCTTTTTTCGAAAAAGAACATCAAAAACTATCTATATGCCAATTTTCATGCTTTTGTCAAAAAGTGAAAGATTCTATGAAAATATCGACCTAGGCGACTGGACTAGTAGTTGCTAAATTATCACGGTCTGGTGAATCTTATTTTTCTCTTGACAGTGTACAATTTAAAGTCAAAGGAACTGAATTAACTTGATCTAATAATTTCTTGTGATTCTAATTGAGACAGAGTGGTGCTAATGAGAGATCAGCAATTTGATTCATCAATGGTCTGTTACCCGATAACTTTGATTCTAATTGAGTGAGAGTCATAAAACTTGGAGTATTGGAGCTTTTACTTGTGACGTATTTCCGGTGGCTATTTTTAGCTCTGGAAGACTGGCCTTATTTTCCATGTATCTTAACATGGTAAATGCTAGGGAAAACAATGTTTTTAGTCTTTTTTTCATGTCTAAATTGTTTTTTTGTTGTTTTTATGGCAATATACTACGCTGTAGTAGACGATATGTCAACCTTGCACATGGTCCAGTCGACCTCTGTATGTAAAAGCAAAAACCAAGATGCATTGCTGTATAATGAAGCCGATTTATATGTTTTGTGTTAATTTTACTGCAAACAGTTAATAGATAACATCTGTTTTGTTGTAAAATGCCAAGAAATAAAGCATTCGAGTAAATAATAGAGTGTGACCTGTAGTTCCACAACAGAATTCAAGACGATATAAAATATTTAAGCATGGCCGTAGCACATCTTCATAAAAGAACAAGTAATTATTACGTTGTAAATAAAAATAATTCTGTATAGAATGCATCAGGTTCAGTTATATATTTTTATTCAACAATTGTTCTCTGAACTAAATACTGAATTTGAAATTTTGATAAAATGAGACACAAATGTATCGTTCTTGGTTGTGACAATGGAGATAAACTGACTGGATTAGATTTTACAGAGTGCCAAAAGCTGAGCCAAGACAGTCTATATGGTTACAAACAACTAACAAAAAAAACCAAAAAGGTTTTAAATAAATCATTCACTGATTCGACATAATCATTGTATTATTGTTTCTGTTATTCATATTCCATCAAGAGGAAATTTGATAAAAATGACTGATTTTTCACTCCATGCACTACAACTACTTTATCATTGGTTAGTTATTTTCACTCCAAAATATGTAACAGCTTATAAGTTTCTTTGAGTAAATAAGGAAAACCTGTAAAAGTTCTTATAGTTCTATTATCTCAATACCTTGTGTAAGTTCTATGATGAGTTTTTTCCGCTCAGGATTAGGAGAGTGATAAGTAATTTGATTGATAAAGGTTTATACAAAGATAAATGTGCAAGTCATCTGTTTATTTTGTGATTGGGGTGGAGGACATCAGCCTCACTGTTAGTTTGTTGAACATTGGCTTTATCTACAAACCTAAAATATTTTTTAAGGGAGACAAGTAATCATACAAAACAGGTCAAATTAAATACATTAGCAATGATAGGTAAACAACCAGAATAAATAAAACAGTGATTACATAGAAACTACTGTTCAAACTTTAATTCTTATTGACACTTTAATTTTTGACACAAATCATAGAAACCTTCAGATCTTGTTCATTTGTTATTCTGTTACTGCTTAGCAACTGCTATGGTTGTGTGGGTAGGATCTTGGCATGGACAAATTAGAACCCAGTACTAAATTGTCACAGGGGGTGGAGAGGGATGGGTCTAGCTTTAAGTATGACAATGAAAAAATATTAGTACAAGTGCACATAACTATTGTTTGGTAGTCATCATGTTTATAAATTTTCCCTGGTTGTACGTGACAAGGAGTAAGGTTGCCTGTCCAACCTCATGGGTTTTCTCCGGGTCCTCCCATTTCCTCCCACTGCTTAAGGCCCCTATGCGCAAGCGAATAATTTAAATAAATTAAACCATATGTTAGTCCCGAAATGACCTAGTCTCTGTCGAGTGGACGTTAAGCCTCATTTCTCTCTCTCTCTCTTATAAATTTTTCCATATTATTGCACTAAACTCCATTTGATTACTTTTCTGACTATTTCCTTTTATAGGGTCAAAGACAAAGCTGCTCAAATACAGAAGTTTTGGACGGATGCTGATTTTGGTTATGTTCAGTTTTTTCAAAAGCAATCAAGAAAATTTTGTTCATCTAAGGAAAAGGTACCGGTATGCTCTTTAACTGGACTGATTTATTTAGTGAGAGTTGATGCTGTGTGGATAAAATAGGTGCATAAATAGGATTTGTGTGTGTAAAAGTATGTAGTCAAAGCTCTAAGGTTGTAGTTCTGTTACAAGATAGAAACAAATAAAGTTGAATCATTTAGTGATATATAATGAGTAATAACACTTTAAGATGATGGCTTTTCTACCTTAATTTTACTGAGATTTTATTTTCTGTTTTCTATGTACATAGTCCAGAATTTATAGATCAACAGAAGCACTCCAAGTGTTAAAAATCCTATTATTCATAAACAGTTATTCATAAGTTAGATTCTTATATTGACTTAGGATATCTCACTGCAGTTATCTAAATTGAGACAGTTCAGGTGTATGCTGCATTTTGCATTTGGTTTCTGTCTGAATTTTATTGCTAATTCAAAATGTAAGACAACAAAAAATTTGCAATTATTGCTAATGAAATATGGATTTTGATTTGCTACCAGCTTGGACATCTGATCACATGATATACTTCACAAACATTTTCCGACATTTAGGCCCATTTCACCTGTGGATTTTAAAGAGAAACCTATTGTAGAGCACAATTCTTATTAAGCTGGTGCTTAGAATTATTGTCACTTTTGTTTAATTTGAATTCTTTTATTTTAAAGGATGGTGCTGTCCTAGAATGTTCAGGTTTTTTAAGACACTGCAGAGCAAAAAATATTTTTTTAAATTTCAAAAATGCAGATATAGTAAATTCCAGAAATAGGTGAGTTAATTGTTCAGACATCAAGGCATCCTCAGTATTCCCAGTGGTATCGTTCCGTTCTATTCCACTAACCACTCGATCCATTCACAGGGAAGACACATGCTCAAATTATCCACCCTTGATAATTGTGCTGTTTTTATCGACGAATCAAACAATTCCACAAATATAAGGCTAGTGGGCGAAGGTAGGCAACTCTCAATTTGTTGAAACTGAAATCGCAGAATCATTTATGTAAACTTTATGAAAATACTTTAGGTGAGTTAATTGTTCAGACATAAGGCATCCTCAGTATTCTCAATGGTATTGTTCTGTTCTACTAAACTAACCACTGGGTCCATTCATGGGGGAGACAGACACATGGTGAAATTATCCGTCCTTGATAATAATGCTATTTTTATCGACCAATCAAACATTTCCACGAAGATCTGTGAATCATTAACTTTGTCAAAATACTTTAGGATATCTTTTTGTATTCATGTCACTTCTTTGATGTTAAGTTTCTCATAATCCAACGTACAAGCTGCTGTATTGTCTTGAACATATACAATGACGCTAAGACTGGTATGTAGTCTGTTTTTTTGATTGGTTTATAGAAACAACCTACGTGGCCAATGAAATTATCAAGGGCAGGTAATTTGAATTTGTGAATACCTCCTGAATGGACCCAGGGGTTGGTGGAGTAGAACAGAATGATACCTCTGGGGATAGTGAACGTCTTCAAGGATTTGTGGTGAAATGTGTACAAATTGATGAATAGGGAACCTTTGGCAGTTGAACTTTGGAGAACAAGTACATGTATGATCAAACTTATCCCTACCATTGCACATATCCGATATTTTGATAGTGACATGGATATCATTCGATTGACATGCAATTTATTTCATCAGAGGAGGAAGTCTACTGATTTTCAACAATTTCCAATAATTACTTCCAGATTTATTGTCCTTGATCACTTTAAAAAAATCTTTTGGATGCTCAAGTTGATAAAATTATCTTTCTCTGTCTTTATATTCAGTGTTTATGTTAATGAGGTGAAGAAGTCTAGAACTACTTTCAGAATTATTGTCCTTGATAAATTTTTCAACTATTGTCGACTACTTGGATGACATAGCTTCTGTGGGCATATGTTTTGTTGTTATCTTATCTTTTTATAATAATAAGTGACTCAAAAAAGGTCATATAAAAAAAGATCCAGTTTTCAGATGATCCTGTGTCACTTAAAAAGGGCTGCATGACCCATGTTTTACCCCTCAAATGTGGCAGAGGCTCGTTTATCAAGTACACAACCCTGATAAATAATACTGACAATCATAAATGATACTGGATAATCATACATTTCTGGTAAGTAACATGATGAGATAAATGTGGTGCCTTGAGTTGAAATGCTATGTTTATGGGAAATCATTTAGCCCAGTTGTTATCCTTTAACAAAATAGGTCCTTCGGATGAGACGGAAAATCGAGGTCCCGTGTATACATTGGAATGCACGTAAAAGATCCCTTGGCAGTTGGAATTCGATATAAAAGAAGGCGATAGTGCCGCTGCCCGGGCAAAATTTCCATCATAGCACACTGTATGGCGTATGCCCGTCTTCATTAGCCCATTATTGGAGCAGAACAGTATGACGTTATACCCCATTTCATTTCATTTAACAAAATAGACCCGAAAATAAAAAGCTCCTTCCTGCATCATATTTTTCGTAAGGATTGTCTGAGAACCAGAAATTTTTTTTGTATGGCCTAAATTATATACACACATAATGCAAGTATAATCAGTGGCTTCCAACATCCATGTATAAACTCAAAACTTGGTTTTTCAGATACAGAGAAGATTTATTTAAAGAAGGTGATGTGGGAGGATATTGTGATGTTTATATGAATGCTCTAAAGGCTGAAGATGGTCATAAAAGTCCTCTACAATCTTGGTATGTTCCTACTCTGTATTATTTTTGTCTCTCTATCATGATTCATGGGTAGCGATTCATCAATGCGTTGTTTAAACCTTGTTTGATAGGTACTGATTGTGTGTCAATGCATGGTTTCTGTTTCAAAATTTTGCTGATCGGACATTTTTAATTGGCGTTAACAGAGGCCAGAATGTGTGTGTGTGTGTGTTTGGGGGGGGGGGGGGGGTAGCTGAATAGTTTAATGTATGCGCTTTAGATTCAAGTGGCGTGGTTACATCTCAAGTTCATGCCCGTGATATTCATCAATAATTACACTGTTACTTAATTGTAAAAAAAACGGCAACTTTTCTGAATGTGGGTAGGATTTGTCCCTAATTTTGTATTTAGTTCTTCATCCCTGAAGAAGTTAGTATTTTTACTGACGAAACGTTGGATAAAACGATGGTTTTTTGACATTGTATTCTATTAATTATTTTATATCACATTGAAATGTGGTTGTATATTGTCGTCGCCCCAGTCCGTCCATACCTCGGTCTAGAGGCTAAAGTTATCATCCAATTGACTTTAGATTAATACACATAGTTTAAGGTCTTGAGATGAACAGGTGTATTGATTTTCAATGAATTTGTATACTAAACATTAGCATGGGCCAAACAAATTCCAATGATTTTTTGATAATTACTTAATGAGTTCTTACTCAGTGCATTATAAATGTTTCATTGCCGACAAAAGTAAAAATATGCGACAACTCTTGTTGACTGCTCGGACGATTTAGCTACTGTGGGCGTATGTTTCATTGCCTGGCAACCTATCTTACATACAAAACATGAAGAACTGTTCTTTTTATTTGTCAGGTTTGCAGAGTTAGGTGGATATACATCTTTATCACGAGATCCTTTCAAAAACGATGACTGTGATATAAAAATAGATAAACCAACATACCTCATTAAATTAGATGCAGGTATGCTATTGTTAGCCAAGTAGATTTTCTGGCCTAATCTGTAGTGAATTTTTATACGCCCACTTTGAAATGTGGTCGTATATTGTCATTGCCCCCGTCCATAGCCCTTGATCACTAATCTGTAGTGAGTTTTTATATGCCCACATTGAAATGTGGTCATATATTGTCATCGCTCCCGTCCGTAGCCCTTGATCACTTTGAAATGAAATATCTTGTGGACGTTCTACAGGCTAAATTTAATATCCTATTGACTTTAAATTTATACACAGTGTTTAAGGTCATGACACAAGGGATCCTAGTCATTTTCAGCGATTTCCAATATTTACTGTCAGAGTTAAGGCCCTTGATCATTTTGAAAAGTTTTGTGGACTTTCTAGAGGCTACAATAAATATTGAATGCACTTTAAATTTATACACAATATTTAATGTCATGAGACGAAGAAGACTACAGATTTTCAACTATTTTGGATAATTACTGCCAGTGTTATGGCCCTTGACCTCTTTGAAAAATCTTGTTGAAGCTCTAGAGGCTAAAGTCAATGATCCTGGTCATTTTCAACTATTACTGATAATTACTGCCAGAGTTATGGTCCTTGATCACTTTGAAAATCTTGTGGGCACTCTCAAGGCTAATTTTAATATCAGATTGACTTTAAATTTATACACACTGTATATGAAGAAGCCTATTGATTTTCATTTATTTCCGATTATTATTGCCAGAGTTTTGGCCCTTGACTTCTTTGATATCTCTTTAAAACCTCTAGAGGCTAAAGTTAATATCTGATTGACTTTAGATTTATACACAGTGTTTAAGGTCATGAGACAAAGGAATCTAGTCATTTTCAACAATCTCAAATAATTACTGCCATAGCTATGGCCCTTGATCACTTGGAAAAATCTTGTGGACACTCTTGAGGGCAAAGTTAATGCCTGATTGACTTTAGATTTAAACACAGTGTAATGGTCCTTGATCTCTTTGAAAAATCTTGTAGACATTCTAGCGGCTAATATAAATTGTTTAAGGTCATGAGACAAACAATTGAAACAATTTCTAATGTTTTCTGATAATTACTTAATGGGTTATTACTCGTAATCAGATTTTCATATGTTGTAAATGTTTTCATTTCCGAAAAAAAGAAAAAATATGTGACAACTAATTGTTAGTTGACTGCCTGAACGACTAAGCTGCTTTAAGCTTGTGTTGCGTTGCCTGGCAACCTGTCTTTTTGCATGTGCTAACATTGGATTCATTTGTAGTATGATGCCTTAGGATCACACTTATTGGCCATATATGGTCCGGGAATGTTGACTACTGCTGGGCACTTTAAGAATCATATTTTGTGGATTCTAGCACATTACAAATCTAATTAAACTTGGCTATAGTGTTATAAAATTTATTTTATTTTTTCAGGGGTGAACATGTTTCATCATTTCTGTGATTTTGTCAACTTATATGCTACATTACATTTAAACAATACATTTAGTACAGATATCAATATAGTTATGTGGGACACAGTAAGTACTTAATCATTTAATCTACAATGAGTAAACAGGGAATTTCTTTAGTCAGGAAAACAATTAGTTGAATTTTTATTTCATAATACTCACGATTACCATTTGACTGGAACAAAAAGCCAGTTATTCCTCCTTGAAATCTATCTTAAAATCATTCTACCAAGTGCATAGTTAGAAATGAAATGGGGTTTAATATCCTTTTTTTGTACAAAATGAAATGGGTCACTGTCATCCGTCAGCCAATCAATTCTTATTTAATTAAATTCTTTTAAATTAAAAATCTATAAATCAATTTTTGTATTATTTCAGAGTGCAATGTATTACGGTGATTTTTTTCATGATACCTGGAAAGCTTTTACCGATAATCCTATTATACATCTAAAAGATTACGATGGCAAAAAGGTATTAATTGACTGCATTCAACCCTTTCGCAGAATTTCCTGACTGTAGACAGAAACATTTTCTTTAAATGAAAATAACAATGGAATTAAAACAATCCATTTGTTAATTGCTATTATTTTACTTATTGATATTTATTTTTAATTTTTAGTTGAAATATAATTTATCGTTTAATAATTTCATGTGGAGACAAGATTCAGCCATGTTAATTCCTCATATTTTTATTTATATTTTAGGTGTGTTTTAAAGATGCCGTTTTCTCTTTATTAGCTAGAATGAGATTTGGTTTATATTATAATATGCCTTTAGTAAGTTTGTTTTTTTTACTGATCATGTACCAATAATCTCAAGTAATGTGTCTCAATTTGAACATCGGGTATGGATAAAAACATAACCCATAAGACTTGGATATTATGCATTGATTATCATTTATAACCAATAATTTGATCTGGAAAACATTCTATGTTCCATGGTGGCTCTCTGTGGTCTAGTTCTTTTGACTCTTCCAAGAATACTGGGCCCTTATTCACGAAAACTTAAACTAAGATAAAAACGAAATTTTAAGAAATACTGCAGTTCGATTGGCTGACCAGTAAAATCAATTTGCATATATCCAATGAAGTTGCAGTATTTCTTAAAATTTCGATTTTTATCTTAGTTTAAGTTTTCGTGAATAAGGGCCCTGGATCTCATCTCTTTTATGATGGTAGTTGATTGGTCAAGGCACTGGATTCTCAACAACAATGTCTTGGGTTCAAATGAGGAGAAACTTTAGGACTTTTCAAGTCTTGTCTTCACTTGTCAGTGGTGGTACCTGCGGGATTGACAAGGACAGTGTCTGTCTAGTCATTTAGATGCTACAAAAAAAAAAATGACCGCATTGATGTGCACATAAACAAACCGTTGAGCGTTAAATGTAAGATAAGTAGGCAGATATGCCACTGTATGGACAAAAGTCTTCTACTTTAGATTGCACACACAACTATAGAATACAAAATTACCAAACGTTAGTCTCCAAATGGTTGATGTATTTTGTTGATGAGATGTTGAATCCCACTCCATTTCTTTCCATTCCATAATTTTCATGTGTTAATAAGTTACAACAATTACTATGTTTTTTCGTTTTGTTTTTTTTCAGATACCTGGTTGCCATGGTAGTAGTTTAATGAAAGCATTTTCTGATCATGTTTTACACAGAATGAAAATAAAACAAAAAGGACCTCATGTAAGTTGTAAAAAATTTTTAATAATATCAAATCTACATATTGTGTATATTATTAATAAATACATAGATACATCTTGTAATCATTTTAATTTCTAGATAACAAGTGTCAGTAGAACAATCAGTTACATGTACATCTGTGTCATTACATGGACATATAAAGTGAATAGTGATGTATTATGGGAAACTATATGCAAAATTGATTTCCTTACATACATGTTTCTCATCTTAACAGAACATTTTGATGATAGAAAATTGGTTAGATTGCTACTTAACAAAAATATCAGATAAGATATATGAATTTTTAATCAAATTGTGTAAAAACCTTCACTGTGTGCCAAAAACTTGGCAACTTTCCTTGTCTGTCCTCCAGGCATGCATAAATTGACAAGTAAATTCTCCAGTTGATTGATTTCACCACCAGTCAATCAAGACTGACAAATGTGACTGAAATGTGAGCCCTGATTCAGTAAGAGTTATCACTTTGTATCCCAAGATACAGTAACAATTAATGCATTATAAATCAAGTAATATCGTTATTGTATCCATACATATTTCTATAAAGTTCTGCTGATTTATTTTTGGCTTTCAGAAAGATAAAATTAGAATAACATTATTAGATAGAAAAAGTGCATACAGAAACATCATGAATCAAAATGAGGTAAATAATACTTTTTTTTATGATACCTTATGTCCCTGGCTAACCATCAAGTGTGACATGCTGTATTCAATGAAGATACCATGGGAGATCATTATACACTTATGCCAGCTTTATTATTTAAACTAACCATGCTTAAAAACTAGATGTGCTTTGTAGATTTTAACCGATGATCTTGTCTGCTAAATAATGGCACTCATACAGCAAAGTCAACGCACATTTTCCGACTTTTACAATTGTTATGCCAATATAAATACTTACGATGTTGAGTGAGAGTTACAGAGAAAAAAAAACTTTTTGATGTCGATTGTTTTTTACATTCATCTATATATATATATATGTCGATTCGGAGTATGAGACGAAAGCCTGATACGGTAGTTGGAAGCAGATGTTAAACCTCAAGAACAAATGAAACTGGAGTGATGCAGATTTAAAATACTGCTAGTAAAAAAGGAATATATAAAAAATTACCATGGTTAAGGTATTTTATTAATATCAAAAAAAATCCTGTGAATACAGATGGTTTGAGTATTTTAAACAATTCACTGTGGTTTGTATATTTCAAGGGATGGCTGGGTGACCGAATGATTTAATGCACGTTGGATCATAAATGAAATGAAATGGGGTTTAACATCCTACTGTTCTTCTCTGACTGGGCTAATGAAGATGGGCATACTCCATACAGTGTGCTATGATGGAAATTTTGCCCGGGCAGCAGCCTATGGCCTACTCTTATATCAAATTCCAAATGCCATGCCAATGTATACACAGGACCTCGGTTTTTCATCCCATCCAAATGACTAGACAGCTGTTTGTCCTGCAACACTGACAAAGGGAAACAAGTGGGAAAATCTTGATGAACTTTTTTGGCCAATGCAGGCGTTGGATCCTAAGGTCTGTCATTGAATCAAGTGGTGTTGTTTCGATTCCGTGCTTGTACGTGTCAAGGAGTATGGTTGACTGTCCAAACTTGTGGGTTTTCTCTCGGTCCTGTGGTTTCCTCCCACAGCAAGTGAATTATTGAAATAAAATTGAACCATGTGTTAGTCCCAAAATTATCTAGTTTATGTTGACTGGAAATTAAACCCCATTTCTCTCTCTGTATATTTCATGAAAAAAACTTGTTGGTGTCAAAATAAAGTGTCTTACATACTTGTTATATTTATTTTATAGTTAGTATCAGCCATGAAGATGGTGGGACATTATGATGTACAGGTTGTAATATATGACAGGTAGGGTTTTCATCCATTATCAATTTCGAAGGAAATTTGGTTTAAAATTTTCATTATTAAGATGAAATGGGGAACTGCTGCATTATGATACACTTCCAGTTTCTACTTCTGCTTAAAAAGCTATTTTACTTTTGTGTAATTTATTAAATAAACAAAGTATTTTCTGTATGTAGATAGGGGAAATAACTTTGCTGAAAAATTGTGTTGAAATAGTAGGAAATATCAAAGATAGGGATAAATATTTCCTAATATATTATTGATAATTATGCCACATTTTTTTTATATATAAAAAGATGTGCCTTATATTCTTCCATTTTATCATCACTAAATAAATAGTCCTGTTGCATTTAATAACCATTTAATACCTGATTTAAAGTCAAATGACGATAGTCTGCATTCTTAATGACAACCAGACACAGTTGTCATTTGAGAGTGAGTATTCACTGCAGTAAGGTTTATTAGAGCCAACATTTGGATGTGTGGGTCAAATGACTAACTAATATGCTGATTAAGGCAAGCAACTAATCAACTCTTCTTTCTATTTTTTAAAACCCATCAGAAATCTTCCGTTCCCGAAACAAATGGAAGTAAGTGATCATCTTTCTGAAATATTTTTTTTTAGTTAAACAGGGTTCTGTTGTATTAGCCTGAAGATTAGAGAATACATGGTTTTATCCATAAAGTATAAAAAAATACATTTTTTGTCCATGCATAGTGATATAATCTTGGTATCTGAACATGTGCAATCATACTAATGGTTATATTTTACCATGCCTAGGATTTATTTGATGCATTGTGTGCAATTTGAAGCTATAATGTTTTCTTATTCAAATAAAAAAAATATTTAGGTTAAATTAATTGCTTCCTACCCAAATAATTGCTCCTTTTCAGGTAATTTTCAACTGATTCAGGTCCAATAAATTTTAGATTTCATCAGAATTTAAGGGCAGATTTAATTCTATGTGAGATTGTATTACTGATTTAAGATATGATGTCACCTTATTATATGTATTTTAGATATCCCATAATTCTGATATATTTATTGGTATGCATGGTGCAGGTTTAACGCATGTGTTATTTCAACCTGATTGGGCAGTATTATTTGAATTGTAAGTTACCTAATATTTTTATACGCCCACATTTTCATGTGGACGTATATTGTTGTCACCCCTGTCCGTCTGTCCAAAATTTGTTTGTGGACACTCTACAGGTCACAATTTTTATCCTATTTTGACAAAACTTGAAATATAGGTCTATCTCCCACAGATCTCGGTTCCTTTCGATATTAGTCACAAATATTAGTATAGAAGATAGATAGTGAGAACTGCCAACTCATTACCTAATCTCCCATAATGTATCTTTAAGTGTATTTTTTATATTTTACAGACATAATTGTGATGATAAGAATTGTTATTATGATTTAGCCAGATTACGAGGTGTTAAATATATGACATGGGAGAAAGAAGATAAAGTACAACCAGAAGATGAGGTAAAATACTAGCATGAAATAACTGTTGTTAGTTCTCTTTTACCAATAAGTATTCCTAACTTAGAATAGTGTTGAAGGGGTATTTGTGTTGTTATATAAAGTTATGAAATTACAGAGCACAATATGTTTTGGGTATTTTATTAACTGTTTGTGTCGAGAAATTTGGGTATCGAATTTTGTTCTTATGGTACAAGTTTGAGTTTTTTTCTTGACTTAAAATTGATATTCAAGTCAGAATTTATTTTAATTTACGCTTATAGCAAGGTTTAGGATTTTTCTCACTTCATTATAGAACTGATATCAAGTATTATATGTGCCAAATATGTAATTAATTTTGTTTATATTTTTATTAGGGACATCATCCAACTTTAGGAGCACACGCAAAGTTTACAAACTACGAGTTCAATGTAGAAGAATTCATGAGATTAATCAATATAGCAGCAGACCATGTCACTTACCATCCACAATTTCAGCATGCTAGACGAAATAAATATCAAAATGTTAAAACTGAATTATAACATTATTCAATTATAGATCAAATACAAGTGCTATTCAAGACATTGTCATACTAATTTATTTATTAAAAGGGGTAGATATTACAAAGTATCAAATACTGTGGGATAATATTATTTTAATAAAAGGTATGCAATAATGATTTTGTTAAAGAGTAAGAAACAAAAACGTATGAAATATTTTGCAATAATCATTTTATTGTAATGATTGTTGTTATTATATAACTTCAAAAAAATATGGCTGGTAGGTACAAAATAAAGATAGGAGAATTATTATTTCTATTATTGTCTAAGACACATAAAGATGGTGGTGTGAAATCGGTAGAAACCAAGTAGGAACTTTGATTGGTCGTAACTTAAGTGAGAACTTATAGATTTTGATACTTTGGACCAGACTGTTTTTAATCTAGGAAAGACCTTATAAAGGCTTTGCCTGTTGTTCAATCCTTTTCAAATGAATAAAATATTGTTTAAACTAATCTAGTATGTATAATTGTTTATTGACTTTTTCATAATATTTATTCTGGCTTGTTGTTTTATGTTTAAGAATTATACAAGCAAGTAATATTTTTAGGGATTTTATTTTTATTAATGTTTTGCAATTTATATTTGTGTTATTAAGATTTTAAATCTTGTGTGTTTTAAGAAAATATACTGAGACGTAATGAAAACACATGACTGATTTGACTGGAAGTGCTGGTAAGACATAATGCAGCTGAAATGTTAATTTTAACATAATTATAGCTGGACATTTACCGACACAAGAAACTCAGCAACAGTCTAAGTAGGCCATAGCAACTACAATCAACACTTAGTTGCAGCATAGGATCCGCATTGGTCTACCGTAAGGCTGTCCAAAAAGCAGTCGAAAAGAGCGTAGTCGGCAACATACAGTGTCAGCACTGATGAAACCAGGTGGACCCCTCACAGTAGCAGCAGTGCGGGTAGCCGGCAGTGTGTAATCTTACAGAACTAGATGTTTCTGGATAAAGCAGTTGTGTGTTCAGGTGTCAGGCATATGGCATATTGTTGTGTCGTCCACAGAACTATACGAGTAGTACTGATAGCGTTCATTCATTTGTTCCTGGAGTTTTACGACCACTTCCACCAAGGGTGATATCATAGACAAGGATACTAGCGTTTTAAAAGCCATATTTTGTACCCGATGTCTACACCATAAATTGTGATTTTAACATACCCATTCTTCCAAATTCAATTCTTCGTGTTGAGAGAATTGATCTGTAGCACAATTGAGATTCATAAAAGTGCTGAATTTTCAATGCATCTCAGTATAAAGTGGGGGATATTTTTTTTTATTTTTTTTTATTTTTTATTCAATTCAACTTATGTTATTCATTTGTCTTGTCATTTAATTTCATAATTTTTATGTTTTAGTTCTTTCATTTATTCATCATATATCAAGATAAAACATTCAGTTGATATTACCCACGTCCAAATATTTTGTGAATAATCCACCCATACTGAATTGTTTATTTAGAACTAGATTCAATTTTTAAACACTAAAAACTACTTAATTTTTAATGTTGCATCCCCGTATTTTGTCCCAAGTCTGTGATCTAGTTGTTGTGACTAATTCTGGGAGGTATTTCACTGACAAATTCCATTACCCTACACCAGAATATTAGTAAATAACATTTTTAATTTTTAAATATCTCTATTGAAATAAGTGGAATGTAAAAACTCCATTACTTTGATTATATAGACACCTCTTAAAGTCTAAAGCCGAAATACACATTCGTAAATATTACCTGAATGTGTATTAGTATTTTTGAAATATTTTATTGTAAAACGTTGACCATATCTAATCCATCAGCTTTGTATTTAATCCTTTCTGTAAGTTTTATTCTTATATATTATATAACTCAAAACTTTTGATTAGTCCCATTTGTCCCACTTTTATATAACATGATGATACATCATACTTTACCTAGGGTGGGGTTGTCCTTATTTTTATGTGACACAACCGCTTTGATTTGCGAATCCCCCCCACCACCACCAAAATTGGGTGGTCGGGGGGGGGATATTTTTATTGGATTTAATGAGTTGATAATTTGAATAGATTCACATGTAAATATACATTTTATATGCTAAATAGAACAGATATACATTTATAAATAGTGTATGCTACATTAAATGTATATTTTAACTACTGATCAAGTTGAGTATATTTGTTTAAACAAATAAAATATTTACCATAATTCATTTGCATCTTATTTTAGATACTCTTTTTTAATGAATAGTAAAATCATAAATATATTTTTAATATGGTTTGTGTATGTACATTTGGATTTGTGGTTTAACAACTACAATAAAGGTGTGATAACTAAAATAAAATATTGTCCTCTATTCTCAGGTAAAGCAGGGGTCTTGTTTTTCGACAACCATTGGGCAATTGTACAGATGAACTTTTGCTAGCAGTTTTATTTGGTAATGGTAACAAATTGTGTATCGTATTGCAAGGCATAGAAATTGTTAAGTACAAAAATTTAAATTTTAATCCTACAAATTTAAATTTTAATCCTACAAATTTAAATTTTAATCCTACAAATTTAAAAGTGATCTGGAATATAAATCTATACTTAAACATGCATTATGCAAGAGCAAAATCTGCTTATTACAAGTCTTTCTCTAGGCCTGAAATGTTATCTAAATTATCAATTAGACATTAATTAACTTATCCAGACCATAATAAACTCTCGATGTCAAGGCTAGCCTTCGATGTTGGCTGGATTAGATTCCTATATGCCGCTAACGGCCATTGATAATTAAATCAGAAAAAGTGGATAATTGAGACTATGCTGTTCATATTAATGATTTTATTAATGATGACCGAGACTGTGCAGATATTTCACCCGCTTCTTTCTCGGCTCATAGTGGATCAATTTGACTGAAATTTCCAGCAAATTACCTTTACACTATCTAGTTTTTAACTATTATAGCGAGAACTGCCATCTCTTTATCTTCTCTCCCCTAATGTATCTTTAATTAACAGCCCAACATTACGAATCTTCAGCTGGTGCCAACACGCAAACTTTGTAATGTATAAATGAAAGATAAATCTCTTGCCCAGGGTTATGCCTGAACAACGGACTCTTGCATTTTTATACACCCACGCTGAAAAGTAGTCGTCTGCACAGTATGTCGTTCATAATTCGCTGTCGATGTTTCAGGCTGAATTTATACCCATTTATGTGCAAATCACAAAGAATCCTATTGTTTTCCGAGAGTTGCTGTTGGAAGTTGTGACCCTTGATCAATTTGAAAAGTATTGTGCATGCCCTAAATGCTAAATATATCATCTGATCTGATTTGAAAGTTATACCACAGCGTGTATGTTCGTGAAGGAAGAAGCAGATCATTTTCAAAACCTTGTTGGCCGTCTAAATATGTGACAACCTTTGGTTGCCGTATGCTGTTTCTGATATGTACACCTCCGCTCCAAGTCTTTAGTTAACGAATTTAATGTTTTTGTTGGCATTGATTAAAGGGAGACGACTTGTGTTATACAGTTTCATTGCATTGGTCTCATTCGCATAATAATTAATATGGAAGACGTATTCATTATTTCGTAAACGAATTTCCTCAAATTTAAATTCAAAACTGGTTACTCTCAGTAGCCGTGCCTACTTATTCAATTATATGTACATAACGGGACATGTTCATATTGCCTTTGAAACCAGAATTTTTAACTACATTAATTGATGAATAGGTGAAACGATTTTTCTAATGGATGCCATGGAAACAAGACCCACAGACACTTAAATACTAAAGTAAAACATAGACAAATTGATTAGCGTTCAAGCGCCGTTTTACTGTATAAACTTTTATTTAATATCCAAATTATGTATAGAAATTGTAGAATTTCTTCCTCGTTAATTTCAACTAAGCCTGTATGTCAACTCGACATAAACTAGGTCATTTCGGGATTAACACGTGGTTCAATTTTATTTCAATAATTCGCTTGGGCGTAAGGGGTCTTTAGCAGTGGGAGGACCCGGTGAAAAGCCACGAGGTTGGACAGGCGATCCTACTCCTTGTCACGTACAACCGTGGAATCGAAACCCCGCCAGTTGACTCAATGACATGCCTTATGATAATACAGTGTGCACGTTCTAACCATTCGGCCACCCGCATCCTCATCCCCTACTGACCTATACCAAGTATAAAGATGAACTGATGATAAATCCAAGCTGCATCCCCATCCCCACCCCTACTGACCTATATCAAGTATAAAGATGAACTGATGATAAATCCGAGCTGCAGGGGAAATGCCAGAAACTTTCAAGTTTGTGAATGTAATTAAAAGGGACATTGGCAGTAAAACGTATAGCAAACACGCTTTTCTCAGAGAATTTTATTTCATTCTAACAAGATAGGCGCTACAGGCTTGGACCCACTCTCCTATTTTGCGAAACTATTGGTTGATGTTAGGTTTTCAAGGAGTTTTAACGCAATTTTAAGTAAATACCTCTCACTAACTTGGGTTTTCGGAAATAAGGATATTTGAATATGACGAAATTTTGAATACATATTAATATCTACGGACAGCAAAGTATGCATTCACAGGGGCTTTTTAACAGAAACCCTAAAGACAAAACCACGTACAAGACACCTAGCACGAGGTCAATCCAAGCAATAAATAAAATTTTATCAAATCAAATTTTAATAAGTGAAAGAATGAATACAAAAGGGTTTAACATCCTACTCTTCTGCTCCAACCCGGCTAATAAAGACGGGCATAAGCCATGCAGTTTGGTATGTGTGAACTTTTTCCAGGAAAACTATTGAATTTTATCTGTAAAGGGTTCTTTTACAGTTTCACAACAAGTTATACACATCAAGAATCTTCAGCTGAATTCTCAGTTTACTTCGTAATGCATCGTCCAGAGTGTAGCGACACCTAAACTTCATAATGCAGCAGGAATGAAATAGAAATCGCAAAAAGAAACCCTGAAGGCAATAAACATTGATTCGGTAATCGAGTCGACTAGTCACGAACAATATTATCTAATATCTGCAAATCGAGAGTGCACGTTACAGAAGCTTTGACAAGTGGACTTCGTTGAAGAGTAGGCTAAAAGTATCCCGGTTGAAGCAGAAAAGTAGGACCCCATTTATGTAATTTCCATTCGTGTAACATTGGTAAAATTCGACCATGATATTAATACCCACTCTTGTAAAGTGTTAGTTAATACCTTTATTTCACAGGTAGCTAGATTATTACAATTACGTTTACCAGGGGGGGTTGGATGGCCGAATGGTTAGCACGCGCGTGCTGTATCATTAAGCCTGTCATTGAGTCAACTGGCGTGGTTTCGAATCCCCGGTTGTACGTGTGCCTGTCCAACCTCGTGGGTTTTCTCCGGGTCCTCCGGTTTCCTCCCACTGCTAAAGACCCCTACGCGCAAGCGAATTATTGAAATAAAATTAAAACCACACGTTAGTCCCGAAATGACCTAGTTTGTGTCGAGTGGACGTTAAACCCCATTTCTCTCTCTCACGTTTACCAGCCAAATCCAACATCATCAAAAAATGCTTGTTGCGTATCGTATGTTTATGGCAAATACAATGGATAGAGAGAATAGCCAGAACGACAAGACTGTGTTTATTCCAGTTTCGGAGTTAAAGTTCTCGCACAAATTTCCCTCTCTGAAACACAAACGGTCCCAGAACACCATGGATTGCCCAATTGACTGTTAATTCTCGTTGAGTAACCAAACTTGGGTTGAACGCCTTTTCATACTTGAAATGTGGCAATGTCTTCCACTATTTATCACAAGCCATCAGTTGATCATGCATATGGCCATCTTCTGACATCCGTTCCAATATTATTACCGCTTAGATGGGGATAATAATAACGAAACAAATCGGCCTATATTGAAGTAAACGGCAACCCGTTTTACCGTTCGGTAAATTTACGACCTCCATCATTGGGACAAAAACTTTAAAGCCAACAAGGGACTTCTTCCTTAAAACCTAACCCGTGTCCGTGTCAGGCTGATAGAAACCTAGTTCGAGATATTTCCTTTATAAATTTAGTCAAATTCCGCTTGTATATAATCCTGTTTTTGCATACTCTTCTTTTCGTATCTCACCATAATATGTCATGTGTTTTTATATATATATTTGTTAGCTTATAATGCATGTTCTTCTTGATATTACATTATCTTTTATGTTATGTATCTTTTTATTATCTTTTATGCTATGTCCCATTTAAATAATCTTCTAAATGTATATAACCATTAACAACTATAGTAAGAGCCCATCAACTAGAATTGCATCATAAACTCAAATTCCTAGACATGTATTTATGTCCATGCCTTATATTTCCTCGCCTTATTTGATTCTCCATAGCAGACGAAGCTATTTGCTCCACCAATAATTCTAAAACCCGTTTAACTTCAAACAAATTCTCTGTGCAAATTATGAATTTCCATTGTTCAAATTTTATTCAACCAATCCAAACAAGATAAAAATTTATAACTAAAACGAAATCAGTTGTTTTCACTTCTTATCTCTTGATCCAATTCAAGCAAAACAATAAGTTGTCATTCTGAATACTCTATTCTTTTAATCTGTCCAATCTACTCACCACTTAATCAGAGCCGCCAATTAATATGACGTGTCTATTTAACCGATGAGTCTATGAAAAGCCATGATCAGTTAAAACAAAGCTTTACTCAGCAATAATCACGCATCAATCAAAAAACCACTACACGGAACTTAATCCTCACCATTCTCAATGGCTAGAATCAAGGCTTGTTCAAATTATTTTGATTGGCTTATCTTTTAAAAAAACAAAAAACATCGAACCAGCGCCAACCATAGAATTCGGGTGTCGTTAAGGCCTTCTTCAAGGCCCTCTTATGCCTCAATCACTTGACCATTATGGAGAGTCAGGAGACTGGAACACCTACCGGAAGATTCGCCTGGAAGATCCAAGATCTGAATAAATTTAAAAAAAAAACAAAACATAATGTATATGGAAAACAATCACTGGTTTATAGACATATAGCACGACGTTTCGACAAGTATTCTCTAATTGTTTTCAAGCACAAATAAATTCGTAAAGCCTGCATGAAAACGCCAACTATAGCCACCACCATAGAGTCACTGAACCTGAAATGGGTCAAGGACGTCGCCTCATCCTTGTCGACACACAACCGAGCCATGGTAGCGGAAACACTGGAGTACTTGAAGTC